TTTTTGGAAATGAAAGGTAATTGTATCATTAACTGTCCTTTTTTTCGCATTTCAATTATTTATTCCTAAGAGTGAGGCTTCAAAAATTCGAATTCCCCTTGTAATGCAACGAAGGCAGGCAGCTAATAGTAATCCAACGAGTTGAGTCGTGTGCCTTGAAAATTCACCCCATTTACCTCCATTCGCATATTGGTGGAGTCAGATACTCTTAATCTTAAGTGTTGAGATATGTTGGGGGGTCAAAAAGCAAATGGGTCACACTGCATAGTCAAAGATTCTGCATAAAAGTGTTTTGAGTAGTGTTGCAGCCCATAATCCCTACTTTGTCAGTCACAACTGCTTATAAGACTTGATTGAAATTTGATGATGAAATTTAAACACTAACATCGACAGTTAGGTCATTCATGGTGACTTTTAGCATCTGATTGTAACAACCTCACTTTTCTGGCAGGTGTAACAGTCACTAAAGCCCGTGTCATCATTACCCTTTCATGGGTGGTGAAAGTGTCTGCACACGCCTTTGTGTGTACTTATGTTTAAGGCACTTCAAGTGGGAATAGGTTTTGTTGGATGTTTCATTTATGATATTTTAATCCGATTCAAGAGTCCTTTGAAGGAATGCGCTAATCTACACACACCTGAAGCAGCTGTCGGCGCCTTAGTTGTGCTGGCTGGCTTTCACCTTTGGTAGATTCATTAATATTTTGATTCAAATGAGTAATTTTGTTTATTAAATGTTAAAAGTTGGTAATTATGTCCCTTTAGCATGGATTATGTCGATATTATTTAAAAGTTAATATTAACGTACCATACTACGTAGTACTAAAGTGGAGAGCAGAAAGGGTCAAAGTTCAACGATAATTAATAATCTGCTACTTACAGGGAGAGTGCTAAAGCTCAATTCATAAAGAATCCCGGAGTGATGTAGGAATGTAGTCTTTAACTTAACCATTGCGGCATAATATTATCCACTTAACCCTAATTTTCCTTCCCCACCTGCTTTGTCTTTTTTGCGCGTGATTAGGTAATTCTCAAATCCTGAGAAAGTGTGCTAATCGTGACATGGTAAACTACCATCAGAGAAAAAATAAGGATAAAGATGAGGATGAGGCCTGATCTTTCTTCCTCCTATCCTAGCTACGAGCAAGTTTTGTGGTGACATGAGATACGCGATACGAGATGTAAGGTAATAGAGACCTGCGTTGCCTAACAAGAATTAAAATGAAGATGAGAAAAGGATCTTATTCCAACTAATTTTGCTATTCCAGTCTGCTTCTAAAGAAGATTGTCTTGCACTCCAATCACTTTTACCATCACATAGTAGATAGGTGGACTTCAGCCGAAAGGGTAGGTGTATAGTTCACTGGGGATAACTACAGGTATAGGCATAGGCATAACAAATGGTGGAATACAGAAGCTCTTTCTCATCACAAGTCGGTCAGTGTATGAAAGAAAAGTGGAGTAAGCGGATTTTTCACCCCTTTTGTCATATGCTGATGAATAGGGAATCCATTTGCTTGGCAGATTGGGTGACTTTCCCCCTCATTTGATGTAAACTGATGGTTGCATCACTCGCGTAAAGCATGACTAAAGGCTCTTGATAGATCCACCTTGAAATTGCCTAGTCAATAGCGGCACGTAATTCTTCTCAATCAGGGATGGGAATTTTCCTCGACATTAGACATCTGCCCTGGGGTTTACCATCACCAGACTCAAAGTGCTTAAAGTAAACAATTTCTGCCACCACACTTTCACCAAACTTTTGGCGGTAAGCTTCTGAGGCTTACAAAACCGACTGGAGTTAAAGCAAATGTTATGGTTTGAGGGTGAGTTTGAAACAAGACTAAAGCGTAAATATCTACGCTTTGTAATCTATACACACAGCCAATTCCCCCCTTCCCCTTCTTTTGTTTAGCTAATACTGATTTGAAGCGTAACTTCTAAGCCAGGAAAAAAGTGAAATGAGCAATAATTGTCGTTGTGCTTATAAAAGCAAGGATTGATTGCACGTTTCTGCTGCTCTTCACACATGGTGCGAAGGATGCACAAATACTTTGGTGTTCACGCCTGTCTTCTCTAACACATGCCACTTCAAGGAACCGTTGTGTCTACACCTCACAGCACGTTTTATCTGACATCGACTGTGAGCGAACTTATGAAAGCCTTACATAATCCTAATTCGCACATTTCCCCCAGAAACTCCGCTCTGAACCCCACTTAATCTTTGATGACCCTAGTGAATTGCTTTATTTCAAAGGTACAGACTTCAAGGTGAATGAGGACAAATTTTTCATCTCCCTACGTACGGAAGAGTAACGAGTGTTAGTGGAAAGATCTGACAGCTAATTCTAGTAGCTTTAAATGGTCAGGATCATAACCGTAAACAAATCAGCAACCGACACCTAAATACTCCTCCTCTCAAGATTAAAGATACTAATGGTAAGATATGCTATATATTTATTTAATAATACTAGTAAAGGCTTCATATAAACATATCTGCAATATTTGTACACAGCACCGAAAAAAGCATAACATCATCATCACGACTGAGCCCTTCACGTGGCATTCCGCTTTGCCTCACCTCAGCTCTAGGGGGCCTCCTTCTGTTTCTCTCTTTCCCCTGGCGACATGCAGCACCTCCTGCCTCCAGCTGTGCGCCAATGGGCTTTTAAGCCATTTGGTGTGACATACTTCTTTTGACAGCCGGGACAGCCAAACATCTTTGCCTCTCCATCCGTGTGCAGTCGGCGATGCAACTTCAAATGAACGAATTGGGTGAATCGCGCAGGACAGAGTTTGCAGCTGAATGGCTTTTCCCCGCTGTGCAAGCGCTGATGCGTCTTCAGATTGCTGGTGCTGGAGAAGCGCTTGCGGCAGACCTGACATTCATGCGGCCGCTCTCCTGTGTGCACCAGATGGTGTTTTTGCAGGTGTGCCAGCTGAGTGAAACCTTTGCCGCAAATGGAGCATGTGAAGGGCCTCTCGCCCGTGTGCACGCGCAGATGTACCTTGAGGTTGGAGAGCTGGCCGAATGTTTTTCCACACACCGAGCACTCGTAGGTCATGCGACCCTCTCGACGTCTGAAAGTGGGTGGCTTCGCGGAGGAGGGCTGAAACTGCGGTTGCGATGGTTGTGGTGGGGGTGCTGCTGGCTGTGGTGGTTGAAGCGATGCGGAAGAGGTGAGGATTGGATTTCGGAGAGTCAGGAGATTCCGCATCCAGAGATCAAAGGAAACCATGGAGGGACTTGGTGGACTGGGTTCTAGAGGCGGTGGAGGCGGTGACGGTGGTGGTGGAGGAGGTGGCGAGTCGGCGAGAAGGCGATCGATTGAGTGGGAAAGCTTGAAGGTTTTCGGGGCGGAGGAATAGGATACCGGGTTCGGGGAATTGGCTAAATCCTCAGTCTGCTAAAGGGAGTGGGAAAGGGAGGAGAGAAAAGGTTTGTGTTCTCTATGTGATGTAATTAAGAGCCTACTTCCAAATTCCATTCCCGATGAGTAAAAAACGAATATCAATGCTATAAAAACAATGTGCATCATAGGGAGAGTTAAGCAAATAAAGTCAAGACGTTTCCTACAGCCTCCGTCTGCTTTAACGAGTTGATAAGTGGGATAGAGAGGAGGTGGGAGTAATATTAGGGAGAGAGATATGTAATAAGGCTGCCAACATCCTGATCCTAAGTAATGCGTCTTAGCGATCAACAATTAAACACAGGGAGTTTCTGCGTACCACAGACACCATATTATTCCCATAAACTTTCTTTTTTACGAACTTTTGTTAATAAAAGACGCAGATATGGTGAGTTTCAATACATTTCAAAAAATTCAAGGGAAATGTGTTTTCTTTTGCCTTTTAGTAGTGACGATACAAAAAAAGAGTTTACTATTTTCCAGATAGAATACCCTATAGTACTGACAGCTAAAATCTCTTTATTTAATGCCGTGTGATGCGTATTACTTTACTTAAATCCTTTTCAGCGACATGGCATGCTTTACTCTTCTACACTCTTCAAGTTAATCTGAATTGTACGTCTCAGTAAAAGTGATTTAGGCTTGCTTAACTTTGCCTAGTTATTCAAGAGCGATGAATGTTTCAACAAACGCATCCCCTTAAAAATCGGACTCAAAAGTTGCTGCAACAGTGATGTATGCAAAGCATCATGACTAACTGATTGCTTAGAGGAAAGATTTAGACTTTTATCGGAGCTTTGTGCTACCGACGATGGAGACAGTGAAGAGACCCGCGCAGCATTCGCCATCACCGAGCAAAGATCGCCTATCTGTTGCGTTTGCGGTGGTGGTGGCGGAGGCGGAGGAGGCAGAGGTAGCAGAGGGGTGTGAGTATGAAGCCACTCCCGACTTCCAAACCATGCGGGCTGCCCTACACTCGGTGATATCGTTGGCAGAGAGAAAGGAGGTGGCAATGGAGGCACGACTTTTGATCTCCATGGGGAGAAGTTATTTAGGAGTAGGCCCACTGAGTTACCATTCATTCTCCTGGGTAGGCGGATGGAGAGGAAGAAGGAAAATTATAGGCCCCAAAACTATAGGTGACAATTCCTGTGCCCGCTTTTTAAAAGTCGTCAAGATTATCATTATTATCTGATTAAAGGAGAATGAAATAAACATACCAGTTGGGAGATGCTACACAGGGAAGGCGGTAAATACCACTGAGGGGAAGACGAGTGAATTGGGAATTTTATGTATGCACAATTCGGAGTCGTGAGTGATAGACAGGAACGTATTTTAGTTATGCACAAACCGGGAGACAACTACGTAGCAGGATGCAAGGTGGTGTAATTGGTGATACTTGTGCCTTTAGCTGCTTACTGAGGTGGTGAAAACCAGAGCATATGGAATCAGAAAGGCGAGTGAAGCGATTACGTGAGCACGCACACACGCACATACTTGCCAACGTTGAATACCACAATCGGTACCAAACACAGACTTGAGGCGGACGTGATACGCCTTCTCCTATCAACGAAATCAGTGCAACACACGCACAACTACTCGATGTTTATGAATCCAGGCATCAATCAGGCCGATTTTATTCAGGCTGCTGTCACTGTTGATTAAACGTGTGCGGTAGGGGCTAGAACCATCAAATTTACCAAGCCATGCTGTTTCTGACTAACAGTCGTCAAACGGAGAGGCCCATCCTACTAATGTGCCAAAGTAACATTAACTAAGTTCAAAAGTAGTCAGCTTATTGACAATCGGGTATAAATGGTAATGTACTTGTTCTTTATTCCTTTTTCTGTTGGCATGCCCACCTACTCACCTGCCATCTTGGCTGTTTGGACCTGTGCGTAAGCGTAAATGTGGATCTAAGTGTCTACAATAAGACATTTGAATCTGTTTTTGCTCTTTCCTAAAATACTCTTAAACAGCTCTTTTGTTTGAAGACCCACTGACCATTTCAATGCAATGTGCCTTTTTGATTCCGACGGATGAACTCGCCTAAGGAATGAGTGATTTATGAAGTTGTGCGTAGTTATTTTGTTGCCCTACTTACAGGATATCACCCCACAGTATCACTCACTGGGTGATTCGCTTGTTCTTTAAATTAGTTTACTGTAAGATAATCAAGCAAGGTAGAATGATTGTCGATAACGCCTATACACAAATCAACTGTAAAAGATGGAAAGTAAAAGACTGAGACAGTATGGAAAGGCAATGTGTCAGTAAGCACGGAGGGAGTTTTGTTTGCACAAGAAATAGCCCAACAGATGGCAACTTACTTTCAGCAACGACGTCTGGATTTGCGCTTTCTTGCGCCTCCGTGGCAGATCAGCAATGAGCTTAGCTCACATGTGCATATGTATGTGTACGCGTACAAAACGCGTGTGTGCGTGCATGGGTGTGCACAATGTGGCTCTGACCAATCAGTTGCCGAAGAGGGGTGGGACAATAGTCACGCGCTCGCGCCTCAGCTTTTATTGGCTCACGTGAGATGCACACGTGCACTGTGATACTTGCGGCGCAGACCAATCACCCACCAACTTGTGACGCGATGTCGGCCAATCGTGGTGACGTGCGTGCCTGACCAAAATGTTCCTCCTACACCGAGAAAGGCGAGAAGACAGGATAGACAGGGCTATCGACTGAGGAAAAGCCCATTAGCCACTGGGTTGTCCAGTCACAACTACCTTAATTATCTCAACCCAGATTATGTCTTTCTAGCTAGTTTGCAAACCCGTTTTGGCTTGGACTGTCAAGTGGTTATTGAATAACATTTCTGTTGGCTTGATGCGAAGTCCCACGAATGGATGCTGGCATGAGGGTGGATGGTGAAACGAGCTTGCTAGTAAGGACCGGTATTAAGGGTAATGTTCTGTTGCTCGACATGAGCGGTTACTACACTTTTGCTTTGTGGTCCAGAACAAGATCGCCATGTTTTAATTTTCGTTTATCAGAGGGCTGAACTAACCGATAAATAATCTTTTTCGCATAATTTTCAGACAGCAATTAGCCCTATATTCTTTGATGTTTTCCAATTCAGCAAGCAGTAGAAATAAGATATTTTTAATGAATGGATTGTTTAGAAGAAATCTGCATCTGATAATGTTACTCAGTGATTGTCAACTTATTGACATTCGAAAAACAAACAGGGTCATATTTGAAAAGTTAAAATGAAAAAGCTATTAAACTAAAAGTCCAGAAAGAAATAGCCGTGTTGGAATTCGTAATCTTTACTGATGTTGGTGTTTCCTTACAATAATGCAAAATTAAGTGGATTTCCAAAAAAGGCCTTAAGCATGAGTCGTCTTCAATTTTTCCGTTTAACGTCACCGGAACAAACATTATTATTTTCAAGACTGGCAAGCTAAAGAAGTACAATCTTCTTTATAATGGAATTACCTTGGTCCGAAGAGACTAATTTTTATTTTTATATCCTCACATAAGTGTGTGTGCCTAAGATAAGATCACTTATAACACGAGTGAAACGAGTATCTGTTCAAGCGTGTGAGGGACAATGGACAGAAGGAGGTTTAGCAAACACTATCAGTTAAATCTGCTCTTTCTCCACTGATGCCTTGCCCTCTTCCCGCCTCTTTCTCTCTCTCGCCTTTGTCACAAGTGGGCCGATGAGCCGACCGACGGAGGAAAAAATAAATAAACTCCTCCTATCCGTCGCCTTGGCCAATTACGACGTGCTTATATGTGGACTTAGCCAGCGCAAATAAACCAGTAATTGAAATACTCCCCCGTCCCGAGTCGGGTTAGTCGAACTGGCAGAGGGCGTAGTAGCTCTTACTTTGTTTACTGTGAACATTGGACTCCGGTCTACATAAACCCGTCCCTATGCATTACTGCACAATCCATGGGTTACTCCAAACACTTTCCTATCTGTACATGGTGACAATTTTAGCTGTTCATTCTTTTTTTCAAATAGTAATGGCCATTCTTGAAAAGAGTATAACCTTTTTTGACAGATATTCAGTGTTTTGGACAAAATGTTATTAGTAAGGCTCTGGACCTGTTCCTTATCCATACGAGACCCGATTGTCTTCAAATTGAATTGATCCATAAATTCGATGAATGGCTTCGCTGTCTTTTTTTTAATCAAGGACTAGTCAGAATAGATTTCTTGTGTCAAGTTCTTCTTTGGCTCCCCTTTTTATAAATACAAAAACTTCTTCCAAAATAGGTTTTTTATTGGTGACCTTAGCACGTGTTCAAAGGATTTGAGATGGTCTGGTAATCGCTCATATCATATGTTTCAGTGCTCCTTCGAGCCGATGGAAATACTTTTTTAGGGAACGGAGATCATAATAACTTATTGTTTTCTACCAACAACAAAACGAAAATTTCGGTTGAGTATGATTTCAATATCATCATTGGCATCGTGTCCTCCTAATAAGGAGTAAGATTTTAACAACACCAGGGTTATGACTAGACAGAAATTAAGGCCTTATTAAAATAAACATTATTACCTATTAAGAGGTTTTTACTTGAGTTTTTAAATATATAACAAGAATATCGATTGTTGCTATTAAAGCGACAAATATAGGTCAGTTTTCTCACTTCTTAATCACAGAGGTCAACAAAGGTAAAATGTTGACGCTCTGATAAGGTGGACGAATAATAAATTGTAGATTAAAAACATTTCAGTGATGCATGGAGAAGGAAGTGGTTTAATCGACATTCGCATTAAAAAATGACGTTTGAGCAACGTTTTGTCATTGGCATTCAAGTAAAAGCTACTTATAGGTCGAGCTAACCACTAGCCTTGTTTGTACATCAACCAGATGTCAGTTGAGTCATAAATAACAGGACATTCAGTTTTTAGACCTCAAAGCGCCAATCGCTTTGCTTACCAGCGAGAGAGTAACCTTCCTCCCAGGAGCTCGAGCATATCTCTCCCTAAAGTTAGGTGAAAGGGAGCACGCAAGCGAGGAGTAAATCAAAGCGCCACCTCTTGTGAACACACCCGCGCTCGCGCGCTAGCACACACACACACACTCAAAAGGCGTCGACAGGGTGGGCTCGAACCAGGACACATGTGTGCAGTGCAGTGCAGTGCATTGTGTGTATCTGTGTCTATTAAATCATCACCCTCTTGTGTGTTCACACCCACCCACTCACATATACGGACACACACCAGCACTTGTGGTTGCACTAACAAGATCACACCGGCTCCCTCATTGGGGCCAGCAGGGGTGGATGACTTGACAACTGGTGAAGTTTCTTTTCTCTCGCCTCATTCCTTTTTTGTCGGGGGAGTAGATGGTCGCCTTCCCGTCCGCTCTGATTTATTGAGGAAGGGGAGGAGGAGAAAATACTGATGCAACCAGGGCCTCGGTCTCCTGGTTGTTGTGCTAATGTTGTCTTGTTAATAAGGCAGGTAACTTTAGAGAGGACTTTTCATGCACAATTAGAGGGATAACTTATGTCAGTAAAGACTACACTTTTAGCCAAGAAGACTATGATTTAAGAAAAGAATTATAACGTAGCTGCTTAACCATCATCACAGTTGAGAGTGTTGTTGAAGACGACTTTAAAGGAGAAGCTAGACACCGCCTAAAATAAACTTCTGTTATTGGAGTGATTGAATTCCGTTTACTGGTAGAAGGGAGAAGAAGAAGCAAATGTGAGCGACAGGATGGTCTTCTTTGGCACAAATCTCAAGGTCACGAAATCGATAAACTGCTCCGCTTTATGCAAGACCCATCCCCATGGAATTTGAAACAATTATGTGTGTGTGTGTGTGCAGGTTACGCCTGTGACAATGACGTAGCAGGCTTTGAGTCAGTTTGTCAGAGAAGCAGATTGAGTCAAGAGAAAGTCGCTCATGGGAGGTAAAGAAAACGCAAATGCTTGTTCCAACAAATCGAGCCCAAAAAACTGCAAAAATGAAATACTTTTGAAATTTAAGAGGATGAACTCGTCTAAATAGGAAATTTTGCATAGATTTACTTATCGTTCTCACCTGTTGCGCTAAGTAAATAAGTACTGAAAGTGTGCCGAGGCTTATCCAAATTTCACTTCTTCCGAGGTTGATAAATATTTTCGCAGTGTCTACAAAAAAGACGCTATAAAGTTGTTTTTTTTATGCAAAGACAGTAAGAAAAAGCAGGTTGAAACAATTTATTTGCGCCATTGTCGATTTCTTCCCAGAATGAGAAGTCAACACGACTTATGCGCAGATTCCCCATCTGCTCAACAGATATGCATTTTCGCACGGCAAGAGCTATTTTTTTGTCTTTTTCTACATGCGCACAATGGTAGTAATAAATCTTAATATCGTCTCACTATTTTTAAAGGGTAATACAAATTTCTGAGTCACTCTGGTCACCAGCGTTACATATATGTGACGCTGGTCGCTTATCGGAGTATTTTAACAATAAAATGTGCCATACCTTTTGTTGTTGAGCCCCATATCAAAACTGCTCAACGAGTTGGAATGCTTTTTCCATGTTTTCGCCTCATGCAACAAGAGAAAGCAATAAAAAGAGTAAAAGAGGTTTTTAGCCTCACTACGCGAATATGCGGTCCTATTGACCCTGGAACTGCACTGACTCATGATTCGTGGGCTTTGTAACTAAAGCGAGGCAGAGAATCGACTCGTGCTTGGTAGTCGTCATGCCTCGTGTCTTATCGCCCGGGAGCAAATATTTACCAGATTTTCGACCCCTCATACTAACTCCACCACCCTCGCCCCCACCACATTCATCCTCTTTATCTTTGCCTCCTGCTCCAGTGTTTCCCCCCGAGAAGGCGGACTTTGGTCTCGTTTACATTTTGCCGAATGATGATGATGAGTAAGTGGGTTTATGAGTATGCACATATGTGTACGTAGATGGGTGTGTTTGCTGACACCCCCTCCCTTCTCTCCCTCCAGCGCCTCCTTGAGCACACAGTGCTGAAGAAGGGGTGAGATGGGGGAACTTGGATACTATCTCCGCTTGAGGGAATATGGCTCTGATTACCGTAGAAAAAGGAGAGACAGCACTCACAGAAACACACACACATGCACACACACATGTGGACATAAAGGCACGTGGGTCCTGGACCATTGTGGAGAACACTGTTGAATGCAAAGTAAGGGGATTGTGGCCCCTATAGCTACAATTAATTAATGTTAGCTCGCTTATAAGCAACCAAATGCTGAATAATACTGGGGGAATTGGCTACTAATGCCCTTGATCAGCGGCAGCAGCTAGCGACCCATGTTTTTAACAGAATTAAAAAGTTGTGGCAAAAAGGTAGGAAAGTAATTCGGATTTTACTTTTGACTGAATTAATGGTTTCAATACAAAATAGCAGTTGCTGATCTTAATCAAGGCTCAAGATGCCGGCAAATGTGACACGTTGTCGTCAAGGCTCACCGGCAATTAAGATTTTCACTGACAGTGGAAGCCAGTTGGCTCTGCGATCCAATGCAGTTGTGAGCTTTGGTCTTCTTCTCAGTCTCGGATCTCAATGGCTTAATTTAATTAAAACACCATTTTCAAAACAAAATGACTGACATCTCGGTATAATTTCAACGGATCATTGTGCCAACTCGGCACAAACTATCAGTCATTCCCGACAGATGATCACATCACAACAAAATTTGCACTAATAGCAGCATTGTCTCATTGTAGTGATGAGCCCAACATTTATTAGAATATCCTTACTCCACTTTATGCGTCGAAATCACCAAAGTTTACGGGGGTAAGGTGAAGACAGGCTAATTAAGCATTAAATCACCCTGCAATTGAGAAGGAGGGAAGGTATGTGAGAACCGGAAGTAGTGACAGCTGTGATTGCCATAGGCAGTGAATAGAGGGGGAGGGGTAGTGAAGGCGAAAGGTGGAACATTACGCCTAGCAGATAGGTCTTCCCTTTGCCCTGAGGCACTGATAGCACGGCTCCTCAACCTAGAGTGGAGGGAATAGGTTGTGGCAGGAATCATCTCACAACTGAACCACGTCTCTGTTTTCTCTTCTGCAGTTAGTACTGGATTGCAGTGCAGAACTCTGCCTAGTCGTTTATTCCTTTAGAAAAATATTTATAACATTAAAGAGAGGTACCGGATTGGATAGTGTCATTATCATCGCCTAAAGAGTGTCATATCATATTGACCCCCTAAACATATTAGCTTTAGGTATTAGGTTAGTTAAAACGTAATTTTAGAACATTTTTGGGTTTAATGAAAGCCGCACAGGACTAGGAAAATTTTGAGTAGAGATAATACCTTGTACTCAGGGTGATCTGGGGGGAGGTCTCAACTACCCACCAGTTATCCAGTCCAAATGCATGTATGACTGCGGTGTAACAGCAAAAAGTTCTCTTGTAGTGGTAGAGGAATGGAAGATATGGAGGCAGATCAGACGTTAGTAAAAATGACAGCCAAAAGCAAAATATACAAACGAGAAACAAGACGTTTTCCTAAATACTAAACTAAAAATATTGATTCCTTTTTGAGTAAACCCATTAATGAGGGAAATTTGATTCTAATAAAATGATTTATTTGACCATATGTTATCATTTTTAATACAATTCTACTTGAGAGTTTGACCAATAGGAGATTGGATTCGCGATTAATGAAATTGTACGCACATTGAAATTTTAATTAAAATCAACACTTTTGACATGACACGATACCATAGCAACGGGGTTGACTGCTATACGTTGTCAGTAAACTAGACAATTAGGAAAATGTATAAAATAGTCAAAATACCATCATTTCATAATATTTAAAACTTTTGGAATATTTTAACGGTTAAAAAACTTAGTGCAAAAGCTATTTAGCACTTATCGTTTATTTGAAAGTGAACAACTGATTAATGGTAGGTTAATGACATTCAAATTCACACATAAGTACATACAGCTACGTAAAAAAGAAGCAAAACATTACTGCATAGACTTGTTTTCATTACTAAATTATTTGGCCAGCCAGATGGTCAATTTTGTGCCCCTGGCCGTACCGAGGTTGTATATGTGCGCGCCACTCCCCAACAGAAGGTCAACAGCAATTGGGTGAGGCGTTTCGTGTGGTCATTAGACAAGAGGCTGGAGGAGAATAGCAGAACGCGAAATCACTGTCGAGGAGAGAATGTAATATCTACTGGAAGTAATATACAGTGCCAAACAGTTTCAAGTCAGTTCAAGAATGTGAAGTGGTCAGTCACCTACATATTGGCAGCTTGGTTGGATTAGTTGTCAAATTAAAATTACATTCACACCTTGTAACTCGGTCAATGTTCTACTTTATCGTATTTTAAAGACAAAATGTGGATTAAAGTGGCAAACACAATCGAAAAAAGTAGTCATTTGTTTATCACTTCAAGTGCAGAAAAGAAGACAGTTGATCCTATGTGAAGGAATGATTAAGTTAAACTACTTTGAAAATGGAAACAAAAATGCTAATCGAAATGATTTAAAAATTCAATTATCGTTTAATTTAAAGAAGGTGTCATAAAACCAACTTAGAAAAGACATTAAATTTGACCGACCTCGGGATTAAATCCCCCGCCTAGAAATGACTCAGCTTTCCCTGAATTTCATTTACTGATAATCAATATTAATTCTACTTCTTGGTAATCGATATTGATTTTTAGGTCGTGACGAATGGGCGCTCAGTGAGTTTGAGCCAGCCACACGTCCGTCGCATTTTCAATGAAGCGCATCTTACGCCAGCGTGTTTGTAAGTGAATTGACTTTATGCTCTTTTTGGCAGTCAAAAAACTATTTAAATGGCGAAAATATGCATGAAATTAAAGTACATCGCGAATGTAGCCATGGTGATTTTACAGGTGACACATTTCTTGCATGCATCCATGTCTGCATGCGTACGCATGTGCGCCAATTCGGTTAGCGTCTCCTGACAGCTCGCGTGGTTTTGGAGCCACGTGAGAGTGATGGAAAAGTAGGCTTGATTTTTTCTTCAAGATTTGACGTTAAAATTTGCATCCTTTATAGACGGGTGGAGAAAGCATACTCACCACTTCGTTTGCAAACACAAATGATGCCGGTTTTGATGAGCAATAGGGGTTTTTTTTGTAAAGCATATCTTTGACCGATTAGGATCTTGGACAAGATGTCGTTCAGAACAGCAGCCACAGACAACTAAGTGAATTCAATGGAGAGTGAGCATGCGACAGCAAAGATTACCCAGCTGAGAGTTTGTTCACAAGCTTCCAATTGTATGCGCCCCCTGCTCTGTAGCCTTAGTAACAAAAAGGAAAATGAGAAAAGATCGCGACAGATGGCTTTGATGGGGAGCTGGCTAATCCCTCTCCAAAACCAAAACAGGGGGAGACGTTTATTATCCCTCATTCGTTTTGTGTCATCAGGCATTGTAGTACTGCGGACAGGAGGCATATTACTGGAATCGCCCCGTATATCAGGGGAAAAAATTTTACGTGAAAATCGGTTCATGCAACTGAGCCAGTAGTACAAGCTAGTGCAAGTTTTAGTGCCCCAAGACTTCCCCGAAGATGGAAGAAGACATAGTACTCAGGCAGAGCATGTATTATCGGTATACAGAAGGCCTGGGTGGCTTCTATCCCGATCCGGAGGCCGTGCCGCCCAGTGGTAGCACTGAAGCAGGGTCTTGAGTAACGTTGAAGCCAAAACGAAGCGTTAAACAAACAGTTTGCTGGTTTGCGGTGCCTAAAATGAAAATGACGAAGAAACAGGGCAGAAACTGCTGTCCTGTGCTCCCGGCGCCATGTGATGTTCATGAGGTAATTCCTGTGACCGGAAAGCTGCTGAAAATGTTGTCTTTCGCATTTTGTATGCATGTAAAATGCCGCTCAAATCACTATTTTTCTACCTGATTCATCGGAAATTTGGACAATATGATTAGTCCCACGGAATTTGCAGTCTGGGTAACGGTAGCAATCGAGATTTTTTAAATACTACTTACGAACGAAACGTTGTTTTAAAAAAAAGGGAAACAGTAAAAGGGATATTAACAAGGGTTGGACAAAGTCGGAAACGGATGTGCTCTTCAAACGTCAAGCGACTATCATGACCATTAATGTCTTCTTCACTACTAGCGTTGCGTGAAAGTGACACTCCGACTTCCTTGTCCGACTCCGGCGTCACAAATGTGTGACATGGGTTTTTTGTCGGGGTACCATAACTGATTGCACATAATCGTGTGTCACAAAACAGATTTTGGCTTTTGATCTGCGGCTGAACCTCCTAGCATCTTCGGCCTTGAGAAAATGAAGAAATTAAGGTATCAATGACTAGCAGGGAGTTCTTTTTTTCGTCCTCGACCTCTCTGTACAGCTTTACCCTGTTCACTCCGACCGTTGGCGAGTCGAGATGACAAAGTGGGGCACTATCTCGGTTGTCCTTCTTTTAGATAAGCACTGTGTGTGTAACGAAGATCCTTATTTACAGCCCCGACATGTGGCGTTGATTTTCTCGAGGAACACACACACTCACCCACTCACCCACCCACCCACTCACCCCGGGGCTGTCAGGCGCACGAAAATCTTGTCGTACCAGCAGAAAGACATCCTACGACTTCATGATCGGAGTGTGTACATGCGGTGCGATACAGGCATTGTGTGATGTCACACGTCATTAACACCCAACATGTACAGCATAGGTGATTGAGATTATGATGGATGCTGACTAATAACTTCACTAGTGTTATCTTTCTAAAGCCGACACCTTGTTGATGAGGATACATAACCGAGTGATACGTTCCCACCTGTGCCGACAATTGTCTTGGTCATCCAAATGCATCTAAAATGGTGTAAGTAACCATTTTTACGCATGTTGTCACAGGAGAGCGGCTTACGTATGCAGCAAAGTTGTGAAGACGTCATTCACTATGGCTATTTGAAAGTAGATCAAATTGTTGAAAAGCGTGGGCGTCACGGAGATCAGCAAATTTGACTCTCATCATCTTTCTGTGCTATTATAGCGTACATCAGCATCAGCCTCTTCTAGTCTTGGTAGTTAAATGTTTGGAGGTATAAATGATTGTTTTTTTTGTATACCTAATGTAACTGTAATACGATGGTAGCTTATCCCTCGATATTGGTGAAGTGCCACTTTTGAACTTTGAATTAGCCTTCCTGTGCCTCTCTGGGTCGGCTGGCCTTCGGGCCATGTTAATAGCCCAAACACCCTCTTTGTGCTGAACATATATTCTGCCCAAGTATTGTGCCTTTTTTCGTCTTCAGGAAAGTCTCGGGACGCTACACAACTTCCATTAAGGTGCCTTTAATAAACTTAGTTCGTGCAAAAACGTCCAAAATTATTCTCACTTCTGACCATGTATAAGAGGATAACTTACTTTTCTACCTATATCAGGAAACTTTTTTAGAAAATTTAACCTGGAGTGCGGTTTTAATAAACAATTTTGACGTATTTAAGCACGCTGGGGCAACGTAAATCCGTACTATTACACATACAAATGTAGTTGGGTTATTGAGGATTTTGCTCGGTAGGGGAAGGGACAAGTTTGCAAAAGCAGGAATTTTGTTGACATCACATGCCATATTAGCCTTTAAAACTTTGGCTATTAAAGAATAACCGACTACTACAACCCATAAGGGATATACTCCAGTCAAAATGGTCTTTCCAAAGACTATAAGGGTGTTATCATCCACCAAAAAGAACATTTTACAGAATGCTTGCCAAATTTCTGTGTGACTGGTAGTAAACACGCAAAAAATGCTCAACTTCTTAATTTCTCGACAGGAGATGGAAAGACGGATAGAAGACTAGGATAACCAATATGTAGAAATTAGGTTTGATATCCAATTCAGTTAAAAGCTTGGCCTTCTTTTAGTAAATAAATGCCCCCGACGAATCAATTAATCCAATTTAGCGAATTTTAAGTGGAATGGAATTGATTAAGGAGACTCTAGCCCACCGGCATTGAACAAAAGTTTACTATTGTTCGCAAATGGAGGTGTAGAAGTCTGTTAGTAGTTAGAATTCCATAATGCAATTGGATTAGCTGCTTAGTTTCAAAAATTGATTTCGACATAACGAGGTCAAGCAGTAGTAGAAATAATAGAACGAGAGAGGAAATTACTACCCGCACATTGATACATATATTGGTGACATTGACAGGATTGAAAAGCTCAAAAGCGTTAATTAAAAGCGAATTATGCAGACATCACAAAAATGTGGGAACAACATATATCGCAAAGCATATTCAAGCAATTCAAACGAGGAAACAATAAATGTGCACCATTTACATCAGATCCCAAAATAAATCATAACAAACAAATTCTAAATATATGGAGTGTAAACGCTCGCCTGAAATTATAGGTTATAGTATACCGTTTGCCAGATTATTGAGCTTAAAGTCCATTACTTATTTGTTAGTGCCACTACCTTGCTCCATACGGTTTATATAAAAGTAAGTGTTAATAAAAATGCACAGATTCCTTAAATTTTATAGTTGTGCCTTTTTAGAGTAAGCGGAAGTGTTTTCGCTTACAAAAAAACTTGTTTTACCCATCTACTATAGACAGATTATCTGACCTTATTCTCGTATGACAGAAGAGGGACACATGTTTTACCGATCTTTGTAACTAATGCCATTAAGTGCAGAGCATGCACTCAAATTACGAGCAATTAAGGCAATAGTTGGTTGTATTTTAATCATATTTACTTTTGGAAACTTTTATTCCATTGGTAAGGCCTCAGCTTTTACATGTGAACTTGCTAGGCAACATGTCCCCGTACATTATATCATATATTCGCAAAAAAGTTGATAAAAACACAAATCCTATTGATGCCATCTGGCTTTCTGGAGTTTGTCTAGGCGTTCAAGGAATATTCATGCCAATAGCTGGATTGTTGGCCCTTAAAACAGGAGTGAAATTCATTGTCGGTGTGAGTTGTTTATTAAACAGGTAGGACGTTTTCATGAGCATCACTGGTATATATCGATTGTAAGACTACCGGACATATAAAAAGTGAGTTAGTTTTAATTGGACCAATACGAGTAGACGCATGAAAAATACCATATGTTAGAAGAAAGCATAAAGCTGCAGAATGATTTAAACACTCACTTTTTGTTTATCTTACAACTTATTTGCGTTGTAACAGTACGAATTGTTTAATAGTAGTGCAAAATTATTTGCATTTTTAGTTTTTGTTGGGCTTACTAATTGGATTGGTGTTCTCTTGGTTGACTAAATACTCATCCAATTAATTTCTGAACCATCCCTCCACTTAGGGTTATAACTGTTCATGTTCTCTATGAGGCAATGGACGGCGTATTTTTTTCTTGAGTACCAAAAATTGTGATATACTACCTGTAACACTTCTCTTAAAGGCGATGCAGCCGAATTTTCCTACCATTTCCTTCTGTTGCAGCCTTGGAATCATGCTCTCTTATGTGTCAATACAATGGGGCTTCATCTTGTTTGTGATGACCTACTCTCTTATGGTTGGAATTGGCGTGTCGGCCTCGTATAGCGTGTTACTCTCAATAGCAACTGCTGTAGGATATTTTAATGCATTTCGACTAGTATTTGGAAATGATTAGCTAAACTAGGTTATGCTCTGGAGAAATATTGAATGCCGATGATCCTAAGATTGTTTCACGGCATTCATAGTTGTTACAAATGAGCAAGCATGGAAGTGATAACTTATTCGACACAAAAGTGGAGGTAGTTTTGGGCTCATAAATTATTCTAAAAGCCCATTATCTACGAGTTGATCCGTGCAGAATTACCTAAGGATCTGAGAAATTTTTACTTAAACCTGTGAAAATTATATTTCGACTCCATGCCTATGCACGACTTGGAGTGGAGAATCGATCAATATGGCTTATATCTGTAAAGCAGTAACGGACGCTTTTTCGGTTTGGTTTGTTTTTTTTTTAAAGTGGATGCCAAATGCACGAGGTCTAGTCCTTGGTCTCTGCGCTTGTATGTTCGGTGCTGGTGCGATAGTTTTGACTCCCATACAAACAGTCCTGATCAACCCCACCAACATAAAACCGAACAACGTTAGTCAGTAGGTTCGCCTCCTGGCTTAGGGACGCTTTCTTAAAAACTGATCCATAAATACAACTTTGTGTTCGGAACCCGATTCACAGCCTTTTCGAGGATGAAGCTTTACTCTTTCGTGTGCCCCCTTCCATCCTTACCCTTGGAGCGATTCTGGGCAGTCTGCAGCTCATCGGATGGATCTGTGTGAAGGTGCCTAGTGAAAATGTGGGTCTTTTAAAATAAGGAAATTGCGTATTTTGCTCTTTTTTCGTGAGGAGTAAGTCATTCTTATTATTACCATACGGTTTTATTTCTATGTAACTGGTGAAACAGCCGAGGCTGTCAAAACCAACTTTAAAAGTATTTTCCGAATTTTCAGGCTTAAAAGATTAGCTAAAATGACAACTTTATTGTTCTTTGAAGAACTCCGTCCATCTGTTTGAGCTTAAAACCATTTTGTCCAAATTTTTGCTTATTAAAAGCCTCTCATAATCAAATGTTATTGTGTCACGCTAAGAAAGTGCATTCATACTTTAAGATATAAAACAAACTAATGTAAATGTTATATTGCAGAGTTAAAAAATAGTCTATGTTTATGGCTATACACATCGTTCAAAGTTACAGTCCAACAATGACCTGACTCTCAGTAAACACTCATTATAAGGCGATCCGACACCTAGTAGTAGGAAAAGTGCTTTTCTGAAAATCAGGCTAACTTGCTTTTAATTATGCTTTAGCTGGTTTCAGCAGAGGACGAGGTCCTGAATGAAGTAGGCGAGTAAGTGATTCAATGGTGGTCCTGAATCGACACCAATGAAGTGTTTATGCAAACTCAAACTGAAAATTCATTGGCATGAGAAACAAAAAATAGACGGAAAATATTTGCTCACTAGTGGAAGTTCATCACCATTCAATAACTCAGCATTTAAGAAAGTTAAGCTTAGAATGGCGCATAGGGAAACTGGACAAGCTGCGTCATGAATCCAAGTGTCAGTTAAATTATTTGCGGTTGAGCAAACACTATTAACAGGTTGCACATCCTTTTTGCCTTAGAATCGAAAACTACCCACCGCTAAAGGTATTGCGGACGGCGGATTTCTATGTCCTGTGGCTCACCATGCTCTGTGGAATTTTCCCTGTGATTATGATAATGTCGCTGTACAAGGTAAAACAAACAAAACCCTTTCCCTCCTACTTATGAGGTCTCAGGCATTAAAAAATCCTCTAGAATACTATTTCTTGTTACTTGCCTTCCTTCCCTTCACCTAGATAATAGGGCAAAAAGAAATAAAAAATGACCGCTTCTTGACAGCCGTGGGGACGCTTAGCTCAGTGGCCAACATGCTCGGCAGACTGATGTGGGGCGAATTGGCTGATAGAATCTTTTATAAGGCAAGTTTTTGCAAGGTAACGTTCGAAATTTCAAGCGCGTTTTACTGGCGTGATGTAGTTAAACAGTACGTCTGATTTAAAAGCCCCCTAAAGGTTGATCCTCATTTGAAGAAAAGACGCATCCAAGTGAGACAGTACTGATAGTTGATCAGCTCAGAGTGTTATTTACGTAAAAAAAGTTGCAGAACCAGAATCCGCATTCTATAATAGCCTTTGGAAATTTGACCTGATAGTCTTAAGAAGATTGTAAAAATGAAACCCAGAGGTGCTTTTTGACAACACACGAGTGTTCTTCAGGAGTAGCGGTTAAGTTATTCATAATTGTAATTTGATACTCGAAGTAGGCTTTCACTAACGGTAGTTAAGCAAAGTAAAAAACGCCGAGTTTTGTTGCTTTGCCTTCGTAGACCCTCCTTGCAGTCGTGTACGCTCTCTGGTCTTTGCTCTTCCTCATCCTGCCTTTTTCTCCCCACATCCCGAACGTGGGGATGTACTTATTCGCAATCCTTGTCATCCTCCTTTTCATTTGTATTGCCGGCCTATTTGTCCTCACTCCTTACGCGGCGCGTAAGCTCTTCGGCCAGGAGTACTTCGCCGCCAACTTTGGTCTCATCTTCTCTGCCGTGGTGAGACCTCGACCACATTCCTACTTAAATCACATATAAGTAGCTGTCTATACAAAAGTGGTGTTAATATAAAATTGGGGACCTGTGGTTTGATGCAATAAAAAACGCATTACTGGGAATCAAAACTGCACTTACACTTTTCACTAGACCTTTGCTAAGTGTTCATACTGTTTTCGCACTCAAGGAACATTTGGAAGATTCGTTGATACAGAATGCCTATTTTGAGACAAGCTGCTTCACTTTGCCGCCTAGCATGAGCCAACTTTTTGTGATTACAAATGTTTATGAATGATTGTGTCCACTACAAAATTTGCCGCCCGTACAGTCTTATGACAGACCTTGTAGCATTCGGTCGTCTTGGATCATCCATCCCACGCACCGATTGTAATGTATCCAAGAATCGCAGCTGTGATGGTAAGCTGAGGAAACACTACGACCGGATTGTCAATGACTAGTAGACATACTTCCATCCTTAAAGCGCTTGTCCCACTTAGACTCTTCACTGCTTAGCAGCTGCGTGTTTTAATACCCTTCTGTGGGTTTAAAGCCTGATGGAAAGTGGACATCTTTGCTTCCAGGTTTTACGCCTCTCTTCCCACTCACGGAAGGCCTTATCACCAAATGCCAGTGCTGAGGGTGTTTGGAATAGTGTTTTTATGGAGAGGTAAAATACAGTTTATTTTGAACACCTTTGCGCATCATACAGGGTGGATTGCTAAGAGGAAGCAGTAGGTCTCGTTATTAACCCTGAATATAAGTTGGAATGGCACAAGTTAATGATTGTCCACTTAAGTTTATTAGCCGATTTCAATGGATCAGAAACACACATTCACTCCCTCCCATGGTAACAAGCGTTTGAGGAGTCCTTTTTATCACCATTCGAAGATTTCTTCATCTTCCCGCTTGCAATGCATTACTAAATCTTAATTCCATCTGCACATTGATAAAATCTGAATTTGTTTTTCTCAGAAGCAGTGTGTTATCATACAATTTACCCACAACTGTCAAGGAGTGATGCGTAGTCAAAAGAATTTATCTAGCTGCAATACGTCCTTACATTGAGACTGCAGCTTAGTTACTGAAGATCGTTCCTTATTTTCAAGTTTATCAGCTCTTGGCACTAGGTCTACGCTCTGCCAATCTAATCGACAAAGCAGTGACAGATATCAAGACTGTGCGACACAAAGTGCTTTTGATCGCTTCGGCGCAATTGAAGGAACAGGACCATCTGAATTGGTACCTCCTTTTTGCCCACCCGTAATAAAAATCAAATGCTGAATTGTTATTAAACTGTGTTGACGAATTGGCCGAGTGTAATTTCATCTCACCCAAACCCTTTCGGCTCGGAGAGTGAGAAAATCCCTTTGACTTATCGATGGTAAGTACCGGTGGCTAAAAAAGAGGTATTTGTTTTTGTAGTTGCCAGGGGCGATGGTGGGTTCTGCGATCTCAGTCACGGCGAATGTCCACCATCACGTCGTTCACCTATGCCTTGGTTGTGCTGCTTCGTGCTTCGCTGGTAAGAAGGGGCCTTTTCTACCTCTCGCACCTCATGCTTGCTAGCTTTTCAAGCATTGCTGTTCAACCACGAGCTAACTTTTAGTGGCCGAGAAATGTCTAGGCGTGGAATTTCTACTTTCATTCAAAAAGCTGTCGCTATCGCCTTTTACTAATCCTTAACTCCACAAAGATTAGACGGATCGCCTCATGACAGAAAAAACATTTTAAAGCGGTTCTAAGGTCTTGTAGATTGAAGAGTTGCAAGTATGGAGCTCTGAAATCAGTTCCAAACAGCTGAAACTTACGTTGGTGGATAATTTCTGCTCAACACACCAAAATGTAACAAAAAAATCCTTTTCAAATAAGGATAAATACCAGATCAGGAATTGCAGCATAAAAGTCCGAATAAATTTGGTACAGCAGAGATAAAGTAGGAACACTAAACTTGTCTCTAATACAGCAGTCACAACCCATGCTGCAATTTTCCTGTCAGTAAAAGCAGTAACTAAACGAAAGCATCGGTGCTCCTCTAGGCTTTGTTGCAGCTCTAACCTTACCCAGTGGTCAAAGAAACGGTCCCAGAGCGCTCTCATCCCTCTTCTGTCACAAGAAGCCACGAGGCACCGAAACATCTCAAAGCGTGGGCGTGGTAAGTCACCAATGCGTTCATATTGCTTATGATTAATCAAACGTCCATCACTCTCCTTCCATCCCTGTTCCAGCAGTCACCGCAGTTGTAGAAGCGAACTACTAACCCTTCTGCCCTCCAATTGAGTGGCAACTGCTGCTCCCCTTTTAATTTCCGGAGGTTTAGCTTCTTCTTGCCAAACAAATGCCGTTTATTTGGATGCGGATGCTACGTGGAGGAAATTCGGAAAAATAAAGCACACTTTAATTATTATCAAAAATGGTTTATTTACACGGCTAGTGTGTTCTGGGTGGGAAGGCAGATGGGTTAGACAATATAAAGACAGCAACTGAAGGGGAGACAAGTGGTGGGGCATAGGACTTTAGAAGGCGCAGCGGGTGCGCATATCCTCTAGACGTTTGGCAATGTCGGTGGGGACCTTGTCCATCTCCTCCGCGATGTTCCGCTGTTTATCCGCATCCAGAGTGTTGAACATCTCGCAGAGGTCCCCGTCGATTACGTTCTAATGCAGGCAATGCGGACAGGTAAGTCAAACAGCTTTCTACTATCTAAGACCTCAAACACACACGCGACCAACTTGGTAAACAATTTGAACTCAGACGTCGTGAAATTTGCTAGATTTGTAGGTGTTAGGCACAAAACTACTTCCTCAACAGTAGGCACTTCAAGGATTTTGATTTATGAGGCTCAAACTCACTTCAGACATGGAATGACTTTAAATTTACTTAAAAAGAGAGAAACAAGTTAGCGGCGAATGATGGAAAAGTGAGGTAATTGCGCAAAATAATGTGGCACAATCGCAAAACACCAACTTTGGAGCAGCTGGTCGGAACTGTCCAAATCTCTAGCAATATTCAAGATGCCTCCTTACAGCCCATCTCGTTTCACGTCTTTCGAAAAATTAGCCGTGTTAATTGTAATAGAAAGCTCCAATCTACGGAAAACAATAGTCTAGACAACAAATGCCAAAATTAGAGAAACACACCCCTGACAGTCAACGTCAAGGGGATGCAAACGAGGCTCAGAGTAAGATACATATAAATTTCTAAAACCAGGGACCCTAAAGTTTTGAGGAGGCTGAATTATTGAGGAATTTGCAATCATGCACAGGTAGCCGGCGAGTGAGGGAGAGCAACTGACCTTGCATGGATAGTACAGTGAGCGATAGTGAAGGTGGTCACGACCCACGAGAGAGATATTCTCCGAGCGCATGTGAAGTTCGAGATGCTGGAAGAAGGAGTAGGCGTCCTTGGAAGCGAAGGGGATGAGGATGCCCAGACTGCCCGAGAGCGTGGCGTACACCAGACCCTCCGAACCGCCCGGGATCAGGGTAGCCTTTTGAAGAGATGTCACCACCTCGCCCACGTAGAAGTGGCAAACCATCTGGAAAAAAAATCAGGCATACAAAGCGTCAGTGCAATCTACTTGTATCTTTTGGCTCCTTTTCGCAATTTAACACCAATCTCTGGTCAACGTTAGAAAGGGGATGTTCTGAATGTGTAGACGACCCTACCATATAATAAAGGTCCAACGAATGCCTTCACCACCAAGATGTTTATCAGTTACTTTCTGATCACTTTCATAGCCCAAAATCGCTACCTAGTACCACCGTCTGTCAAATACTCGAAATGATTTAGATTTAGGAAGAACTCGAACAGATTGACAACACCCAATGGAAGAGGGAAAGCGAACCTCCTCAGGTGGGTTAATAAAACTCCAATATACGATTTATCTCGGCAATTCACTACTTTAAACTTGAGTGAAGCATACGGCTCAAAACCGCACCTCGAGTTTTTGGCTAGCACCTCCAAGGGCGTTCCTGTCCCACAGTGATCGATTCCCACTGGGATCCTCCTCCACATTGTCATTGACATCAGGTGGCAGACGAAGGATGATGATATTGCCAAACTTGTCGGCCACTGCGGCGGTGGAGTTGTCCAAGACAGCCAGCTGAGTGATCCACCGCGGACTGGCGTCATCCGCAAATATCACCATCTGATTGTCTGCCCGTGGCCGATAGCGCACCCAGAAAAGACTCTCCTGCACGTCCGTCACCAGAATACGGTGTCCGATGCCGTAAATGCCGTTTATTAGATTCGGGAAGTGCTGCAATGGATGATCAAACACTAGGCTAGCACCGAAAACACCAATGCATGAGCACGATGGCACTACTCATTGCTAAATCAAAATAATGAGTAATTTTACATGAGGCTACGCGTACCTCCTGGTGCCATCACACAACTACATCTACTGTTCGGATGCACGCTCGCAGACAAAAGGGGAGCATGAACACGCGTGTGCGAGGTGTCGTGGCCAAGTTTCAAGACGTCCGAATGGAGATGAAAGGCAGCCGTGCAAAGGAGCGTTGATCTGAGTTTTTCAGGTCAGCATCTGACCATTAGCCAACCAAACACCTCCGTACATAAGCTCTGTCCACCACATATACACTGACCTTCTACGCCGTCTTCGCGGTATAGAGCATAGGGTCACAAATAGACTGCACTTCTGCTGGAAGTTTTTGGCTTCTCTCCTCAAGCGGATATTGTAATGACACAAGAACTACTCCATTGTTGCCACTACAAATTCGCGTTACCTCTACGACCGGCCTCCCTGCCCTTTCGTACTTTGATAATAGAGCTACACTACTACTGCCAACCTTTCCAATCACAGAAGCTGAGTTCACATCCGGATCAGTTATCAAATAGCTTCGAGGACATGAGCACGCCAGAAAAACCCGAATTTACGAAATGCTAGAAAACGAGGAGAATGAGAGCATACGCGATTCTCGCCCTTCTTGAGAAGCTTTTTTTTGCCCATGTCGTAGAGACGCAGACGATGTCCAATGCCGGCGAGGAGACGGCCCTGGTAGGCACAAAGGGCAGCGGGGTAGTCCTCCACGGAAGTGTCGTGGACGAATTCCAGGAAGTCGCCCGTGGGTGTTGTGCGGTAGGTGCGCAAAAATCCACCTGAGCAGCTGCGAGGGTTAAGCACCAACTCCTTGGAGAGGGCGACGATCACGTAGTAATCGCCGGGTCTAGAAGAGGGAGGAGGGTGAGCAAGTGCTTGAGTCACCTACCGCATTGACTGCAAAGCAAAGACTCGTAGGCGTGGATGAGGTAGGGAAATTTAAACACAAAATGAACGGCACATCCTGCTAAAGAAGATAACGAGGAATAAAAAATTTTTACAACTTTTACTATTAGAGACCAATTTGTAAGTGGATAAGAATCTCAAAACCTTTGCATACTTTAAAGCCAGGTTACACTGTAAAACAACTCGAAACTGCACGTAGTTGTCAGAAATAGCTAATTCTAATATAAATTTTATCAAAAATACCTTTGGATCAACAATAACGCAACACCTCCTCAGCGCGCTATTTAGGATCTAAGGAACTGAATGTCGAAGAATAAAAACACTTTGATTACGGGAGAAGTTTGAGCAATGATCCAGAACACAACCTTTTTACTCGGCAAAGTCTATTGTTTCCTTCAGGAACATAAGGAATTAACAGAAACGAAAGCAAGCAGTAAACTGGGGAGCCCTAAGCTTAGGACGAAATAGTGCAAACAATATTTCTGAGAGATAAAATTCGTTTGCCCAACCTTGTCCTTGAATATGGTCGTATGGGGAGATAGGGCTGGCCGAAAAGAGTCTGGAGCTAGAAATCTCACCGGTTAGTGAATGTAGCCAGTGTTATGGCATGTGCGGCCTCATTTTGAGCAAATCTGCAGATTTGAAGAGTCTCCCCACTGAGCGGATTCATCAAACGCAGGAGACTGGCCCACATGCCTGGACCGGCCTTTGGAGCTCCAAACACATCCTCAGGCAATGATCGAGACAGGAAGCCTGCCGCCTTCTCCCTCTCACGCACATCCCCCAATGAGGCGAGAATTCGCTGTAAATCGAGAAAAATAAAATTTTATGGTAATATGCACATTTGAACCACTCAACATATATGCCTTTTTAATCTTGTCTACACATGCCAATAGGAGGGGCACTCACTTCACTCATCTCTCTGCGCCTCTCCTCCTTCACTTCGTCCGTGAAGGCGTTATGATCGGTTTCAATAATAAAAGTGTTGTTCGATTCGGGGTGGAAGACAAACCTTCGTGGTGTGTATTGGAGGAGAGTGCTAGTCTGATTAAACACTGCGCCCAGCTTTTCCAAGGCTAAAATTCTGCGAGAGATAAGGGCTCATACAATGCAAGCATAGACGCTCACAAGGCAAGAAGCAGAGACCATGCATACCTGAGAGAGTTCTCACAAATAGCTACAATTCCCTCAGGACATTGTTCCGAGGAGAAACCTGAGGCGAATTCGAGAGCCTCATAGGAGAGTGGGATGATATGGAAACGGCTCTGGTACATGTATGAAAGCCAGGACCGACTAGACACCGCCAAAACCGCATCACCACCCTGCATGGCGACGCGAAATAGTTTTACAGGACTTGTACCGAGGTATCGAGTTCTAGTATCGGAGAGCTCCCCTGTTACTGGATCCAACACCACACGGAAGAGGACACCATTGTTGAGACCGATGTTGAGGTAGAGAATACCACCACCAGCTGTATTTTCTGACTCATTAGCACCCATTTCAACGATGCACAGAGACTCAGCTGCTGTCGGGAGACCTTGCATTGTGAGAGGCGATAGACAATCCTGAGAAAATCAAAGCGGTTGGTCAGGAGGTAAGTGGGGAAAGAGCACCTACCGAAGGATCGAGTGAGAGGATTCGGACAGTGTTGTCGGCCAGACCAACGGCCAGGAAGCGAGAGCGCTGTTCATTAGGCGGGATGCGCCCGAGAGCCATGCAGATGACATCTGCAGGCATCTCCTTTCGTTCCGTGTATTCATTCAACTGACCAGTGGCATCCATTTCAAAATATACCAACTCACCACCGGTCAGTGCAATGACCACTTGTCGTCGGTTCACAGCACACCGTTGGATTGTCTTCTTGCCGGGGGTGCGCCACACATTTATGCGCTTGTCTGCGCGAATGTGTCGAATACCATCAGGGTAAACCTGCACGAGAGCATCATCGCCCAGTTGTGAGCACGTCAGAGTCGGCGTTGTGCCCAGAAAACCCGAATCAGTCACTTCCTCAACAGTCTCACCGATGGAGAGAACGAGAGTTGCATTGACGAAAGAGACAATAATGAAGGAATCGTACTCCTCTAAAGAGTGAACATTAAAATGTTGGGCGGGTCATTACCTTCCGAATTGCGTTTTACCGTCCATACTGCGTTCGGACTGCCGGGTAGGTCAGATTTGGCCATTTCCGTAACCTCTAAGCCGTGACGAAGAAGGCGAAACGTAGACCTTGGACCCCGACCACAAAGCACAGCCATTTGAGGAGTGTCCTCATTGGCTAGATCAGCGATCTGAATTGGTGTCAGGTTAGCATTCAGCACTTACATGAAGACCTGTGATGGGGGAAAGGCTCTCAATGGTGTCCACCTCGATCAAATTCTTCAGTGGGCGGGGCGAGAAGTAAAAAGTGTCGCCTTCTTCCAACGGCATAGCCGACGAGAATTCAGGCTCATCGTCATTATCGCCCAGATGAGCAATTTGATATAGGTGGCTAAAGAAATGTTGCGGTCGGAATGCTTGACTTACTGATTCCCAAACTCTGAGGCAACAAAAAGAAAGCCCGTTTTCAACACACACATCGCCGAAGCTACAGGCACGGTGTCAAAATACTTTAAGCGAATCTCAGTGACAGTTTCTTTGTCCTTTTCAAGATTAATTTTGAAAACATCGCCCTGTTCAGTTTGGGCGAGAAAAAAGAAGAGGTTCTTGGTCCTGTGTGTAGCGCTGCAAACAAACAAAAGTCCTCGGTCTGGATCGTCCAGATCATTGCGACGCTGAGGAATAGGACAACGAATATCGGGCTCATCACCGAAATTCTTGTAAGTGATGTAGTTCTCGGAGCAAATAAGAATCCCAGAGTGAACCTCATTTCCACCTGGTACTGTGATCAAAAAGTTAGCGTGCTCCTCTAGTGGTTCAGAGTACTTGCGTACGACGTGATTGAGACCGAGATCCAATTCGTAATAGGTGAGTAGCTGATGGGCAGACCTTGCGGCCTCGCCAGTGGCATCTTGGTCAGCCTCCTCATAATCCATCTCAATGCAAGCGAATGTGGGATTCTCAAATCCTACATCAACACCAACCATGTGGTAGACAAGAGTATTCGATTTGTGGGCTTCAAGTGGGGATGAAATTGTGAGCCGGGCTTGAGAATCACGGTTCATCACATAGACTAGCTTCTGCTTTTCGACAGCTCCGACCATAAGTGCTCGACCCTTTGGGTCAATTGCAAGGTACTGTCCAGGAATTATGCGACGGCAACCACTTTTGCCATAAGTTTCTTGCTGCACTTTCTCAAATATGTTCTTAGAAGGAATGTATTCCAGTACAACAATGCGGCCGGAATCCGACCCAATTACAATATAGTCTGGAAAAATATGGTGAAATGGATTTAATCTAACCTTTTGTACCACCTGTCAAACGAAATGGCATTAACGAACGGATGATCCCAAACACTTCCGTTGTAAGCAAAGTGTATAGTTTACCCGAACTTGCATCAACGCGCATAATCTCAAGAATTTTGCCCTTGGCAACCACGATTTCCTGTTGCTTTGTTCCGGAAAAGCTACCATTGATAGCATGTATAATACCAGATGCCTTCTGCAGACTCAAGTTGTACAAAAACATGTCCGTAAAAGGCCAAAAATGGCTGCAGCACGAAACTTCGACTGCTGCAGTAATGCTGGGACCAATTGAAATACAGATCTAACAAACGTGTCACAAAAATGAGGATAAATGACAAATTCGGGATATTACTACGATTTCCAGGGCGAAGAAATTTGTAATGACAAAGGCGACATCTCCAATTCAGTTATATTCTTGCATATACGACGTATTGAGGTATCAATATATTCTGCAATTTTGCATTGATCCAAGACAATGTTAGCAGTCTTTCGCATTGAAAAACTTAGAAACATAGTTAAAGTATAACCATTTAGAGTCATTTGTTGCTTAGACAAAAATTCTCCCTCCTAAAAGAACTTTTGCCTTAATATCATCGCTTAAAATTAAAGGCATTTAAAATCAAAATTTGATTGGCAAGCACTTGTTCTATACAGGTTTGTTCCTTTTAAATGGTAATTTTGGTTTTTTAATGCAATAATCCTTACTAGTTCTGACAACTCTGAAAATTAGTTTTAAAATCTTTAATGCTCTTCACTCAGATGCCCAAGTGGACATGTTGAAATCCCATTTGATATGCCCAGTCTGTATTTTGTTCTACTTACCCATAGTTCTCGACTGTTATTTGATTCGTCTGGGTGTCCTTTAGCCTCGGAGATTGATAACCAATGCCCCGGAAAAAAAGTAAGCGGTGTTTTGTTTCCTGAGTTCGCCAGATCGTCGAGGATTTGCTCGATCACACGATGCTAGAGAGAAAAATATAGTCAAGAAGGCTCATCTTATTGCAAGACGCAATGCTCTTATGCTCCGCGCGTCCATGCTATTTGAGCCCTTACGTATTTTCTTGTATAACTTTATTTTTTGCATATAGCCCCAGTATTTGTTCCGAAATACTGCATTCTCAAGGGGTGCAATAGTCTTGGGCACGTCGATGGGGTTAGGAGCAGTCATATAACCCTCTCTGGTTGCCCAAAATATCACAACAATACCATAGAATACTTCCGTGAAATCCGAGAACCCTCTCAAGATCTCCAACCCTTCGAAAACTTGGACGAGGAACTAAGCATTGACAAACAATTCATCAAAGTTAATGAACCTTGCTTGGATGGTCTTGCTTCTGATGCCGATATTCTACTGTTCCGTCGAGCACAGCAAAAACTGGCTTCAGATAAGGTGTGAAACTCGCATTTTTTAGTTTAATTGGTTTATACGGAAGACTATTTATTAAGGCGTCTCTGCACTTGCTTGCTTTTGCTACTTAAAGGTTACTTGGCGTAATTACCATAGAACCCGGTCTATCGGTTGTTGGACTCTTTTCACATTCCTGTTTGTCAAACTAGCCATGCTTCCTTAGCTGTTTATTGTTACGTGCTTTTTGTTTTAGAAAAAGGAAGTCGAGGATCATCTTATTACACTGGCAAAGTTACATGGGATGCAGAAGGACAAGAAACCCCTTTCATCGCAGGTCTTTATTTCACCTTTGCCCAACACTACCACTGAAACCCCTTTGTATACCGAAAATAACATCAAGGAGATTGTGTTCGGTGATTGGGAAATGCAAACATGGTATGGGAGTGTCTTCCCGCCTACAATCGCCTGCCTTCCTCGCATTTACATCTGCGAATTCTGTCTCTCCTATGTGCCTCATCTCGTTGGCTACCGTCGTCATAGGGTAGGCAACTTCGACCATTTCTAAGGGATAAATTTTTACAGTTTCTTAAGTCGATTTGCAGACATCTTATAACACTTTCTGAGTTCAATCGGAGTGGCGGTTGTGCTTATGATAATAGCATGTCGAAACGGTCTGATTGGATTGTGAGGTTGTTGTCATTGGTTTCCTACTTTTTCTTCTGTAGCTCCGTTGTAAGCGAAGGTTCCCCCCAGGCAACGAAATCTATCGAAAAGATAAACTGTCGTTCTTCGAAGTCAACGGGGCTCTGCAAAAGGTCAGCTTATAATGAAGGATTGTTGGGATAGTAATTGGTTATTGCTGCGGGTAAATTACAGGTTGGCACAAACTTTCTGCAAAAGTGTTCTATTTATAGAATTTCGAAGTTAGCGTAATTCTTTTGGCATGAAAAGTAGCAATTTAGGGCCGTATAGCTTCTACACTAAACTCAATAACTGCGAAATGCTTTCGTAAAATGTTGTGTCCATTAAAAACACTTCTTACAATCCATAAATCCATAAATGTACGAGCCCATAATTTACATTTATGTAACAAGCCTATCTTCTGGAAGCAAACAACATAGCCGTAGTCGTCTCCGTTTCTATCTCACTTGCTCCCGATTTGTTCAGTCTATTTCACATGTAATCAAGTAATTTTCGGACGCCACAAAGAGACACCAGTCATGACTATCGGGCGAGCATGAAGGATGAGACGGTGTCTCCCTCCGCCTTCCCTCTCCCTTCTTCCCACCCAAAATAAAGTCCAAATCTGTTGTTGGACATCCATTTGACCCATTTGCTTAGTGGTTCTCACCACGACTTCCCTTCCCGGTTGATATTAGATGTAAGGGCATTGTACTATTGCTATCGCTATTTAAACCCTGCTAAGCGCTTTTGGCATGAGAATCTTTACTCTAATTGATAGCGACACGCAACTACAGTTTTATCGAGAGGGGAGAACCTTCCTGAACGAGATGCAACATTTGTCTTTGAGTGATTTATCGTAAGATTCAAAGTACTTAGGGTATGTGTAGCAGATTCGTTTGTATGGTAATTTTGCGAAGGTGATGCTTTTATCTCTGAGCAGTTTATTAGCAGAATGGAAATTGATTTACTAGTACTATCGCATACTACACCTTCTCCGAATACTGTACAGAAAGTGTTACTAGGATCTCCTGTAACCATGGCTTTGGGATCGAATTAAAATGGGCCAGCAAAGCAAGCTTGAGACAAATTCATGCTATTCAGGCCATATTTTATGATAGGAGGTACAGAATATGGAGAAAGTAGTATGGGTTGGTTAAAGATTACCGATGTTGGCCTAACGTTATTTGTGCTTTATAATTCACATGAGTAATAAGAACTGCAGTCTGTTGTGTTGGTAAATGCACAAAATTTTTTTGGTCAACTACCAATTCGGCGGTAACTTTATCGGCTTTAAGTATCAATGCCTTACTTACAGTGATTCAGTAAACCATTTTTGTTCTTAGGAATACTGCCACAATCTGTGCCTTCTGGCCAAGTTGTACTTGAAGCAGAAAACCGTCCACGAGATCGACCGGGTATCAGCGTTCATTTTCTACATTCTTACCAAAGCTGATGAATCTGGATGTCACATCGTTGGCTACTTTTCCAAGGTAATTTTCATGCCTAATCCAGTGTCGAATGAAGAATGTATCATTCTTGCCGTACACTGTTTGAATTTCGGGCAAATTTTTGTATTAGCCATTCTTTGCTTGTTTCTTTTCCATGATGGACGACCTGGTCCCATTTCATCGTTCTATTAGTAACTGATTTGTCAATGGATTTTCTTTGACTTTGTTGTCATTTTTAATGAAGAATATTGAGAAATTCTTATTTGACGCTCGAAAATTTCCCACATCGACAAATAATCATAGGAAGCTTTTTATGCATTTGACTATCTCATTTGTATTTCTTTTTGCAATTCATTGCCACTGTCAACTAGTCGAACTGAATGACACAGGATGTTATGGCCGAATCCACTTGTCTCATAAGTTAATTTTTTATTAAAGTATTTATTTGAAATCGGTGCTGTTGTACGCAATTTGATCTAGGTCTTTGAATAGCTCCTTTATAACTGTTAGTCTATTAATGATACACGAACCCCAGTTTTGGTTGTTCCCGTCTTCCTTCAGTGTCATTTTCACGTTATATGCTCTCGGGAATCTGTTAAAGTAAATTTGCTTATCAACTATCGTGCTCTGTTGTACTGGAGTAATTTCGCTTGTTCTTCTATCATCTATTCTTAAAAATTGAATGCTAATGTAGGCATTTTGCTTGGACAGTCTCGATCAGTGCATTATTTGGTTTTCCGTGTAAACCCTCATTCGTGTTTTTAAAGGGAGGAACCGGTGTCCCTTCTGCAATCTTGAAAAACTATTTTCTTCTTTCACCCATAACACAAATCGCTGTCTCGTTTTGGAATCCAAATGCAATTGATTCGTTTGTTATGCGTATACTAACTTGTCCTCTTTTTCGTTACCTCCAGCACAAAGCGGAAGAGCAAGATCTCCCACCCGCCACATTTAACAATCTCTCTTGCGTTCTGGTGATGCCACATTATCAGAGGCAGGGGTTCGGTCACATGCTCATTGAATTCAGTACGTCACTTTGTTGTCCTGCCAGCTATTTAAGGCTCCCCGCCTACTCTCCACTATTCGTAACATTTTTCATTAGCGGAACCTCAAAATTATTCAAATATGCATTTTCCGTGAAACCAAGCCATTAGTTCAAGTAGTCTGGAAGACGTTTACTAAATACACCATCAGTAATCCACACAATAAGCTATTCCTACTTAATACTGCCTTAGAGGGTCGCCTTGATTGACCATGCATCTCGTTGATGCTTTAGGGGATAGAGGTCTAGGCACGGCTGATGGTTGATGAAATTGCTCCTACTTTTACCAGCAATGTGTGGATTGCATTATACATGATTCTACTACTGTCTACACACCGAAGAGTTGTTTTTCTTTCACTGTGCATGATTTTAAAGCATAATTAGAATACACATTACTTAATGTACAAATGTTTTCTTGATTGGCGACCGAGGAGCACTAATAGATGTTGCACGCTATTACTTCGTCTGCTCTCCAGTGTCTGTTTTCCTAAAAGCAATCTCGAAAAAAATCTTCACTAATTCACCATTTAGCCTGCGTGAATATTTGTTAGAACTGGACCATACAAAGCCCTTCTGGTGAAGGTGATCTCATTGAATTTGACATGAAGTATCCCAGGTACCGGAATAAGTCAGCAATGGGGTCTTTCAATGTAGCACCTCTTGAGATCTCTGTGTGTTTTGTCCAAACAGAGACATTGAATTAGCTTTTAATTAGCACCCGATTTGCTGTTAGTGGAGACTGCATTGAATCTGCGGTCACCCGAAGTCTTGTAACATTCCGTCAGTCGTTGTTTGCGTACATGTATACTTGTTTAATTACACAGGGCTTTGTGGGTATTCGAGGGTATTACTTTAAAGTACATTTAAAAATAGGCATCAGCATGCGTATTTCCGTAAAGCCACGGGGAATTGCTGTTTAATAAAGTTTCTGTTAGACTAGAACTGGCAGGCAGCTTCCACACGTGGCAGCTGCAGTTGCCTCAGTCATATACATTAGAGTTTGGGTGCCCATCTTGGCGAGCCCTTTCACGACGCTCCCTCCATCATGATAGTTCAAATTCACGGAGCTACGAGGAGGGCATGATCATGGAACTCCCTGATCGTCTGTTCCCGAGTATGAGAGGAGACTATAGTGCCGAAGCATGAAGGCCCTTCTCTATCAACGGCTCGTCAACTGTTCCGATTGTTCAGGGGTCGACTGCTCCATTGGCTCTAATATCATGTGGGGCGGGCTGGTGACCATGACAGACTATGAGAAATTTAAGTACACGATCGTGGGGACTTCAATGAAGTTGACTTAGTGTTGAATATTCTTTTTTGAGGATTCTACACGAATTATGAGATTCTTTCATGCCGCTAAACCTTAATTTGGTGTCTTGAAATACTACGTTTAATCCCTAAGATTTTCATTTATAAACTCCAAACATTGCTTTGGATGTCATGATCTTAAAAATTGAGGGCATTCCAGTAAATGAGAAGGGTTTTACTTTAAAACTCATCTCCTTAGCAGCAGAGTTGGTGGCGAGTGGGCCTTTTTTATCGTTTTTGCTTGATTCAAAGCATTTATGTAGCGGATGGCATTAGGACGACTTTTGCATTCCTACCGTACTCTATGCACTGCGTAAGGGAAGGCAAATGATGCCTACCTTTGGCACGAATTACAAATTCATAAAGAGTTACCTTCCAGATTGTGATTTATTAGTGGTCTTCTTGGGCTGTTCTTTCCCTTCTAGGTTGGGGCCCGACACTTCACTTAAACTGCCTGTTTTTGTCTCTTCAATTTGAGTTCCTCATTTCTTGCAAAACCAGGGTAGCCAAATAAGCTCATGTTATTTCGGTGGTAAGAAAACAGTAATTGCAGAATGTTTTTTTTTCAAATATTGCATCCATTAACATAACCTTTATAACAATCCTAAATTCTCAAATAGACAAGCCTTCAATTTCCAGTCATGTGGACGGTTTAACTTCTTGAAGTAAGCATAGCTGTAGCCGCCTCCGTTTCTGTCTCCCTCTTTCCCAACTTGTTGGGTCTATTTTGCATGTGATCATGTGATTTTCGAACGTCATGACGAGGTGCCAATCATGATTTGGACGAGTATTATTAGAAGGGTACGACGGATGAGGGTGGAGATGAGGATGAGGCGGTATCTTTCTCCCTCCCTTGCCCTCTCCTTCCTCCGACTCCAACTGTATTGCCAATCTCTCATTGGGTGCGTATTGGTACCCATTTGCTTAGTAGTTTTCACCACGACTTCCCCTCTCATTTGATAGTAGATGTGAAGGCAATGTTCGATTGATGTCAGCACTAAACCTTTCCGGGTGCTATTGACATGGTAGTCTGGATTTGTTTTAGTCAGTGGCGACACATCTCTACTGTTTGAACAAAAAGTGAAAGTGTCTCCCAGAACACGATGCAACACTCCCTTTTGAGTGATTTATCGAATGATTCAAAGCACTTGCTTAGGACCCTTGCAACAGATCCACTTTTGATAGCTTTGCAAAGACCATGCTCCCATCTTCGAAATAGTTAGATCAGTGCTACCGCATACTATTCTTTCTCCAAATGCCATGCATTAAGTGTTACCAAGGCCTTTCATAGCCACGGCTTTGGGGTCGGGTTGGACTCACTTTTTGAGGTGGCAGACAAGCCTTAGCCAAATTCATGAGGTCTAAACTACATCTTATGGTGGGAGGTTCAAAATAAGGAGAACGTGGTGCGAAGAAAATGAGTACCACGTCGTCCTAAGTAGTTGCATGCGCTTTGCTAGTGTCTCTCAGTCAGCTGTGTTGGAAATCGCACAAATTCTGTGATTACCTGATTCTATTCCAGATGTCGAATAAAGTTCTGCAGAACCAGAAATTATGTATATTTTAATGGGGAAAAATGTTTCTCTTGTTTTGTCTATGCGCGTTCTTCTTTCAAAGACTCAGAGGATGCCCAATCGTAATGAGATGTTGAGTGGGTGAGCAGGAAGTCCTGCTCACGTGTGGGAGCACTGCTTATTTTTTTTGTAATTGTCGCTGCTGTCATTTTTGGCTCGACATATGGCCGCTTCAACATTTTCCTTCATCTTGAGCATTCCTTTTACTGAAGTCTGCCCTGATTACTTGAATCAAATCTTGTCTTCTTTATCATGACTTGCAATCTTCGGCTCACTTGCCTCTTGAATTATTGAATCACGAAACCAGCGCAACTTTTTAATAGGTCTTGTTTTTTACTCAAGGAGGATAAATGTATTTTCAGCACAATCTGGAAAGTTAATTACGAAAAGGCCTATTTAAAAATCTGTGGCTTTTCCCCTACTTTTTTGAAGGAGCCAAATGGTTCTCCCGGTGTCGTTAAACGGGATGCACTTGGCTGTGTCGTTTCATAGGACTTTTAAAACTGAATGAAGGGGGCCCATTAAATGCACGAAAATGCGAAGATTACGAATAGCAAACGACTAAAATCTCTAAAAGGGAAGCTGTCTAAATTTATGTCTTTTGAGTAACTTTGTGCCTGAGGAATCTAGGCATGAATGGTGTTGTTAATACTGAAAAGGCATTGGCATCCACTTTCAAGTTAAAGCGCTTGCCTTACTGACATTTGAAAGGCAAATCCATCAAGAAGACTAAGCCATTGGTTCCACAACCGGATTTTTATCTGAGTTACCGGCGTCACAAGTATTTGGCGTGTTTCCTTTATCACTTTTGCAACAACTGGTCGCATCTACTTGTGTTGTGAGTTTTTAGTTAGTAGTCATTGTCCCACTGAACGTCAATGGGGATGGGATTGCTTTGGGTGTTGTCGCTGTTATTTTTTTTTCGTAGGTATCTCCATTTTTTAAGACAAAAAACGTGGTCATGGACTTCCCTGATTTTCCAGAGAATGGCATATTCCCCACATTCATTTCTCTTCATTGCATGACCACAAGATTATTCCCACTTTTCTTCTTTTTATTAGCCAATGGGGCTAGGTGAAATGGATGTGCAGTAGGGATATAGGCTTCTCGTTTCAGGTACCACTTTCTCGTGGAACTTAATCGTAAGTATGAGGGATGCTCAGGTCAAATTGGGACTTGTGATTTTAAATGCCTGCCGCTGAAAGGGATGCTACGGTGATGGCATCACACGGTTGTCATGTATACGTTCTATCACCTATAGCCGGCGCATAATTCGTGAGCCGACGCTAAATTTGTTAATTGAGATGACAGCCACGGACACGGGCGGTGGTTCAGTGAGTATGTGTGCAAGTTCAAGTGAGCTGGTGAACGAAGTATCCTGTAGATGAAGGTGTGCAACTAAAATCTGCCCATATGTGCAGAAGATGTGGAGCCTGATGTGTTGATGAGACGATCAACTGAGACTCAGTAAGGAAAGTAACTCCTCCCAAGGCTTCAAGAGTCGAGGACGACCACGACCAGGTGTGCGTCTGTACGCTGGTGCCAACTTGGGCCGAAGTGGTTGCCAGCCTGATCCAGCCCACTGTCTCGACTACCACTTGCGTGAATCATAAAAGAACGTTGAATGCAGGATTTACAGAATGGAGACGAAACCCCTGAGCCCAAGGTTACTATTTTGAAGGGGATGAGCTAGATCATAATTTGCAAGCCTGTGGAAGTTTGAGAAGGTAGCCTCCGTTGGTTGTCATCAATGGATTATTTCATTTTCGGTGAGCAACAAAGAGCTGGCTATTGTTGCTGAATTTTGGCAGAGGTTGGATGCATCATTTCACTGCAGAATTGAAATGGGTGTCAAAGCAGTGGAGTTGTGCGGACTCAGTAAAGATGACGAAGTGACTTACTGATGTTTCTGAGGAGAGGCCCTCCAGCTGTTAGGTGTCAACCGATGGGGGGAGTGTGGATGTGGATGTATGCGTAACAAGAGAATGTGTGGAAGCCGAAATACAGAGTCCATTCCTTACCTTTGGCTCTTTCCTTTCACAAGCTCATGTTTTGCCTCAACTAAGCTTTTTTGTTTAGAAGTTTACGAGTAGAACCGTGACTTTATCATGAGCTCTTGGTTAAATATAGTTTTTACAAGATTCAGAGTTTGATCAAGATTTAGGTCGATGTTTTTTTTTCGGTTTTCTTATCAAAATTACTGAGATAAAGTGCTTTTTCTGTGCTTCCCAGGTTTATTTTGTTCCAATTAATTACGATTTTTTCCCCTTGACAGTTCTCAATTTGCTTTTTTATCATGAATCTCTTACAAATTAATAGGATTTTGGTGAGACACGTAGTGTTCACCTCAACTTCAATCATCCAACTCCCATCTGATAGCAGGTTGTGTGATTGATCCCCTATTCCCAAAGTAATCATGTTATTTTGTGTTTGTTACATGGCCATTGTTGAGGATGAAAAAATGTAAGTAAGCTTTATTCTAATTTGATACAGTACTCACTCGTAGTCTGAAGCTTGGCGAGAAATAAGTGTGACTACGTTGGTAAACCTATGCCCAGTTTTCATGCCATGTCAAAAGTTCGATATTGCGTTTTTCGTCAAGATAAGTCTCCAACTGGGCTGCTTCTCCTGTTTTCTATGGAGGTATTTATGGTTTTCAGAGCAAAGAAAGCGCTTCCACTCCACCCCAAACCTACTTTATATCGTTTGTGCCTACCTTATGCCAATGTCGTTATTCATAAGCCAACACTATTCGTTCTCTCACCGATTGTGTAACCTAGAAAGCATTATTGCGATTTTTACCTTTCTTCAACGTACTTCTTATTATGATTTTTGGCAACACAAACCTTCACTGTTTAAATTCTTGGCAGTTGGAATGTTTTGAAATCTATAGGCTACACTCTGAGTCGCCTGGAGGGCCGTTTGGGCACGCCGGAAAGACCTCTCTCGGAGCCGGGACTTTTAGTGTACAGGCGCTACTGGCGATGGGTCCTGCTCTCATTTCTCCAGCCCTACCACCACAAAAATGTCTCCTTTGAGGGTTCGTTGCATTCTGCTTCCGTGTTCTTTGTTTCAAATGTCCGACTGTGAATCGATGGGTGGTCGTCTGAACCATCTGTCGGCGAAGAAGCCCGTAGTACGGTAATAAAATCACAGATGAAGTCGAAAAATGGAAGATTTTTTTCCTAGAAATGGTTAAATATCATCTAAATGACGTGCCGGAGATGGGGTTTTGGGAATACGAAGTTCCTAGGTTGAGTCCCTGAGATTCGATCAGCATTGCTGTGGTCACTTCAAGCATTGAGTACTTTTGACTGATCAGGCGGAGACTGTTCTACAGGAATCTGTAATGAATGGTGTCAACTGAGCATTCTTAGGTTTTAGCCACTGAGGTGGCCACCAGGAAGAATCCACTTTTGTCACAACTAGCTATTAGCTGATTTTGATCTGATGGATTTGGCCTTGGAAAGGCGCTTACCGTTGTGCTTGGCTAAGCGATTGGTCATAATCGTGAGGGCAGGACCTGAATATGGTTTGAGAGGAGTCAACGCAACTGTGCTGGAGGATATTTTCTATCCATAGTTGTTGACATGACTTTCAATCTGCATTTCGCAGAACAGCATTCGACTTAATTATACATTCTATGGGATGGATCACGTCATCCAAAGTTCTAATCCATGGCTAATTAAGATATTTTCAGAGTTGTATACTTCACACCATCTAGGATTTTAAATATGGAATATTTTCTGATTGTTTTAGTCATCAGTGCAGCAACAGGAATGACCACAAAGGACATTATCACAACCCTTCTCGATCTGGGAATGCTGAAGTACATGCGAACGAAGTACTTCATTGTCAACGACAAGGTAGGTGTTCTGCTAAAAGGTCAGATAGCTGAATCCGATTTCATTCCAACCATTTCGCTATTTATTAGACCATAGTATGAAAGTGGTGCTCACTAGTAGTTTTAACGGATAGACAATGCACTGATTCAAGTCCTTTTTACGCCGCTTCAAGACAAAGTATAGCGTGGATTGAACAGTTGGGAGGTGCGTTAGTAGAAGAGTTGCCACGGTAGTTGCAGCCGGCGTAATTAATTTTTCAAAAGGTCAGTGTTGGTTTTTTTAACCACCCAATCTCACCACCATCAGCATGGTATGACAATTTATTTTCTTCCAGATTTTTTGTTCAGTGGTGCGTCCAACTGAGGTCTGTGCTGTCTCATCTAGTTGGCAATTCTTATTGAAACTTAAACGCAAAACAGCTGTCCATGGAAATGATTTTCTTGCGTTATCCATTCACCCCCACAAAGTGTTTACATAGGCTTCTTAACGTTGTGAATGTTTTCAACAATCGTCTATTGAAATAGCCAATCACCTGTACTCTGACCTTATCCACTGCATTCCGTCGGATGCAATAATCAAACATTTCATTCAGAGGAGCGGCCCAGGCCACATCACGGGGATAGAGGAAATCACCTTACTTTTGTACACAACCAAAGTGCGAAACCACCTAGCGACTCAGTGACGACGTGGACAGCGTTTTTTTATTCTTTATGTCTCCAATGCAACAACGCAATTATACCTTCTGCGCAGTATTTTTTATTTTTGCTCGGAGAAAGGCGAGAAAAAGAGAGAGGGAGGAGTATTAATTAGTCGCAGTCCTTTGGTCTCATGTATGTTTACTGCAAACTACCAAATTCGCTCCTAACAATGATGAAAAGACCATCTTCATGGGATTAAATGCTCGGTGGCACCGGTTTCTTCCCCATTCTGTTTGGAATACTTCGAAAGTGGATTTTGGCAAGCGTTTTGACATTAGTGAATCCGAAATAGCCTTGAATAAGTTGAGATGGCATCTTCTAAATTTCCTATCGTATCGCCTGAGCCGTCTTTGAGGATGTAATAGAGCCTGTGAGTCTGAAAGTTGCTTCACCGTAACACACGGTGGGTTGCGGGCAAGGCTCCGTGCCACTACCGGGTAGACCGGATCGCACGGGACTGGCAAACTCCACATTGTCAAATCTGCAATCTGAGGCGTAGATGTCACTTTGCCAAGGCGCTACCGTGACTGCTGCTGACTGAATTCATGATGACGATCACGAGATTTGAAGAAATGTGTGTTTGTTATTAAGTCGTGTGAAGGAGCTTTGATATCTAGACCTTATTAGAAGTTTGCTCTCGAAGATGTGTTACCCAATCGACTTCTAAAATAATTGAAATTGAGTTCGTATTACTACTGCAATTAAAATGCTTTCTGTTGTGTCTTTTTTAAATCTTTTTGGGCAGTTTTTTTATTCAAAATGGATTTTATTATTTCGCCTTTTATTAGTAAACTACTCGAATCTCACTTTATCAAAAATCGGAAGCTGGATGAACAACAAAAACTCGTTTTACTAGATGATTTCTAATATCCTCTGGTCAACTCTTTCCATGGAACACGTGTTAGTACCTCTCCTTCATCACTGTATTCTTTTACCACCCTTTTGTCGACGGATGAAATTATTGGACTGAGAAATTTCGATCGTATCTCAACAATTCAGGAAATACCTCGATAACGACTTGGTAAGAAGGTGTATGCAGTACTGATTTTATCCCCTCCTCCCCTTAGGCGAAAATTGAGCGGATTCTCAAGGAGGTGGGTGAACCAAGGCCGGATCGGCGGATCGACACATCGTGCCTCTACTGGCTCACCGAATTAGCACCGGTTGTCAGCAGATCCGAATCGCCCAAGAATGTATAGAAAGATGGGCGTGTGCTCATGTGAAAATATTTTTCTATATTTGGTAAGTACTTCCTTTTTTTCCAGAAATACTATCGACACTACTTTACACCCTTTTTCCTTGATTTGCACGACTAGGGATTTTGATGATCCTTTCCTCCAGCTTATCTGCCTATTTGAAAATGAAGTGTTGGTTGGGTTTTTAGAAAAGTGCTCAAAAATTTTTTTGCTTTGGTTTGTTTCAGATCCATGAATGCTCTTGACAAGGGTAGAGAAAAGCGCGGAATTCGTTACCTTATTATTTACAATGTACCCATATTAAATGATTTTCAAGAATTTGGGCGTCAAAATAAATTCAAGCACTTCCTTCTAACAAAAATCAGATAACTGCAGTAACTCTGTCAAGGTGTCATGCCCGCTGTGAGATAAACACTATCGGGTTTTGTGCCCCTTTTTTCGACGAGATGTAGGCTTCTTGCGTAGGGGAGCAAACAACATAGCCGTAGTAACATCTGCTTCTACCTCATTTGTTTCCACCTTTTTTGTCCCATTTCGCATGTGATTTAATGAATGTCATTAAGAGTTGCCAATCACGACGTAGAGAACAGTTGTCAGTGTGTGGGGGGGGGGGTTTGAAGGATGAAGGGGGAGGATGAGGCAGTATCTCCGTTCCTCCTGCCAATCTGTAATTGGGTGCGGTCGGGACCCACTTTCTCCCTTCCCCTTTGGTGTAGATGTAAAGCCACTGTTTGATTGCTGTTGCTATTTAAACCTTATTCGGTTTCATTAATATTAATAATCTGGATTTATTTTATTCAATGACAAGTCACTACAGCTTGGGCAAGAAGGGAAGGTTTCCCCCCGAACACAATGCAGCATTTGTCTTTCAGTGATGCATAGCAAGAATCAAAGTGCCGAATGGGAGCATTACAACGGATTCATTTGTTTGGTAGCTTTGTGGAGGTGATGCTCCTATCTTTGAGTGGCTTATCAGCAAGATGGAAATTGTTAAGCACCTTCTCCAATTGCCATGCAGGAAGTGTTACCAAGTGCTTCTGGAACCACAGCTTTGGGTAGAGTTAGAGTCAACTGGTGAAGTGGTAGACAAGCTTGATACAAATTCATAAGGTTCAAATTGTATTTTATGATCGTAGGTTTAAAATATGGAGAAATTGGTATGGAGAAGAAAAGCGTGCCGATGTCGGGCTACTTATAATGCATATAAGTAGTTACATTCACTTTGCTAGTGTCTATAATTTGTGATAAGTCTTGCAGTCCGTTGTGTTTTAAGCTGCGCATATTTTCCCCTAGTATGATAGTGAATAACTCTTGTACGTGAGAGGTGTGGAAGAGAAGTACTCTGAAGGAATAATTCCCTATTTTTTGTGTCAAAGCCTCTACATGTGCTTATCGGTTTCATCGCGGTTGATCGTGATCCTTTCATTCTTCTTCACCTGTTTATAGGGGACACTGATGCAAAATATATTTTACTTTGCTTAAGATTCGTTTATCCGGTCGTAAACTTGAGCGGACTAGCCTACTTACTTGACAGTATTACTACCTTTAACTGCACTACCTTGGTGAAAGAACAATAACCGAGGATATTGCTCGACATATTTGTCAAAGGTATACTGTCTTACATTTGGATGAGCGTAAACAAGTCAAAATCGGGGAGACCAATCTGTGGTGTATGCAATTTACTTTCTAAAGGCATTGATCAATGTTTTTCCCACTTCCTTCTCCGTTGTTTTCTCTGCTGTTATCATGTGATTCTACTTTTCTTAAACAAGACGTTTCAGTACCATTCTCTCTATAAGACGATTCGATTTTAGCAAAACAAAAGCGTCCCAAAGGTTTTCTTTATAGATAAGAAACTCGCACATAGGAATTGGCCTGAGCGACCTGGTCATGTGATGGACAAAGTTGGGGCTTTTATGTTTTATGTATTCGTTTGAATGTACCTTTTAGGCAAGGAGCAAGCCGCATACGCCATCCTCGCGACTTGGGCGGACGTCATTCACGCCTCGCCTACAATCCTGATTTCCTGTACGCATTTACAATACTTGTCAAATGGAAGATACCCTCTTCTGTTAGATTTGCTCTTTCCAAGGGTATGAGAGTAGAGATGGAAGGGAGAAATGTTGAACCCGTTATATTTGCTTTGCACTGTTAATGCTGAAATTGTTCCCCACCTTCCAATTAGTTAAACAGACAAGAGCGGACTTATTGCAGTGTATCCTCAAAAAAGGAATCCCGAGGTCAATGGAATTTACAGAATCCAGTCCTTTTTTGTCTTTTAAGTAGTTTTCAAATTTTGTTATGAGAAGCAAGTGCTTTGAGCATCAGTGATGTCTATGACTCCCCCATTGACAATCACAGTACCTAGTCGCCATGACACAGATTAAATTGTTAATAACAGTAGTGAGCTGGAATACAACGCAGTCTAGGAGTTTTAAACAAATATTTAGGATGCTAAAAATGCCCCATTTCGTGATTATTCTTGTCTATTCCTGTCACAAATACCAATTTTCACTGCTTCCTCAGGTGCACCAGAAGCTATACTTGAGACAACGCCCCCATTCCTACTTTGTGGCTCTTTCCGACACAAACTTTGCTTACGTAACACCGTTGAATGCCGGTTAGTAGTGATAGCACAAAAAAAACATTGGCAGGTCCCGTTCAATTTGATTGTCTCTGTGTTTATGTGTCAACTGTGACTATGTCAACTGGTCCCCATGCCACTATCCCAGAGGGATCTCGGCCGTTGCAGCCCACAAAAGTTCCTCCTGCTTATTTGTTCTGCTCAAAAATCATAGGAAATGTTGTCATCTTCGGACCAAGGACACTCCGTGTTTATTTTACTGTTTTACTCTCCAAAAAACCTGTTTGTAGCGTGATTTGGCGTGATTAGTTAGTTTGAAGTGCTACGCCAGGCTCAGCCGAGAAAATCGAGGTGTCACATGCATGTGGCGCTGGTTAAATGTTTGGACGGACAAGCCTCGTGAAAAGTTGATGGGAAATTAAGAGGATATTTAAATGTTTCAAGACGAGTGGAAGTGTGAAACTAATTAAAACTAGCCAAAATCAAAGATTAGCACGTCGCCCAATAACCTCACCGAGTAATTGGAAGGGTGGCGACCATCCCAGCCTCATTATGTGGTGTCTCTGTCATTCCATCGACGCATTATTCAATGCCATCCCCCCTTTTGTGAGACCTGATGCTGTTTTTAGTTTCACCTGAAGAGGCACTACGACTTTTTATTTAAAGCCCGGTTCACATTTTTTATCAGAGATGTGGGAAGGTGTGTGGGGGGTGTGTGTGTGTGCATTGAACTCTCTCATAAGTTGTCTCACGCCTTAAAACAATCCTCTAAGGCATCCCCATTCCTAAGGACACATTCTACTTTTTTTTATTTAAAAGGTTTTTTGTGGTGAAATTGGTCACGAGACTTTGTGGTAGGGGTTTAATGCATTGTCATGTAGCCATGTGCCACCCCCCAGGCCCACATTATTTGCCCCGTTTTATGGAGCATGCCTTTGCATTCCATCTTGTGATGAAATGGGCCGCACGCGAACCACTAGGTAGTTGTGCGGACATAATTGCCTCCATAAAACGCAAACGTTATTAGGGGAGCACCAGGCCTAGCCGTTACCCTCCCCCTCCAAAGTACAGTTGCTTGCGGTGACGCGTAACTCCTCTACTTTGGGGGTTATGCTTGCTCGCAGATTAAAGGCCATGAGAAGTCACTTGATTTAATTTCTTAAATAAGTTATTTTACCACGAAGAGATCGGTTTTTATGAGCAACAAAGTGTTAAAAAGTTTAAATATGACCTCGTAATTTAGAACAAGTTGGTTTGCATGCTACTAATTGATTATTCAGTAGAAAGGGCTTCTCTGTAACTACAATTTTATTTCAAACTCGTTTTCATTAATTAAGGTTCCATTTGATTCATGGCAAAAACTAATTTGTGTCTTTGAGTAGAATAAATACCATGACGCCCTTTTATTGAGTTTGCACCCTCTTCGCGAAGTGACATGATGTGGGAATTTCATGAACTGCGAGGCATTCATGTGATCCGCCATCCACTAGGGGAGGGGTGTTCACATAAAAAATCATCTTGAGTGTCATCTAAGATTTCCATCTCAAACACATAAATGGTGTACTATGCGTCGAGGCTAATGTCGCTAATCAACTCCGTCCAGTCACAGACCAATGTGCGCTGGAGTGACTAACGCAACTACCAAATATAAAATACACCTAAATAAGGTCTTTTGAATGTGAGAAAACGTCGTTTAAATCCATCAAGTTCAGCAACTTCACCGTTGAAGAGTTATTAGAAATTATTGGATGTACCGAAGGACTACGGATATTAGTAGTGCTTAAATTGTCTGTTTAACTCGGATTTGGGGAGACACCATTTGAAGCTCTGCCAGTGTGACTCTGCTGGGTAGTCTGCCCTCTCCTCCCCGTCCTTCTGCATGTCGACGATGCGTACTCGGCTCGGGTACTGTGTCTTCTTGTGACTTCAGGGACGTCTCGGGGCGCTGCGGTTATGTGAAACTTCAGTAGGTGGAGCAAGAGATTTACAGCTAGGTGTGCCATTGTCCAAGCAGTCTTGTTGAGTTCCGCGGTTTAAAAATGAGGTCATTTAACACTTGTACACTCGACATGTTAGTATTTTTAACTCCTTCGACAGATTATAACTGGGAGCAGATACCAGATTATCTGTTCAGTCGAAGTTTAGCTGATAAGGTTGGGCATTTGGTCCGGTGAGTGAGCCGCCTTCCTTGTGGTTGCGGCATCTAATTCTATTCCCGAACTTACTAGCATTCATATGCAGAATTCTGACTGGTGATTAGTGATTCCTGGAACTGAAATTCAAGTCCACTTAGCCGGTTGGTGTTTGTTTCACCTATGAGTCTGCGAAATTGCATCAACAATCGTCGTGGTGGACACAGAGAGAAAACATTTGCATCCTATTCACAGCCGCCCACACTTGTAACAATGGGTGTGGCAAAAGGATTACACCTTCACTACTGCAGCAGCAGCAGCACCCCAAAGAGCAAAAGATAGTAATTTACATTATTTATTAAAAGAGCTAAATAATCTAGGATTGAAACAAGGCCATTTTATGCTCCCTTCTAGCCCATGGCTTCTATCTTGAAGGCATCTAGTGATCCTACTTGATTTGGCCGACTTGATTGACTTGACGTTTACAACTGTCAAGGCAAAAGCATATGTGCATATTTATTTTCTTACTTAGAGTGAATATTTTTGCAAAAAAATAGTCATACTAAAGGTAGGGACTGCATGTGTCAAAATGACGTTGCTGAGTTCATCCCTCGGGGCGTCAAAATCTAGTGAATGATCGGCCCGGGTCTGGAGTAGGTTTAGTCGGTGTGTCGACATCTGCGTAGACGGTGCCGGGTGTAATTGTCGACATGGTGGTCGTATGTCGCATGCTTCCACGATAAGTATACCGACAAATCTCTGAAATGTTGTAGTTGCTGTTATCTCCACGCCTATCCTGGTGTCGCGAGCTGCCAAAACTCGTGCCTATCACTCCGCCGGAGTACTTCATCTTCCAAAGGTCGGAGATACCACCCTTTTTGGTAGTTGGAAAGCGTATGCCATTGACCTTCGAGGCGTCGGCGCGGGTGAAACGGAGCTCGCTGGTGAGGTTGCGTGCTTTTGTTGAGAGGTAGTGAATGGACCCGAAGGCATCATCCACCATTCCCCGACCCATGCTGCAGTGACATCGCAGAAGACGTAGAGTGGCTCTGCGAAAGTTCTTCATCCGCTTCATGTAAAGCACCCAATTCGAGGCCTGTTGAAAGAAGAGGAGTTGCCATCCGAGGTCGGAGATATTGTAGGCTATTCGCACCGCCATGCGACCTGCCTCGCCGTTAAGCATCTGGGACAGAATCGTGGAGAAGATATAGGCAATTGATTGAGGCAGTGCGCAAATGACCACAATGGTGGAGAGGATGACCAACAGCATGGAGGCTGCAATCTCGCGGTTGGCACTGGTGCATTTCGACATGGTCTCACGGAGTACGGCACTCTGACGAAGACGAATTAATAGAGCAATGTTAATGATAATCACGAGGACGGTTTGAAGTAAACTGGAGTTGGCTAGAAGGACGTGGTAAATTTGTAGCGTGTTTGGCTCTACCTGCACCCAACAGATTATTTTGCCATTTGAGAAGCCATGTTCAACTAGCAAGCCAAAGGGCAGCATCACGAGAGCTGAGAAGAGCGTGATGACACCAACAGCCTCCCACGCTCTTCTTCGTGAAATTCTAGCGAATTTGAGAGGGAAGTAAATACACAGGCAGCGATCAAAGGCAGTGAGGAGAAAGAGAGATGAGCTGAGGCATGAGGAGAAGGAGTAGAGGTAACGCATGACCTTGCAGCTATAGTTGTTGACATTGAAGATGAAGAAGTAGACCCTGGCGCCGGTGGCGTATGGTAGACCTTTAGCGGGAAACATCCAAATCCAGCCGAAGAGGATAATGGTGATGACATCGGCGGCTGCCACACAAGCGAGGTAAATCATCTGACGCGAGGGTTTGCGAAAGACGAAGAGAAAGATGTAGGTGATGAAGAGGTTCGAGACGACGCCAAAGAGGCCAACAATAGGAAAGATGTAGGCGGAGACGAAGCCGAGCATGTGGGAGAGAACACAGGCGCTCAAAAGTGTGGAGGCGTTGGGGGCGTCCGAGTTGTAGTCTTGGCAGTCACGCAGCAGATCCCATGGGGAGTCAAGGTAGGGCCAATTCGGGTCCTCCGGGAGGATAGATCGTGAGTTTTCCGCAAATAGCATTTACCTTTTGCCAGACGACTCAATCCTTCGTAGCAAATGTGGCCAGCTTCGTGGACTGCCATTGGCTGAATGATGTTCGACCAATCGGAGGGATCGAGGAGAGTATTAGGACGGGAGTGAAGGTAAACCAGCCTTATGATTTGAGGCAGACGGATGGTGGTGGACAAAACAGTGACATAGATTTGTAGATAAAATTCATAATATTTAGGCTGGAAGAAGTTTGACTTTGTGCTTTAAAAATGCTTGTGGCAGAAGAAATTATTGCTGTCACGCTGTAATGCGTTGGTTGTTTGTTTACACGTGGGTTTTGATTAGAGGGTCATTTTGAGTCTCAGCTATCGCACCTTCGCAAGGTAGGCTGGTCCCCGGGACATGTCAGTAGCCTCAATTTCTGCTGTATATTGAATATATGCATTCTGTCCGAACGTTAGGTCTTCTCTTGTCTATAGGGAAGTCTCGGGGCGCCATATTGGCGGCAGAGGAAAGCAAACCCCATCCCAAAGGACAAGCACCTCCGTTTCCCCTACTGAGTGCAACACAACGTAATGGAAGAAGTGTATGTATAGGGGAACGGAGGTTACATGACGATCCCTTATGAAAGAGTTACAAATGATGTCCGTCTTCATCAAATTCCTTAATCCCGCGTTCTTCAGGAAAGCTGTCAATAACTGAAGTGACACTAACTATGAACAGTTTGAAAAGCTCGTTACGGAGTTGTCTACCGTATCGGTATGTGGGTATTAATGATGTGAACTCTCGATACCTCTTCCACCTGTCAAATAGTCTGATGGAACTCAGATGAATATGGCTGGGGACCTCCGAAGTGAGAACAACGTGGCAAGGAGGAATCGATGTGAAATTTTATCCTTACCAAAGTGTGTTAAATCTCCTGTCCTTTATCGCATAACTGCATTTAGTCCAGTGTTCTTACGACTGGATATGAACATGTGTGATGGCTAGCACATTTCCCCCGTCCCGGAATCCGATTTCCATACCGGCCGAAACCCCGGATCAGTGACATTGCGGTCATGCATCTCCTCAGACGCACAGCAATTTGATGACAGTGGCACGATTGGGTCATGCGTGTTTCCTTACAGCACCGATTATGTTGCGACGGCTGACATGGGAAGGAGACCAAGGGGAGCACAGAAGACGATGATCAAGCAAGGAGAGGGGTTACGCAATGCTCTGTCATTCCACCTTCACCTAGTGGGCTGGCCTCCAAGCCTGGCAGTAGCCTCCAGTCCTTCTGTAAGTCGAATGTGTGTATTTTACCCGGGTATTGTCTTTTTTCGTCTACAGTGTGGATTAAACTGCTTACCGCCAGCGTCACGTGTGAGATAGTAAGTATCCTCCGGTGACAACTGATTAAGTCACATTTTGTCGCAAATAGTCAGAAAGCATGTGTCAGATACCCATGGTTTGCGACCGATTGCATTTGTCAGTTCTTGAGCAGCACAACTTCGACTGGTGATCCGACCCAGTGCGCCGGCGCAATTGTTTCAGGTTAAAGTCGAGGGCACGTCTCCTCTTCAGCATGATGGTCACCTTCTGTACTGATGACATTAAAGCCATTTTGACTGCATGATTTAAGTAGCTTTTTACGCCCAAGCTCACATTAAAAGCATGGAAATTAATTAATTACCTACTTTGGTTGGTTGAATGCTTGCTTGCTTACTTACGATCTCACTGCCATTTCCCTTTTTTACTTGTAATTAGTGATTTGCGAATAAGTTAAGGTGACTTACGCTTTCTTGGTTTGCAAACTTTTACGTGAAAGCAAATTTATTTGCGTGGTTTAAAAGTGAAAATTAGTAGGGATTAGCAGATTCCGGACCAATAAAGTAGTATTAGTAGAGGGTTAAGGAGAGGGCAATGCAAAGTGTCCTCTTTTGAGTCGTTTGTGCTTGTCTTAATACGCAAAGCGCTCCTTCCCGAACAGGGCATTCACCAGTGACTGCCGATTCCACGACTTCCACAAAGGCGCCGCCCTAATCCGGATTTGCATCGCCAAGGCTACGAATGGGCCAATTGTACCGAATTTTCTCTCCTGCCTGCCCACCATTGAAGTACCATTTCATTAAGCGTGGAATATTAGGAGTCAGAAATCCCCGACTTAGTCGATAGCGCTTTTATGTCTCTTTAGAATAACTACAAGGCTTTAATTTTTCTCGCCTAGAGAATGACTTTCCTAGACACTTTTTTGCATTCACTAATAGACTTTTTTCCAAAGTAAATATCACCTTAGTGATGCCAAGATCTAGTGTACAAGCCCTCTCTGAACGGGAGAACTGACAGGCAGTTGAAGGGGCGATGCAATTAGATCCCTGTGGCATCCGAGGTGACAATCAAAACACGCGGCGCACATTTCAGTCAGGGTGAAACTGCAAAAATTTGAGGGCTTTGCACAAGACTAAAGTCGTGTGAGCTCAGTGCATCCAAATCGACGTGAAGTTCAAAGTCCGCATGGTCCAAGTTATCTGGCTGAAGCAGGTCACATTCCTGTCTCATTTTAACTAACCAAGTTAAACATAAGCCATTACAGTTTTTACTGGAAGTCAAACGATTACGAAAGATGCTAGCTTGCATCTCTCTGGCAATTTCCTTCTGGAAAACAGAGGGTCAGGCAATTGTTCGACGTATTTAGACAGTATTCATGCCTTCACCACTGAAACAAGTGCAGGCGTTACAGAATTGAATCGAGTTTTGAACAACTTTATTCATTATTAATGCTATTTTGGAGAAAAAAGTGCCGTCAATGGGTGGTACAACCGTCCTTCTCACTGAATGCTTAGACGCAGAAGCCAACAGCAGGTCTGCATAGAGTTTAAATCAAAGAGTTTATTTCTGCAATCATGTAAGCGTGAGGGGTCAGGCTACACCATCCTTTGGAGTGGAAATCGAATACATAGATTTGAAAGATGGCAATGAATTGTGTGACACTTTAATTGTTTGTTTAACTTTACACTTTCTTTAGGTGGGCACTAAGGAGCACGGCCAGTGTACTCCCGCCCTGCGGTATGGCCTCCAAGTCTAAACGGTAGCCCCTCAGCCCTTCCCTCCATCGAGACTACGCATTCTCCGTGAGTATTATGTTTTCTTTCGTCTTCATGGAAGTCTCGATGGTGGTAGCGGGAAGCGAATGCAATCCAAATGGGTATCTATTCTGATTTCTACTGCTACGTGATGGTCCTTGGCGGGGTGGAAGAAGTGCATGTTGCTACGGATGGGAAAATCTGCAACAACCAATAACAGAAGGGCGGAAACTTACGTCTAACCTCGGCAACCACTTTAGTCCCGTGGTATGCAGTAAAGGTCTTAAACAACTGAAGAGACATTAGTCGTGGACGTGAACCATCTGGAAGAGTTAGTTAAGGAACTGTCCACAGTACCTGTATGGAGATGTTAGTTATGTAAACTCGTGATACCTTCTTTACCTCTCTCCTAACTGGATGGAACCCAGGCAGATATGCCTGGCCGACATTGAGGTGAGAAAAAAGTGGCAATGTGATGCAGGCGCATAACATCAACCTTAGAAACTATTCAAAACCTGTCATTTGTTTAGTGGCTCTGCTTCTTGGATAGTGTTCTCACGACCGGCGATGGACATACTTGACGGTCTACACATTTCTTTTTCGCCAATGGAGTTCCCAAGTGGGAAGAAAATCCAGATTCAATAGAATTGTCAGGAGGGATCATTGACGTTGCAGTCAAAGACCTCAGTTACACGCGAGCTCGATGGTTGGGGTAATTGGTTTGTGGGAGTATTCCCCCTACGGCACCATCTCTGCTGTGATGGTCGACGCTCAAAAGCAAAGAGGGGGGTACGTAATACCTCCATCGTTTGTTTAACCCGCCGTTTTGGTTAGGCGGGGACCAAAGGCAGAGTTGTTGCACTTCCACTCGGCGACATCGCCTCCGCGTTATGCCAGCAGCCACCAAACCCTTTCTGCACGTTGATAATGAATATTATGCCCTAGCATTATGTCTTCCCTCGTTTTCAGGAAAGTCTCGAAGCGCTACAATAGCGTCCAAAAATGCGCAAATATTTTTGGGAACAAAAACCGATTGGAAATTTGTCATAGTTTATAAAATACTTTCATCCAAAAAAAAAAATTAATTTCATCCTCCGAAGTTCAGTGTAGGCAATTTAATTTCTTGCTCAGATTTTTTACACTTATTCGGCGTCACGTCAAATCGGATGTTTCTTATGTACAAAATATTTCGTTTGCTGATGGAATGAGACTGCAGGCGAACACTACTCAAGTGTTACTATTGTTAGTGACCCATCCAACAGCAACGAGAGGTCAACGTAAAATGATTTTTACCATAAATTTGAACCCCGCGTACATCTTAGATACTGCTACCGATGCTCAAATCAAATTAGGACTTGTAATTTTAAGCGCTTACCATTGAAAGGGATGCTACGGTGATGGCATCACACGGTTATCATGTATACGTTCTATTACCTAAAGCCGGCGCATAATTCGTGAGCCGATGCTAAGTTTGTTAATTGAGATGACGGCCACGGACACGGGCGTTGGTGCGGTGCGTATGTGTGCAAGTTCAAGTGAGCTGGTGAACGAAGTATCCTGTAGATGAAGGTGTGCAACTAAAATCTGCCCATATGTGCAGAAGATGTGGAGCCTGGTGTGTTTGTGAGACGATCAGCTGGGACTCAGTAAGGAAAGCGACTCCTCCCAAGGCTTCAAGAGTCGAGGATGATCACTACCAGGCGTACGTCTGTACGCTGGTGCCAACTTGGGCCGAAGTGGTTGCCAGCCTGACTCAGCCCAATGTCTCGACTACCACTTGCGTGAATCATAAAAGAACGTTGAATGCAGGATTTAGAGAATGGAGATGGAACCTCCAGGCCCGAGTGTTTGTTTGGTCGGTGCATAAGAGGCGAAGCTTTTCAAGGGGATGAGCAAGGCCATAATTTGAAAACCTGTGGAAGTTCGAGAAGGTAGCCTTCGTTGGGTGCTATCACGTGGCGCAAGGCAATAAAAGTGCCCACATAGGAATATGGTCCACCGACAAGGAAGGCTGCCACTAACTGCCGATGAGAGGAATATAGATAAGTGTATCGGCATTTTATTGGTCCCGATGTCACGGTTACACTTGATAATTCATCAATTGGGAGTTCAGACTTGCCACCCCGCAAGCCAAAAGCAAGGATTCGGCATACCTATGCAAGACGCGTTCATAACCTTCCCCTTCTACGAGTTGGCAAGAGGTTTCTACTGACAAAGAAAAAAACAATGTCGGATAGTTGTAAACTTTGAGGGAGAAAGAAAAGGCGAAGAGCCTTACTCTTGCGCAGATACGGCCTTTGCTTGTAGAAGGCGTATTATCTCCGGTGAGACGTGGTGCATCTTGGCCAGATCCATTGCAGTTTTTCCCTCCTGTGAATGGGAAGCAGTCAGTAAGTCACCCACTTTCTGATCAGTCCAATTTCAGTAGTTATGAGTTGTGTGGAGGTTAGATTATGTGGCTTTCGGTTGTTTAATCCATCTTGACATCGGCGTTCCCATTTATAAAATATTAGTGGTGAAAAAAGACATGCTTCGACTCATTACCGTTCACTGCAATGATGATAACTTATCATACAAGTGTAATACGTTAACTGTTTCTTTAACTGTCGGTTTCGGTGACGAGCCACTCTAGGGCTCCGCCAGTATACCTCCGCCAAGCGGCCTGTCCTCCGGAATATGCAGAAACCGAAAAATCTGTGAGTCGGCAATACACATTCTGTCCGAGTGTTATAATTTCTTTCGTCTTCAGGGAAATCTCAGAAGTCACATAATTGGCAGTGGAAAGTAGATTCGAATCTGAAGGATAAATATCCTGATTTGCAATGCCGAGTGATAAACCTTGGCGTGACGGAAGAAGGGCACGTGCTGTGGCGACTCCCAACAGAAGGGGTTAAAATGACGCCTACCTTCGACAACTACCCCAGGTTAGTGTTCTGTAGGAATGCTATTAACACGTGGAGCGACACTAGCCGTGGCTACGAACCATCTGGAAGAGTCTGTTACGGAGCTGCCTGTCGTACCTGTATGAAGATGTCAATGAAGAGAACACGTGATACCTCTGCCACGTCTCTACTAACTGGACAGAATCCAAATAGATATGGCCGGGCAGTGCTGAAGTGAAAATCAAGTGGTAGGGAAGAACAGACGCTAAATCTTATCCCCATGAAACTATCCTAAATCCCTTCCCATACTAAATGCCTCTGTTATTCGTCGAGTGTTTCTGAGACTAGCTATAGACACGCGTAATAGCCAGCACATTCCCTCGGTCCCCAATCCACCCCCAAATAGTTCCCAAACAGGACAAGACTTCAGATCCAATGGAATTGCCACGAGAAACAGGTGAAGTTGCGATCGAATACTTTCTCACTTGCATGGAAGTATGGTGACTGCCGCAGTTGGTTGGTGGATATTTTTCTTTACATCACTGACCACGTTGCGATGGCTGACGCGGGAGCTTGATTAAAGTGTAGCGTCGAAATGATGGTTAGAAAAAGAGAGGGGCTATGTGATATGTTGGTTGTTCGTTTAACTCTTGGTTTTGGTAACGGTCCAATTAGGGGCTCCGCCACTGTACCTCCACCGAACGGCCTGGCCTTCGTGCCACCCTAATAGCCCTTCAGCCCTTCTGTATGTCGACAGTGCACTTTCTCTCCAAATATTATGTATTCTTTCGACCTTAGGAAAGACTTGGAGAAGTACACAACTTCCTTATGTCCAACACTGCTGCCAAAATCATTCACTTTATTCCTGCTTTCGTTTGCAAGCAATCCAAAGAGGTGTCATTGATGCTATTAACACGGATTATACTTTGAGCCCGAGTAATGACCTTTTCAATTCTTTAACAGGGGATAGGGGTAGTTTACCCTGTGATTCAGTTACTGCAATCAAAGCGGTTTGCATTAATTTTACCGTAAAGGAGGAATTAAATGTTAGAAATATTGAGAAGTCTTGCACGCTTTTGTATTCACTCCCATACAATACCTTCGGTCCCTTTTCTCAAAGCATTGCTCCTCTTTTTACCACATAATCTGGTGGTTAACTCAACATGACAGATGAGGAATAAGTGAAATCTACCGATTTTACGTTCAACAACGGTCATTACCTCTCACTCACCTGTTGGGGCAGACTGATCATTTTTAGAACGATGATTATCTCTTCTGTGGTATGAAGATATTTCACAACACCTAGCCATTTATCGCGAACTTCCCTTCCTTTTTACTACTAACCTATCAATAGAAATTCTTGGGACCAGTGATTCACATTATCAGTTTACATACTGAAAACTAAGGGTAGACAATCACAGTGTGAACTCGCCAACAAAGGGAGCACGAAATCCAGCTCTGCGCCCAGCACTCGTCATTGCCTCTCTGATACTGAAAAGGGATCTAGGCGCGTGGTAAGAAATTTGTTTACTTGCAATTACAAAAGAAGAGCACTTAATCGCCCCAAAAGAAGGCGATGATAATGAAGGGAAACGTGAAACCTCGGATTTACGAAACCAGCTTGTACACTTGTTGACTCCACACAGAATCGGTTCAACCTTCTAATATTTCCGGACAATCGTGGGAGGCCCTTAAGATAATGTCAGAGTCTAATTTAATCATTCCGTTGAAGAGGTCACTTGCAAACAATTATTGTAGCTCACCAAGACCCTCCTGAAGATGAAGGAAGACAATACTCGGACAAAATGTGCTTTTTCGAAGTACAGAAAGGCTAAAGGGCTACTAGTATGACCTGGAGGTCGGACCGCCCGACGGATATACAATTGCTGAGCCTCAAGTGTTCTTGGAACCAAAATCAAGAATTTAGCAAACAATCAAAACGTCATAACTACTGTCCACTTTGTGTTGTTTTGCCCTCCAACTTTTACCTTTATAGTTTTAAAACTTCTGGTTAGACCAGGCTATGTTTGAGAATTTTAAAGTGGCATTTAGCCCAATAAGTGGGAGTCCTAAAAAACGCAGGCGAAATAATGATGCACATACTTCCAGTTGATACCTAGTGGCATTAAAAGCAGTGCAGCTTTCCTACATTTCTCATTTCATTAGAGTAAACAGCAAAAAGATGCAATTTTTGCAGGTTTTATGAGAGAAACTAGATCAGGACTGAAATCAGCAACAACCGATTGCGAGGAGGCAGAATACTCGGAGGGGAGAGTTAGAGTACTGAAATTGACTTATAAAGTTGGAACAAATGACTGGACATGTGAAGACAGATTTGTGAAATAATTTTACGCTGGATTGCCTGGAGGTAATGGTGAAACGCAAGGTTGAGATTGGGGCCACACGTGATCCGACTTGGCAATTTAAACCTGCTTAAACATCTCGATGGTACTCTAATCTAATAGTACACAAAATTAGGGTTAGATTTAATTTCGTGGTTAAAACAAAGGCGAAAGTTTTATTTATGATATCATGTGTCCAGCAGTTAGGTTTTTATTTTGTCCCAAAAGTCTAAAAATTTCTTAGTGAGATATGAAAAACCAAATCCCCTAAAATAATACTGGGGAGGAGCATGACCGAGCCAGGTCACCTTGTTACGAGCATGTAGAGAGCAGAGGTCAGGTCGAAGGAGGAGAAGAAGTCGAGCGATCTCGAGGTTATTATACCGTACAGCGAGCATGAGGGCGGTGTTGCCCGAGGCGTCGCGTTGATCCTTTTGGAGGCGCGTGCCGCGGGCGCAGAGACGCGCCACAACGGCCGCGGCTCCTCCACTGCCGCCGACCTCCGCTGCACTTACCGCTGCCAGCAGCGCTGCCGACCGCGTAGGCTCTGCGCTCCGCCGTACCAGACTGTCCAGCGCCGCGTGCTCTTCCATGCCCATTGGCTAATATCAGGACATTCAAGCAGGTGCATAGTCGGAGGTAGAAATACTTACTCTTCAACTCTTACGCTGGTGACTCAGGGGATTGATTACGTCACCTATTTTACTACTCCCTCATGACATCTGAACGACAATGGTAAAACCACTTTCTTCTGTTACTGGCAATTTAAGGAGGTCTACTCCGGGAAAAGGTGGCTTCGATTTCGTTAGGCAAATGCTAAGTCTAAGTGTCATCGGAGAAAGATACGTTTGTAAACGACTGAATCTGGGAGGACTCCTATGATACGGAAGCCAACTAACTGCCGATAGGAGGAGCAAAACGAGCTCATGATAATTTGAATAGTTCTTAAAGAAAATGATTCCTAAAGTGGTAAAAGACGTTGGGTGATCATCATTGCCCTCTTGTAGGTGATCATAGCACACCTGTCTGCTTTGTGATAGACGAAATAGTAATTGAGAGAAGACAGTTCCATACAATAGAATGAAGTCCTTAATTCAAAGATTGGACTGATTAGATGGGTCCTTCCGGTCTCCAGAGATGTGAACCTGCTTTAAACACCAAGAGAAGAGGTAGGGGTATAGCCTAAATGCCAACGTTTTTAGCCAGAGGTGGCGCCCCGAGATTTCTCTGAAGACGCAAGAAGATACAGTACTTGGGGAGGATATGCAGTGCCAGCTTACGGAAGAGCTTGGGAGCTACTGGCATAGCCCGGAGGCCAGACGCCGATAGGCGGAGGTGCGATAGCGAAGCCCCTGAGTGGTCCGAGAGTTAAACAAACAATCCAAGTATTACACGGATGATTGGTTTTTCTCACTTTTCTCAAAATCCAACTAAGAGTGTACTATAATCTCTTAAGAAGTACGTTAATTATTTCCCAAAAAATAACGAGTAAGCAATCAAAACGTTGAAAACACTTCCTTACAGTCAGTTGTCCTTTTGGCCATTAAATTTTGCATCTTATAAGTTAATAAGTAAGTGAAGGCCAGCTTTAATTATAGGTTTTGAGCAACTCACGTAGAATTTATGAGAGCTCAAAATTGGAGCATTGCATTACATCAATTAGGCACTTTGCTTATAGAAACAAGCATCCTAGATCTTACCACCTCTTTCCCTCCACCTCGCTTGTTTTTACTGTGTTTTGTCTATTTAGCATGTGATCGTGTGATGTTCAAATGGCAAAAAAGGGCGTTAGGCATGGTGTTAAGGGTTGTTCTCATAGGAACACGACGAATGAGGCGCCCTCCACCCCTCTCCGTCTCCCTTTCTCCCACTCTAACTAAAGAGCTAATCCTCTCTCAGGGTTTGCTCATCCTGTAAGAATACGAATGACGCCTCCGACTGTTTGACTGGTCATGACTGTTTCTAAAGGATAAATATTTCCCGCACATCAGCCACGTGCATTTTATGCAGTGAATGGGTAGACCTCACCCGTAATTGTTTACACCTGGACGACTGAACATGTTATAACTGGGATTTCTATGTCCGTGTGACCTGAACCCGACCAAACTACCAGTTGCACCCCCAAGACTGTCTGGATGTGGACCACTCAATCATTTTAAACAAGCGGATTTATAGTAATGAGTATTAGGGCGTTTCAAGTGTATCTAAACTTGGCTTTAGCCAACCAGGAGGTAGTGAACGTGAAACCGCCTCTAGATTATTTTCGAAAATAACCACGATAATGGAGCCTCCTTAAAAACTTGAACAGAAGCGTTTTTCGTAGGGTTAGGGGCAGCTTCAGCAGAAGGGCTGCGATTACAGGACACCACATGCATGCAAAGATGAAGTGGACAATGGACGATGAGTTAATTGTCGGGGAACAACCCCGACGGCATGTTTCTTCATGTAACGAATCTCGGAACGAAAAATTGTGAAAGTCATTCCTTATTGCAAGTCAGTCATGGAGTACTAGCAATGCATGTAAATAGCCTCATGCACTTTTCTGTTGTCTACAGGTTAAAAGAGGCCATTGCAGCAGTCAGACAATAAGGGAAAATCAAACGTAAATAGGTGAAGAAATCCACAGCACAACTTTTCCAGAAATTCACACCTTTTTATTGGAGCGGAGTAAATTGACAAGATATTGCTGTAGATTGGCCCCACTTCCACGACTCAGCCTTGTCATTTTTGGTTGGTCGTGTCCCAGTGATACAAACTAATCATGGTGACACATTAGTCATTCCGATTAGATTAATAAAAATGCTCTGCACTTAAGCGCTTAATTTGCAGTACTTAAATTTAGAAGCACAAATTTTCAAACCCAATCTATTAATAACTAAAGCATGGAAAGATGAAAAACTTGATCTAGTTTATAGGGCTAATCTCAGTGAACTGGTTGCACTACTTTGTTTGTTTGTCTGACACCGCACTTGGGTTTTGTGGGTGCTTAAGGCTCCACTTTTGTACCTACCTCGAGCTGCATAGCCTCTAGGTTATGTCATCAGGCTCCTCTCTCAGGACCTCCTCCAAGTCGGCAATACATTTCCCGTCCGAGTAGTATGACTTCTTTCGTCATCGGGAAAGACTCGGGGCTTTACATTTATGGCAACTACCCTGAATGCTAAACCCTATCTTTTCGGAAGAAGAGTATATGCTGAAGATGGGAGAATCTGTGATGAACCTTAACAGAGGAGCTGAAAATAACGTCTGCCTTCGGCGACTACCCTGATTTCGAGTTCTGTATGAATGCTATTAACAAGTGAAACGGCACTAGCTGTGGCCACAAACCATCTGGAAAAGTTAATTACGCAGGTGTCTCCAGTACTTGAATGAGGATGTTAGTTAAGCTGATGCGCGATACCACCTCCACCTCTATAGTGTTTAGATAGAACCCAGGTAGAAATGGCTAAGCAGAACATAGGTTGGAACAAAGTGGCAAGGAGGAATTGATGCATAACCTTGACCCCACAAAACAATGGTAAATCCCGTCCTTTTGTTAACTGACTGTTTTTGGGCCAGTATTCCTACGACTAGTGATGAACGTACGAAATGGGTAGCAAATTCCCCCATCTCTCCAATACGGTTCCCAAACAGGACAAAACTTCAGATCCAGTAGACCTGCCAAGAGACGTCAGTGACTCTGCAGCCAGCTGCATGGCTAGCGCGGATGTTTTCTTACAGCACCGACTATGTTATGTTGGTCGAGGCGAGAGGTTGACCAAGGAGAGCGCTGGGGACGGGGCTTCAAAGAGGACAGAAGTTGTGAAAGGCTTTGATTGCTTATTTAACTCTGCATTTTGGTTACGCAGGCACTGAATGTTATGGCTATGGCGCTTCTGCTGGTCAGCATGACCTCTGAGCTACGCCATTAGCCCCCCCCCCCCACTCCTTCCGTACGTATGTCCGAGTATTATGCCTTTTTTCGCCTTCAAGGAAGACACGGAGCGCCACTTTGGAATTCTTCAAAGGCGAATTTTATGGGAGGCAATGAAAACAACGTACCTGTATGACGACTGAGTTCTTGAACTTTAACCTTTGGCTCGACTTTGTATATGCCATAGTTTAACACGAAATCCACAGCAAATGTGTACGGGTAAATCTGTACGTGAGAAATTGTTCATTGCCAAGTCCCGTTGGACTTTTCCTCAGAAAATGGAGTCCTTTTTTCATTAGTCACCCTCTGTGCGTAGATGACACGTGTCCTGCATACTCGATTTGTTTATAGATTTGACCAAATTTGAACCATATCATCATGCTTTTTTTATTCAAATTGTGCTATAAAGACATTATTTAATGCCAAATTAAGTTAAAGCGTACAATTTTCAAATGATACTTTCAATCCACGAAAATCCCATCGGCCCGATGCATCGATGATACCACCATCAGACACGCCGCTGATAGCATAAATACACTGTTTCCTGCACTAAACAACTACCGAATTAAGTGTCACACGTACTGACATCCATCATGGGGAAGTGACAAAGTTAACACAAAAATTGTACATGCTTACCACACCAATATAACGTGAAGAGAAACACTGAAAAGCGGATTTTAGAAGCACTCAAGGCCATACCTGAGAGGCATAATTGACCATCAACAAGAGGGGCGTCCGACCGCGGGCGTCGGTTCGATCGAGATCAAATTCACGACACGCCTCAAGGGCCGTCTCAATCAACTCCCAGCGGCGTTTGCGAACCGCGATGTGAAGAAAAGTGTGACCCTAGAAATTTTAACACGATATGCCTTTATTTACCTCTCCTTCTCTTCCGAAGTGAGGTTTTGGTACCTGATTCCCATTTAATTGAAAAAATTCATATCGCTCCCCAAATTGTGTTGGTTTTCATGTGAAACTTCTAGGGAATAGCTGCATTAATGCTAGAACTGAATTCTTCTTTTTACTTATAGAGTAAAAGTAAAAATACTTAAGACATTTTGTTTAGAATGTCAGTATTCACGAATCTTGAGGACTAGCAGACAGAAATCAACAAGCAAAACTTAACCTCATAATGGACCTCAAAAATTCAGGTTTCAAGTGAGTGCTTTTAAATTGGAATTGCTTTTAATTGTTAAATCTAAGTAAGTAACATAATTAACCTATTAGAAGTATGTTAGTTTATGCCTCAAAATAAATTTCGAGTAGAGATTCGGCTATGCATGGTCCGTTGGAAGGTAAGTATGATAAGATTTGCCACCGTTTTCAGGACGCAGCTTTCTGAATGATTCGCAAATATATAAAACGACTCAAATTCGACTTCAGTTTGTCACGTGACATTAAGGCTTCAACTGACTCCTAGTTAATGAGTAAACAATACTCCGTCATCAAAATTTTTCTTAAAAACGACCAGCAGTTTAGCAGCCCCTACCGATGTCATCGGAATGGAATATCAATAACTGATAACTGCACCTCTTTATCCCGTTGATTCACGACTCGTCCAGCAACCGAGGGCGGAAATTGTGAAATCACCGAGAGAAGGGATTCAAGGGACTCAACTGTGACGTCGGACGACGTCGTGTTGTGGAACCAGTAATCACGCAAAATAGGCATGACGTTCATCTGAGAAAAAGAAAACAGCAGCTTAGATATTTTATAGCAAAAGGTATGCTTTAAAATTGCAATTTTTACTATTTTGGAAGGCGGGATAGATTTAGGGTTCTCAAGCGACTGCTGGAGGAGATGACATGCATTGATAAAATCAGTAATATCATAGTTGCAGACGTTCCTTCTGCAAATAAACAGAAAAATAGTTTTTGAAAAGCAATAGTTGTCGACCAAAAACAATAAAACAAATAGGTGTGAATTTCTACTTTACTTTACAAACCAAATCCAATAAATAATTATGCACATCTTATAAAGTCGACCACTCGACCACCCATGTACATGCAATTTGGCACAGAATGCATTTGACTTACGTATCGGTATATGACTGATACTCTGCCTTTGCAGTTATCTCTCCACCTCTTTCGGATCTTTTGTTGTTATTTCTTTGACTAGATACCCATTCACAGAAATTAAGGTTTTTAGCCATAGGAACTACGAGGGTTGTTGCATTTGAATTTTCAGTGATTCTTGGAAACCCTCTTTCAATCAACGATTGACGGACACCGTTTCCTACGTTTCGTCTGAGAGGAGTTGTAATTTCGATTTCGGATTCGGAAGAGATTGAACTTGCGCTATTGGAATTTGTTGAATCTGATTGGACGATTCTATCACCTCTTTCATTTTCGAGGCGTTGAGGAGCCTCAACGGTTGGTGTAGAGGTGGTTGCAGGAGGCAAAGAGAAGTGCGTTGTATACCTAAATAAATGTCCAATATTTACTATGTCTTCAGATCAGCAAAATGTAAATTAACGTGAATTTAAACACTATATGCATAAAACTAGTGCATAGATCGGTTTTATATCATATTGTATCATCACAATTTTCTCAATTGTTTAAGTACACCTAACAAAGAACCATTTAGCAAAAGAAACCAACAATAGAGACGCATACCTTTTCTTCAAAGTTGATTTTCTATCTGCAAAATGATCTCCAGCTTGATCATCAGTTAAAAATACTATGTAGAAGAAAATTGGAGGAAAATGTAAAGCATAACATACGGGGTATCTCCATCGAATTCCTCCATATATTTGAATTTCTCTGGAAAGTAGCGCTGGAAGTTGGTGGTTTACGATGCCTTAATATCCCATCACTACTGTTCTCATTGTCTTCTGGTTGAGGTGAGACCTCTGGATCAGAATGGCGCAATTGCTCTGATGCTTTAATGCTTTCGACTTCAACGTCGTCAACTACAGCGTCTAACAATGGATCCCAGTATTAGGTACGGATTTACTTTTGGGGGTATTTTGACCAGTTCCATTATTAAATGCGGGTTTATCTCTAGGTGATGCAGAAATTAAGGATTGCTGAAGTCTTCTGCTCACTTCGAGAAGAGGATGATTCTTATCAGGGTGTTCATTATTTGATAAGTAGTTTATGATTTCACTTTGAATAGATACTAGAGACTCTAATTGCATTACGCGAACCGAAAGTCTCCTGATATTTTCGGAAGCCGTTTGTTCCTTGTCGGTTAACTGGCACAAACCAAAAGAATTCATCCTTACGTGCCAGTTTATTCAGAATTGGGTGTTGCGATACCAAAGGCAAGTTCCTTTATCTACAAAATGCTTGGGATTTGGATACATATGTTTAGAATCTTGGTTCTTTTGCCAATACAAAGATCATCAAGATATCCCGAACGAAAATATAGAATTCCAATTGAAATCCCACGTGAGCCTGAAATGAGTGTGTTTTACATATTAAAACAGACTCTCAAAAAAGCTCATCGGATCTCTTTAACAATACCTAAATTACACTTCAAAAATTGAGATTGAGTAGCCTTTACTTTAAGGAACTGATGAGCCACAGCCACCCCTTGATGGGAGTCATTATTCTCCTGAAAAAGAATCATGCTCTAAAAGTCTATTTACAAGATGACAATTGCGCATGTTGTGAGTCATCTCTCATAGGACTACACTGTTCAAATTTCCTTTATGTCACACCAAGTAAGGGAAAACGCCCTCAAATAAATGACAGCAATAAACTGGTAGTTGGACACCCAAAAACAAAACTTTAAGTAGCGTTTACCAATCACAACATCATTTACAATAAGTATGGTTTGGTTTAAATGCATCGGAAATTTTGTGAAATAATAAATCACAAGTAAACGCGTAGTTTCACCGTTATGGGAATACATCAGCTGACTAAGGTTATTGGTGATCATGCGCCAAAGGCCATAAAAAATGGGGAAATTAAGTCCTATTTCGGTAGGAAAGTGGCCATCGATGCCTCACTCTGCCTATACCAGTTCCTGGTTGCTGTCCGCAGTGAAGGCAGCAATTTAGCAAACGAAGCTGGTGAATCCACAAGGTAGAACTTTACTATGATTTCAGTATTTGTACAAGCTGCATAATAAATTGGTAACAGGTATCCACTTCCCCATCCCGCAGTCATCTTATGGGAATGTTTTATCGGACAATCCGTATGCTTGAAGGTGGTCTCAAGCCGGTTTACGTCTTTGAGGGCAAACCGCCGTGTCTCAAGTCTGGAGAACTGGCGAAACGCACAGAGCGTCGAGAAGAGAATGCCAAGGAGTTGGGCAAGGCAAAGGAGATCGGTGACACAGAAGCGATCGAAAAATACTCCAGGCGATTGGTCAAAATCACTCCTCAGCACAGTGAGGATTGTAAAACACTTCTTCGGCTCATGGGCATTCCTTTTGTCGAAGTGAGGATACCAGTCTCTTCCACTGATACACAATTTTTTTCATAGCGAAGCTTTGCATACTTGGCTTTGCAAATTCTTAGGCACCAGGTGAAGCAGAGGCTCAGTGCGCGGCATTGGCAAAGTCTGGGAAAGTCTACGCGGTCGGTACCGAAGATATGGATGCTCTGGCCTTCGGTGCACCGGTTCTGCTTCGTCACCTCACTTTTAGCGAGGCTCGGTATGCTGGAGCTTTCAGTGTATAAGTGTTCTATAATTTTCTGGGGACGAATTCACGGCATTAGGATTATCTAGTCTTGTTTGCATACCAGCAATGTTTGAAGGGTTTAAGATTGTTTTTTCTTTGTTTCCAGCAAAATGCCAATCCAAGAGTTCAACCTTCGAAAAATTCTAACTTCAATGGATCTAACAATGAACCAGTTCGTGGATCTTTGTGTCATGCTTGGTTGCGACTATTGCGGAAGCATCAAAGGTATTGGACCAAAGAAATCCGTGGAGCTGATTCAGCGCTATAAGTCTCTTGATTCCGTCCTGGAACACCTAGACACGAAAAAGTACCAGCCCCCGGAGGGGTGGGTCTACAAGGAGGCTGTTCGTCTCTTTGTTGAACCGGATGTCATAGATCCCACAGGAATTGAGGTTAGCCTTGACACTAGCGATGTCGATTCTTACCTAGAAATTAACTACTTTCATGTTTTCTTTCAGCTGAAATGGACAGAACCTAATGAGGATGGTATTGTGGAGTTCATGTGCGCCAAAAACGGTTTCAAGTGAGTGACTTTTTAAAAAGGACAATTTTTGACCCTGTGGAGGCATCACACCACATACTTGAATGATTTCAGTGAAGAGAGAATAAGGAATGGCGTGAAAAAGATACAAAAATCGCGAACTGTTTCAACGCAAGGCAGAATAGACAATTTCTTCCTGATTAAACCTGTGGCACCCTCGGATAAGGTGGGTTTTACCGGTCATTTTAATGACTTGATCGCTTTACGAGTGATTTCGTATTGGTGTTTCAAAACTATAAGTTGTAGTTAGGTTTTTTTCATCTCGATCGTGTTTTCAGTTTGTGCCGTAGCTGAGTCCCTATGGCGTGATTTTGTGCCTTCGAGAACGATATTGCGGCACTTTTAGTTTACTTTCTTTTTAGAAAACACAGGCAAGCAGCGACAAGAGACCGTCAACCACGTCGGCGAAGAAGCCCAATCCGAAGAAACGCAAGTGACTCGAAGAGACCAGCGGGTGGATTCTCCTCTGTCAGGCATTTAATCCCAGTCGTTTCCCTGTCGTAATAAGGACTAACCTCAAACAACATCGATCTATGTGTACAAAATATTGACAGCTAATGGTCTTTCTTGGTGGGTAAACAATCCATACCCGGTTTCAGATCTTGTATTTTCCCACCAGCTTGGCTCATTTCGTCAGGTTGGTGAATGGAGCCCTAGTGTTCAATAAAATTACTGAAAGCCTGAGTTAAGACCTCCAGAGGTGTGGTTTCAGCGTCGCGTCGCCTAACTTGCTGTCCTCCCGGGAGTGGAGTACGTCTGCTCAGCCGAGCTAGTTAGCAGTTGGCACCGGAAAAAGCTATCAATTTCCAGGTGGGGCGTTAGAATGATCGGAAGACGTTGCCTGCCTTGCTGTACTCGAGTGAATTCCTGCATAAGGCAGTGTCGGGGAATTAGCCTCCTGTCAATTGCTGGCACCCCCATGCCTCAGCAACACGCGAAACATAAGCGGATAGATTAGCAATCAAGTCCTTCAATCAGAACTCACCTTGCCATTTTCATTTAAGCAATGCTTCATCATGCAAGAGGTCGAAGTTGACCTGATAAGTTAGCCTCAGGTTCGGGCAACTACAGCCACTGATAAACCCAATCTTCCTATGTAGCTTTATTCTCTCCTGTACACGCGTAATGAAAGCAAAGAGAGGGTCAAAGAGACTGAGTTTAGGATATCACACGCTTTATTCCTCCTCCACATCCTCACTGCTCGACTGCCGCCGCTTAACTCCCTTCTTTCCTTTCTTGAAGTTGCTATTGGTGTTGCGAGGGTTTTTCTTCCTCTCGTCTCCATCTTCCTCTTCCACAGACTCATCACCCCCTTCAGCCGCACCTTCTGCCACGTCTTCTTCCTCATCACCGTCCTCGTCCTCTCCTTCATCCTCTTCGTCTTCGTCATCCTCATCGCCAGACACCTCCTTGTTGGCGTCTTCCAACTCTTCCAACTGTCGCTGGAAGTCGGCCTCCTCGGTGTCGGAGACGACGCGAGGCTAGCGAAGAAAGAGTAATCATAAAGAGCATAGAGACAAAGTATTTTATAGGAATACATCCCATCGTAAAAAAACAGTCTTCAAACTTCTGAGCCTAAAAGTTAAGAATGCTAAACTGACCTGTTACCTTTTGGAAGTTGCGACTCCAACTAATCACATTTTAAAGGTAGACAGAACAAACAGGTAAGTAAAAGGTAAAAGATCTTGTCTTCCTTGAAAGAAGCAACAAAAGTAAATAATTTCTTATTCCGAGATTAGCTGGGATAGCACGCCTCTTCTACCAGAGGATCACCTTTTAAACCCGGATCAAAAGGAAAACGGTTCCGATTACAAACCGCATTCAAAATTCAGGGGCGATTGCAGTGAAACACTATTTGTAGTGTTTCTCACTAATAAATGAATTTCCGTCATGTATGTTTTAGAGGACTTAGTGAAATGGAGTTCCACCTCTCGTAAAAACATCAACGCAAATGAACTACTTATTATTAGACTTCATTGGATTGAAAATTTAAAAAACTTCCATTTTATTATGGTTAAAACCGAAATGTTTGATGTCAACAAATTGTTCCTCGGAATTTCATACAATTACAAGCCAAAAAATCTCATATCAGTCATCAGATTGAAAAGCACCTAAACTAAGTAGATTGATAGATCTAAATGGCCAAACATCAGCACTGATATCACCCACAGAGAAAGAACCGAAGCACACTAAAAAGCATGTGTACACTTCGCATACTTTGGGCCTTCATTACTGTGGCATCCGGGGTGTTAATCACAAATCATTTGATCCAGCCGTAAACAGATCTAACTAAATTTGGTAACATAGAGTAAATCGACTACAGGCTCAATACCGTCTTAACTTCTAAATTGGCAAATCACAAAAGTGACTTTTAGCGGACAAGATAAGTTACTTTTGAATCTAGAAATGATAATCCATGACGATCCTCGTGGTGTAGTAAACCCCAGACTAAAATTGTCACAGCTGAAAGCAAGTGTAAAACAAATGTTTAAATCAAAGAAAACAGACTCACCTTTTGTTGGAGTTTAAATGAACCCTCTTGCTCTTCAATGGAATTCTTGATAGCCTCCAGGACTTTTTCCAGCTGTACAAGACCTTCATTCCATTCGAGAGTTTGCGTGGTCAGCACGTATAAAGGCGGAGCGATCAGGTTTATCTGAAACCAAAATAAACTAACATCCACCACCTCCAGTTTAACGAAAATGTCCTTTACAAAATGGAAACCACGCCTCACTGAGAAATGACTACATGGATGACATGATTTTACAAAACGACGCTATTTGCCAGTGTCCAGTGCTCAGATCTTGAATACTCTGAGCTTAAAAACATGCCAGAGAAACTACCATCCCAATTTTTAAAGAATGGTATACAAGTCCCAGCTTGGGAAGTGAAACTAACCTTGATGGGAAGATCATCAGTGCTAAGAGCTAGGCCAGCGTGAAGAGCACGACGAACAGCATCGATTCCCTCGTAAGCAAAACAGGAGACCTCAAAGTCTGCACGTAGTTTCACTGCCTGAGGCATAAGTCGGTGGCGAATATCCTGTAGTAACATTTCCTTGGTTTTTGCATCGATATCGCAAGCATCCAAAATACTTGGGTTCCTAACGACAGGAAAATGGATAGCACCATAAAATATCACAAGGGTAAGCCGATTGCTACAAGTGCTACTAATACTGCAACAAGTAAAATAAACATACTGAACAGCCCTTCTAAAGGCCTCATGAGAACCTCCTTGACCTGCATATTTCTTATCGAAAAACCACACCGTTTTAGCGCAGAGGCCCTCGAGCTGCGACTTTTCAGTGTAGCCTAGTTTTTCCGCTGCATGCCTAACGATTTGGTTTACCTAAAACCATAGCAGGCAGGAAGCGACTTACCGCTTTTGCTTTTGCAAAACGGTCTTGGCATACATGAGTTTCTTCGAGAGGTACACGTCGTTTTGACAGATCAATGTAGCCTATTTGATATATAAAGCCAATAATAAAACCAACGTTTTTCAGGATCCACACGAATAACAAGAACAATGTCACTACGACCGACACGGACGAGCTTGTTTATAGACCGAATACGACGCCTGGAAAGCTCACTATGAAGTATCATGCCAACCGCATTGTCATATTCAGGCAAGATAACATAGCTTCCACTATTTGTGATTGAAGTTACAACAGCAACTACAACATCATTTTCTGCTGGAAACTCATTCTCGTAGTAGCGACAAGAAAGAGGCATAGCGCCTGGGACTTCAAAAGGAGCGGGTACAGGGGGCACAAGCTTAAAACTGTTTCTTCACTCAAAGAAGTCGCAATCTAATTATGCCATGGAAGCTTTATAATCTAATTGCGAATTATTGCAACTTCCCAACAGCGAATTTTTTACTTTGTGAGACATTAGGGAAAGGACCACATTTAGGCCTATAGACTTCAGCCGTCCGTAATAAATATTAAGCTTCTGTGAGGCAGTCACTTGTTCTTGGAGCTGCGTCTTACAGATTATAAAATATCCCAGTAAAGTTTAGAACGCAATGGAGTTTTTGATAGACACCATGGCTGGAATAGTATATGTAGTTGTAGCGTCCCGAGACTCCCTGAAGACGAAAGAAGACAAAATACTCGGGAGGAATATATATTCAGCGCAGAGAAGGTGTCTGGGTTATTGGCATGGCCCAAAAGTCCAGCTCACTCAGCGGGGTACAAGGGGGCTGATTCAAAGTACAAAAAAGTGGGGCCTCGCCAGAACCGAGGGATAAACCACTATCGTATTACATAGTAGTAGAAGATCTTGATAAGCGTTCATTTGGTTGTGTATACTGTACCATGTTTCTTCTCGAATATGATGGGGCCTGATGTCCATATGCAAGGTTGACCCTCTTTCCTGTCTCTTCTTTCATTAACAGTGTTTTTCTTAAGCGTTATGATTCCATGTAGCACCCCGAGTCTTTCCCGAGGACTAAAGACATAATCCTAAGACAGAATATGCATATTCGGTAAGCAGTAGGACTTAAGGCTACTGATATGGCCCAAAGGCTAGCTCACTTGGTAAAGGCACGATGGAAGCACACCCAAGTGGCCCCCTTACCAAAACCGGGAGTTAAACAAACCAACGCAATATAGTACGTTGGCGTATGGTTGGCTATGGCTATTGTTAAGATGAAGTGTAGTAGCCAACTCTTTTTTCTCTGTAAAGTCCATCAACATGCTGAGGACCTCAGTGTCCGTGTCATGGAGCCTGTTGACCGTAATGAGCAAGTGGAGTCCGTGTCTGATCTACGCTACTATATACCTTTTGCGTCAATGTATCCTGTGGGTTCCTAGGGTTATTCATGTCGTTTTTTCCGTCTTCCTACCACAAAAAAGAATTTTTCTGGCATCATTTCGGTCTTCCTGTGAAACTCTGAGTTTGGCTGGTTTTGTGCATTATTACTTAAATTAGGTTTCAAAGTATCTGAGAATAGATTTCGCATAGGAATCGCTGAGTTTTTGTGGTTGAATGCGGAACTAGAGTTCAGCCCTCGACTGCTGAAATTACTTACCAAAGCCTGCGCTCGTTGTAAAAGAGGCGAGTTTCACCAATCCTGCCGCCAATGTAGAAATTTTGCCGTTTACCCCACTTTACACCGGTTCCAAGTCTTTTAATCGGGAAGGTTTGCTTGTGGGGAGCACAATATTATGGTTGAAAAGTACAACTTTTATGGGAAATCCGAACTCTTGCTCTGAACTAACAGATTTGTTAAGCTCAGCTACTTGTTACCTAAAAGATGTACCAAGACAAACGTGCGTTACACCGCGTTAAGCCTCATTGACATCTTACTTGAAGTTCACTTTGTACCGATCTCATTGCAATCGAATTTCTTGTTGATAAATCCAAACAACTACCGGATTCCCATAACACTTTACCGGAGCCACTGATCACCACCTAACCTCCGCCCCACCTCATACACTAAACCGGAATTCAATTGAGCCCACATGAATGCACTCGACTTCCACGTACGGAGAACACCTAAAAGTCCATGAATCTTGATTATGACTCTTTTTTTGTCTACCTTCTCTTAAAACTGAACCACTAAATGACAATTCAGGCCAAAAAAGACTTTACATTCCAAGACACCCAAAAAATCATTAATAACTTGTGCAACCCAATCATTCTCAGGGTAAATGCATGAACACACAAGCACCCACACGACAAAACCCAATGTTAAGACCATCTTACTACAAAAAGAAACAAGCAAACTGTGCAAATGAGTACGATAAATACATAAAGTAGAGAAAGATTGCACTCATCCATCTACACAGAATAACAACATAGAGATGAACGACAATACCGAAGGAAGACAGAAAAGTCCCCCACTTTTACTCCCTTAATCTTCATATCTGTACACAAAGGAGGAGGTGGGGATAGGGTCGCCAAGACCGCCTCAGAGGAGAGAGCGACCAAGCTTGAGGAGGAAATAGGTGCCAAGGAGGATGAGGAAAAAGAGCTCACGGCGATTCTGCCTCGCGAGGGCGTTCTCCAGTGCCGCCACACGCACTACCAACTCCTCCAACTGACCCTCCAAATTCACAGCCGGGGAGGCCTCACAGTCTTCTGCGGAGACGTTCAGCGGGGCCTGCTCGATTAGGGTCCGGTCGTCGTCCGGTGGACTGTAGAGGCTGCTGATGAAGTAGTACAAAATTATCATTGGGAATCTGTGAGGACAGATTGGCTACTACTACTAACATCATCACTACCACCACTGAAATCGCTTACACTACATACGTTATCCGCTATGACGGTGGATTCATCACAATTATCTCTCAATACCTCTGTTTGGCTAGGTGTTTGGAGTGACAGAGAATTATAAACCGAGTATAACATTCAAAAGTTCGGCAGAATAGATTCTTTAAAAGCCAGTTCGTTTAAGCATTGGGCAACCAACTAATTTGCAACGAAACCAATAATGTAGGAAGATCAAAATGGAGCTTTTATTACTCACCGAAAGCTTCAAAGCTCTTACGATACCCATATTACCCGCTGAGACATTTCCCCTGATGATAGGCTTATTACAAAAAAACCACAAATCTAAATATCTCGGTAGCCAAAAGTTAGATTCAAATGATTCGACGCACACTATTCCGTTGGCTAGTGAGAAGTAAAACAGACGCACACAAGTGACTTCTGCTTTGTTATAAAGCAAGCCGAGAGCTATTGTGTGACCAGTGCATATGAAACATTTCTCTGCCCGTGTATGTAGAGAAAGCCAAGTGCTGAAATCAGTTGTTTGTCAAGAAGGTCCTTTTATAAAAGCCACACCCGCATGTATAACCGACCTGAAGCATGAGCCGATGGTGTAATGAGATCAAAGTAGCACTATTCTAGCAGACTGAAAAAAAAACACCGATAGGCATCATAACCTTAGTCGCATCTGACACGGGTACAAGCTTACGAAACCCGCATTGCCCTATTTGACGGATCTTCCATCGTGAAGTTCACGATAGGCAACTCAAACAAATGCAAAATACCTCATTTTTGCAGCCACGTTGTTAAATATCATTGCTGGAGAAAAAAAGATATGCCCCAACACTACCAGTCTCTAATTCATCGAAAAAAATAAGGTTGTCTTACAACCCATGGACTTAAAGTACCCGCTTTTGTGTGTGATTTGAACAAAAACTCTGTTAAAAAACCGTTCCACCACTGAGAAAACTAAGCTTATAGAAACTAACTTAAGTGTCCGTTATTCGAAATCATGCGCACGATTAGCTTGAAGTAAATTAACGGAGCAGTGGACTCAAAACGGTGCTGATACGTCTAATCATGTGTATGTAAAGTAAATTGAATAACATTTGGCAGGAGGATCTTCCACGAATCAATTGGATTGTGCATCACTAAAAGAATTCTATAAAACTGCACTGGCACGCATGGCTAATTAGGAATCCGCAAATATTATGATAAGGACAAAGTGGGGCGAATTTCGCGGAGGGAAACAATAAAGGCTTACTGAAAGAGACTGAGGTTGCTGTTTTCCTTGTTGCCACCGATAGGTGAGCAAAGGGGTCTGCTAAATCTATCGATGTCTGGATACTCCACCTGTCCCAGCACTAAGGATTCTGGTGGGGGCTCCAGACTTGGTCTAGCCACAGGAAGATCTAAGTGAACAGCACGGAATAATTGTCCTGAATAAAATGCTTTGCTTACGAAATCGGAACTTATCTTGAAACCGGAAGAGCATTTAACACTGGGATGGCATTTACTAAACCTTCAGACACATTTATTAAATCGCACTTAAAAATTTAAAAAAGAATAAGTAGAACCAGCGCCGAGAGTTCGAATATATATATTGAAAACCACTAGGACATAAACCGAGGTGCAATATCAAAGACGAAACCGCCAGTATAAATAACACTATAGGTGACCTCAAGTAAAAAGCTAGAAAACAGAGGAATACAGTGGGGGCTTACCATACGGATTATACAGGTGATCGGACTTGTTAGAGCCCGAAATAAGGACTTGGCTGCCAGTCCCCATACCTGAGACATTATCAGCCGAAGAAAAATCGGGAAGTACAAGGGAGAGTCTACTTGGGACTTGCATTATATTACTTATATCTGCGGTGTAGTCCAAATCTATCATTTTCCTAACAAAATCTGAGTCCATATAAATCACGAAGTTAATGAACACACATATGGACTGCAGCAGTGAGTGCTTGGGTTACTTTGATAAAACGTGGGCTAGAATTGCCATTTGTTACTCCAGAATGAATGGACAAAAGCGCAATACCGAAGTTCCTTGCGTGAAGTAAGTAAATACTTATTAGTTATGCACACCATTCTAAATTTGGGACGTAGTTGCAGCAAAAGCCCCATTTATCCTCATTTTCCAAGTTTTCATGCCCGTGGAACATTGAGGCTGGTAGAATTTGGACATATTTATTGCTCAGCTTTAATGAAGATGGATGCAGGTTTAGGGAGACTTGGAAACGGGACTCTTCTCTGGCTTAGAAAATATTGGCAGCTCTCGAGTCGTGATGTTGGATTTGACTACCCTTCTCCTCTCTTGGACATAGATTTAAAAGAACATGGGTATTACGGTAGTTTTTACTAATATATGGGAATACGTAAATGAAGGAAATCCTACATGTTATCTTTCCTAGTTTCCAGGCAAATGATTACTTAGGCAAATTTCATTAGAATTGGTTGAGTGGGGCATCGCCATACCATTAAAGCACCCCTGGCCATCATTAAGTCGCAAGTAGTTACAGTAGTGTGGCAGAAAACAGCACACCACTATGTTTAGGGACTAGGAGGCTTCTGCCATTACTCTAAGCCCAGACTGCTAAGTGGAAGTACAATCGACGGCAGAATAAGTGCCCTCGTATTCAGGTGCAGGGTTAAACAAGCCACCGAACCACTAAAGCATATCGAAACTTTAACTGAATTGAAGCAAATCTCATTTTTAAGCTGCTCACATTACCATTGTAATAATTGCCTGCAAGCGAAGCTCCAACTCTACAGTACTCAGATTCAACAGGGGACTTCATCAGATCTTGAAAAAGACTAGTAAAGTGGAACAACTACTCTTCCGCTACTTTCAGTTATGGTGCATTGCATCAGTTACATGGGTTCTATATACTGCAACATAGAAGGCTGATAGCATTATTTAACACAATATATTGTTGCAGTACCGAAGTAAACCAAGGCATTTGGAGCACGGGGTAAAATTCCGGATGAAGAGGCATTTTACTGCACAACAAACAATAAGCAACTGAACCCAATCTTAGCTATCAAAGAGGTCCCCATTTTTAGTAAACTTCCTGTACTGCCTGGCAGTGAGGAATTCTTTGCGGTTTTACAGAAGAAATGGGAAAAAATGGGGAGGCATTTTAGCGTTACATAAAAAGTAAATACAAGAGAAACGTTTGAGTCAAGCAAGAGCACTGCTTTACACAAAAAGGAGACTGCACGCATTCCTACTCCTTGTAACCAATGCATGTATCTGGGTCGGTCCAAGTTGTGAGTCAAGACGGGTGGCAACATTGGTGTGATGACGAATGTAATTCCTTGCGGACGAAGTAAAACCAGCACAAGTTGACACCTGCTTGCTTTGGCAGGAGACTTTATGCACAGCGCAAGGATGGGAAGCCCAATCCTGGATCGAATGGTGCAAGTGCTTAACCCACAGTAGTTATTCCTGTGGGCATTCAGCTATCGCGTCGAGCATCCGATCAGAGTAATTATACAATAAGGAAGTTTTTCTGTAGGAATAGTGAGAAGTCTTTCACGAAAAGTTGTTGTTTTGAACAGACAACGCACGTCTCATCAGTACTGGGATGTAGAAGGGGATTACATTTGAATACAAATCCAGTACCGACAACTCTGACACTTTTTTTCACCAAGTCCAATTTTTTGGTTCAACTTGAATGCTCTCTTGCACCAAATCCACTAAAATCGACTGGCAGAAGCTGGGGGACCCTCTAGTGGAGTTTCTGCAGGGCACTTAAAAAGCATATTGAGGTCATTTGGAGTTATTTGCATTGTTAAACAATCCACATAAAACGAATTATTTAAAATGTTTAGGCAAAATTTCACCTAGAAAATAATTGCTTTTTAAAGCATTCATTTAAATATGGGCATAATTTTTAAATGATGGCGGAGAATTAAAATGCAGGTAGGCCACTTCGTTCACAATGTCCTCAGAATACGCGTAGCTTTTTCCTTGAATCGGGGCAAATTTAACTTTTCTTAAAACCTAAATAAAAATGTGTACTATTGTATCAGTCTTATGCAGGCTGCACGAACTTTTATCGTCGTTCAGGTGCTAATTCGTGACAATGTCAGGCTAGGCTTTGCAGAAAAGAAGGCTTCTATCTAAGTTCATTTTTATTTATTTATTAAATGTGGTTGTTGACTGTCACTATAGACTAGAGGACCATGTCAAAGTAAAGGTGAACCTATAGCTCTGGTTTTGCCACATTTGTACACATTTCAAATTGTTATTTAGTCCGAATTTTTTCAAAAAAATCGAAGAACAATTTATGTATGTGAAGGGGTTTTTTCCTCTTATTTGTCTTATTGAATGGGACGATCGAAGATTGTTGCAGTCCTTTGTGGAGCGAGACTCACCGGTCTCCGCTTCCCTACTCCTAGCGTTCCTAGACAAGCCCGGTTGATTCGCTTTGGACATCTTTATTAAAGGTGACAAGATGGAGAGGGAGAATACAATGTTCAAGGAGGGGAGCTGCAGTCGCTAGGTGAGGGAGAAGACGATTCAGTCACGAGATTCGAATTCCCTGATTGCCTCCTCCCTGAAAAATACATTAAAACAACATAAGTATTACACCTTATTGGCCAAATTTTCAATGTCTGCAACGCATTGTTAAACCTTCTTTGAAATTTCATCTCTGTTTCACGAATTCCGAGGTGAAATGCCAATTGACTGCTTCCATCTAAAATACTGCAGCGCCCTGAGACTTCCCTGATTGCAAAAGGAGACATACTGCTTGAGCGGAATATATGCATTTGACATACAGAATGGTTTGGGGGCTATTGGCATGGTTCGGAGGCAAGGCCACCCGGAGGACGTACAATGGCGGCGCCCCTATGTAGCCCAAATAATTAGATACTACGGTATGCGGTACTTTTAGGTAAAAGTGATGTTCAGCACATTTTCTTAGCTGTAGCATTTTTCGAAGCATCAAACATTGTTGGGCATTAAGAAGCCACTTGAAATTGTCAAGTTTGACAACTTCTTCACGAAACGTAAGTGACCAACCTTAATTCCGCCGCTCTGTTAGTAACTCATCTGTGTCATTATGAGGCAATGTGATTGAGACAAGAGGATCGAAATGATGGAATAGGGCAACGAAGTTCATACCACCTGGAAAGTAATGTGACGAGATATCTTGCAAGAAATGGAGGGATATTAGCTAGTAAAATTAACCCCAAAATTTACCTCATCATCCTTTCTACAAAATATTTGTGGGGAAGCTCGCCGTCTTAACTCTATGACCGTGATAACAAATAGTAAATATTAAGAGCACTTTTTCAGCACAAGTTACAACGTGACGTCTTCACGCTACCAAAGGAAGAAGAAAAGACCTTAAGACTATTTTTATCCCGATGACTGTTTATATTATGCCATGAGCGAATCTTATCGTAAAAGACAACTAGCCGGAATTCTGACTGAAGAAGGACCTCTGCCACTGACGAGAGAATCCGCAACGGCTCCGAACAGAAGAGTCAAAAATACACCTACCGTCGGCAACCACCCGAGTCTTGTGGTGTGCAGGAGCGCAATTAACAGCTGAAGCAGTTCCTTACGGAGCTGTCTACTGTACTAAGCTATACGCGACACCTCCTCTATCTGCCTACCAGCTCGATAGAACCCAGATAGATATGGCCGGAAAACACTGGAGGAAGAACAGACATAAAATCTCATCCCTGTTCTCCATTAAATGACGTCTTTGAGGCCAGTGATGGGTTCACAAGATGGTCATCACAATCCCCCTTCCCTCAATGCAGTTACCTAACAGGACAAAGCTCCGGATCCGACGGAACTGACAAGAGAGAACAATGACGCTGTAGTAGGGTATCTTCTCACATGCACGCAAATTTGACGACTGCATGTTTTTACTACAACGCCGACTACGTTGTGAAGGGTGACGCTGAAGCCTGATCATGAGGATCGCTGGTGAGAGTGGCAAAGCAATACTTTGATTATTTGCCTAACTCTTCCTTCCGGTTCCTCGGGGTACTGCGGGCTCAGAGATTGTTCTTTCGCCCAGCTACATGACCTCCGGGCCGTGGTGATACCCTCTCAGCCCATCTGCACGTCAGCAACACATATTCTGTCCGAGTGTTGTGTCGTCTTCCCTCAACAGGAATGTTCTGCGGCCCTACAGCTACATTGTGAAGGTGACTAAAAGAGCAATTGAGTGTTGTAAAGTGGAGTCAATCCTACAGGATGCTTCCTCACGAAAATTAAAGTTGAAGATCATCATCACAAAGTGGGAGTAAAAATTTTGAGAAAAGTGAAAAGAAACGAAAAATAAAGTTAAAAGTAAACGTGCTTAAGAAGCAGAAATAGTCCACGCGCAAAATAAAAGAATAGAGATTGTTGTTGAGTAAAAGTACAAAGCAAAAAACAATGCTGGTTTAAATTTACGAGGTCACGAGGCAAAGATAAGGTATAAAAAGGTAGAAAAGGCTTATGACTACTGCAAAAGTAGAAAAAAGCTGCAATGAAGAAGAAATCACACCGGAAATCGCCAGAAGGAAATCATAGTTTGACAAAGGCAGCCAATAAAGACACAGCTAAATGCAACGAGGAACGGGGAAGAAATATCGGGCAATCAAATGAGGAGGAGAATGCAACGAGAAGTGAAAAAGACAGAGAGGGTGATGAAGATCGGAATCTGAGGGAGTACGTGATCTCAATAGCTCAGAAATACTATCCCCATTTAGTAAGCTGCATGCGGCAAGATGATGACAATCAAGCATCCGCCGATGCTCGTGGGGCAGATGGGGCAAACGATGAGGAACACTGTCCAAAACACTGTCCGCGCTTGAATGCTCAAAAGTACTACCTTTACTCGGCAACTTGTAATCACCATTGTGAGGACAGCCAAGCGTCCTGTGACGAGGAGGGCGATGGAAAACGGCTTCTGAAGCAGTGTCTACTCTGGTTAACTGAAAGATACTATCCCTCTTTGGCAGCCCGTATTCGACAATGCAATGACGATCAAGCATCCTCCAATGCGCATGGTGCCGATGAGACTGACGATGGAGATCGGCGTCTGAAGCAGGCTTTGCTCCTTTTTGCTAAAAAATTATATCCCTGTGTAACCACCTGTATCCGCCACTGTGTTGCTGACCACACGTCTCATGATGCGCGTGGTGTAGACGAGGAGGTCGATGGAGAACAGCTTCTGAAACAATGTCTACACTCCTCTGCTCAAAAATTCTACCCCCGTTTGGCAGCCTGTGTTTGTCACTGTGATGCAGACCATGCGTCCACCGAAACGTGTGGTGCACTAGGGGTGGGCAATGCGGAACGTTGTCCGCAACAATGTCCGTGCTTGTGCGCTCAACAATACTACGTCCAATCGGCAACTTGCGTTCACCACTGTGACAACGAACAATCCTCCCCTGAAACCCGTGGTGTGAAGGAGGATGTTGACGTGGAACAACTTCTGAAGCAGTGTCTGCTCATGTTCGCTGAAAAATTTCATCCCACTTTGGCAGCCGGTATTCGTAGCTGTGCTGATGATGAGTCTTCCCATGTCGCGAGTGTTGAAGGGGAGGACGATGCTGATAAACAGCGTCTGAAGCAGTATCTTCTCCTATTCGCTCAAAAATACTATCCTCACTTGATAGCCTACATTCAAAAGCGTGATGACGATCAATCCTCCTCGAGTGTACGTGATTCAGGCGAGGAGGCCAACGAGGAGGAGGAGCGTCTGAAGCAGTGTCTACTCTTATTTGCTCAAAAATTATATCCCCGTTTGGTAGCCTACACTGGCCGCTGTGATAGCAATCAATCCACCTCTGATGGTTGTAGTGTAGACGGGGAGGAGGCTGAAAAACATTACCTGAAGCAAAGCCTACTCTTATTGGCTCAAAAATACTATCCTTCTCTGGCAGCCTACCTTCGTCAATTCGATGACAATCAGTCGTCCTCTGATGTGCGTAGTGTAGACGAGGAGGAGGCTGAGAAACGTCATCTGAAGCAGGGTCTACTTTTTTTCGCCGAAAAATACTATCCCTCTTTGGCAACCTATATCCGCCGCTGTGATGACGATCAATCCTCCTCTGATGCCCGTGTTGTGGACGAGGTGGACGATGAGGATCGGCGTTTGAAGCAGGGCCTGCTCCTATTGGCTCAAAAATACTATCCCCCTTTAGCAAACTACATCCGCCACAGTCAATCGTCTTTTAATGTGTGTGGTGCAGACGAGAAGGAAGATGAGGAACACTGCCTCAATCAGCTACCGCGCCTATGCGCTCAAGAGGCCTACATCCGTTCGTCAAGCTGTAGTCACCACTGTGATGACGATCAAGCGTCCAATGATACGCTTGTTGTAGACAAGGAGGAGGAGGAGAAATATCGCCTGAAACAGGGTCTACTTTTGCTCGCTCAAAAGTTTTATCCCCCTTTGGCAACCTGCATTCACCAATGTGATGATCAGTCGTCCCATGATACGCGTGGTGTAGACGAGGAGGAAGCTGAGGAGCAGCTATTGAAGAAGTGTCTACTCATGTTTGCTGAAAAATTCTATCCCTCTTTGGCAGCTACCATTCACCACAGTGTTTACGATCAGGCGTCCTTTGATATGCGTGACGTAGACACGGAGAACGATGAGACACACTGTCTGAGCTTAAGCGCTGAAAATTACTCCACCGCTTCGACAACCTGCATTCACCACAGCGATGGCGACCAATCCACCTCTGATGCGTGTGGTGTGGAGGAGGGGGACGTTGAGGAACAGCGTCTGAAGCGGGGTCTACTCCTATTGGCTCAGAAGTACTATCCCTCTTTGGCGGCCTATATTTGTCAATGTGATGACTATCAACCGTCCTCTGATGTCTGTGGTGTAGGCGAGGAGGATACTGGTGAAGAGCGTCTAAAGCAGTGTCTACTTTTATTCGCCAAAAAATTTTATCCCTCTCTGGCAAGCCGTAATAGCCAATGTGGCGACAACTTGATCTTAAATGATGAAGTTGTCGGAGAGACCGTCATTAACTCTGACACCGATACTGATGAGGTTACACCTGTTGAAAAGTCGACGGCAGTATGTGATGAGGTAGACGAGGTTCCATTTAAGTATGTTGGCAGTCCTACTCCTCTCTCTGATGTTGATGTGGATTCCTTGGAAAAAGTCATCCCTCCTAATGATCTAACTGCTCATAGTTCATTTCAAAATAGCTTAGATCACTCTGTGGAAGGTGGATATCCTGATAGAGCATTCTACATTGGACGTCATACTGTTGAGTCTGCCGATTCAACTGCGCCTCTATCCAAATCTTCTTCTACAAAGTTATATTTCAGCAATACAGACGAATTTCCTACAGAGGAAGAGGTTTCTTCTCCCATCGCTCCTTTGTCTATCCAGAGGCGAATTCGTATCTACTTGGAAGACTTGGAGAACGTACGAAAGGTGTCATTAATACCCTTATGCAAAACCGACAAATTTGGAAACCCTCAGGAGGAAATTATCATTGATTCAAACTTAGACGATGATACTGATGAATCGAAACTTTCTTCTGTCGATGTTGAATTTACAATGGAACAAGCAGATGCAACTCCTCTTGATTTGGAGGCTCAGGATGAAGACCTCAAGAATTGTGTTGCTATCATCCTTAAGCACATCTGGTCGGAGTTAATGGAGTGCATCAGAAGGGAGGGTTTAAGCGACGTTTACGAGCTATCTCTAGGGGACAGGCGAATCGAGGTTCCACAAGATGACGTCTGTTTGGTACGGTGAAAGAGGAGTATTAGTCCCCGTTCCTAAGTAGTACAACTCGAAGACCATGCCTGGATGAAATTGTGGCTTCGACTAACACCCCATGCCCACTTTTCCTTGTTTTAAATACAGTTTGCAATGCATAAACATGTTCCTTTCTTGTTCTACACACATGCCGTATTTGTTTTGGTCAGCGAGCTGTTGAATACATTGCAAACGCCCAAGTTAACCCAGCAAATTGCAAGTTATCTTACAAAATGATTACGCCCATCTTCTCCTTATGGAATTTCACTACAGGATATGCGCCGATGAGGCCACCAGAATTAGACGTTGACAGAAATAACCGTAGAGGCTATTGAGCTGAAGCGGAATCAATGTCGTCACCGACAGTCAAGCAGCCTTATTCGACAAGCCGACACAATTCAAATGTCTTACTTCGGCTGAATGTCCATGCAGTCTACTGACTGGTCATGAAGTCTTATTCACAAGTGTATATCCGCAGATTTAATGGCTACATTCACAAGAAACCTGTGATATCACCATGTACTATTTTATTTTACAGGCTCTTTCACTGTTGTCTGTCAGGGCTGACACACGACGTGCCCCTGCTGTCAGTAATGGGACATCCGTCACCAGTGTGCGTTGTACTCTACGACAGCATTCCTTTTCATGTGGACTCAACTTGAACCTTCCTTGCGGCTCGCCAAAAAGACAGTTTAATAACATTACTCCAGACACAATAAATTCGCATGTCGGCCTTCTGGATCCATGCCAAACTGGCCTGCTTTACTTTAAGCATCCGTCGGAATCAGCTAATGCTGTAGGTGGCTCCTTCCCACAGACTAGTAGTTCCACCTTGGTAGCCATATTTTTAAGTAGTAGCTTAAGTCCAACTTAAAAATTAAACTGTTTACCGAATAGGTTAAGAGTACAATTTGATAGGTACCGTATTCTGGCCTACAGAGTTGATGGAAGTCATCAGGAAAATAAAGTTGTTTTATCAAAAATGACAGCTCAAATCCTTTTGCAAGAACAACTTGATCCCTTTTTTATTCCTCATTCACAACGAGCAAGTCAAATCTTTCAAATCACTTAGATTTCATGATGCGTTTACTTTTTATATTGGTGCGAAATGTTGCTGATAAGTTCAATTAAGCCCACAATCTGAAAATTTCTTGCACACGTAAACCTTAAGTCACACATTATGAACAATTTCGTAAATTAATTATAAGGGCTATGCAAACTTACGCTAAATGTTAAATCACATTTGACAATTTTATCCACTCCAATGTTACACGGCCGATTAGCCTGTTCTCATTGGCCTCAATAATCACGGTACGGCATGTCGGTTTTTGTGACTAGGTGCGTCGTTCATTTGCAGCGCAAGTGTTTACGACCGTCATGTTGGTCAAGAGTGCGTATCCTAATTTTTTTACCACGGAATCATAGAAAATCACTTATCTTAGGCGGAAATATCCTATTCGTATTCCACAATATATTACGATCAACGGTGGTACACAAGAGCTCACAGTTGAGCAGCAAATTTATATTGAAGGAAAGAAGGAAGAAGAAGAACCAATTATCGAAGTGCTGCTCACGGATAATGTGCCAGGTGCCCTAGTCAACGCACTATGTGTCTTGCTCCTTTTTATTTGGTAATAGCTATACAAACGGAGTGTTTTGGCACGGAAGATCCATTTGTTATTTCCTATCACTTATTTATTTATTTTACTCTCTTATGTTTTAAACTATCGGTCCTAATTGGTTACATGCGTTAAAGGTATTGCTGCTTGCATAAAGGCAGTGGAGCTAAAACGGGTTGTTTGATAACTATTCGGTTTCCCTTCCTCAGGTTTAGGCACAAAGGGGCACTTGGTAAAACTTCATCGTAATAGATTTTGGAATAACCTCTACCTGCGTAATCTTGCAGAACTTCCTACTCCAGAACGCATAAATGAACTGAAATCGGAGGCATGTCATAATTCTCCCATTATGTCGATTATTACAAATCTTGATGTCTGGTAAAACACGGTACTTCCCTCTTAGGATGCAAACGTCCTCTCTGGTCATTCGTACGAAACCCAACAGCGTCTTCTTAACATGACTTTGTACATACCGATGAACCCGTCTATCCCTTGGACTTTGACGCCAAAGCACGTAAAGGTGGCCTTCCGTAGAGTAGTAAGTCGAATCGGTGTGGGAAATAAGTAGTCTCCTAGCTGAAGAAATCATTGTCACTTCTCCTTTTAGGGAGTAGTTGTCGAGGAAGAAGACATTGCGATGCCTGAAAAACCAGTGACTGCGTCCACGCTGGAGGAATTCACCGTAAACGTTAACGTAGGTTTCGTATGCATACTTTGCGGATATTTTTAAATGCCATTTCTCTCATTTAAAATGACACTGAAATCCAAACTAATCCTTCGATGTTGTTCCGTGGTGAAACTTCTAAGTGCAATATTTTTACTAACCCTGAATATGGGGAAGAAACCATGACCGCTAGTTCATTTGCAGTTGTCCCCGCAATATGCTGGAGAAGCGGAGTTTGTGTGTATGTGTATTATTAAATATTGCAAGGCTTTCTCTTCTGTATGCATACTATGACTATTATACTCATCAGTTCTTTAAATCTGTCACCGGTTTTTTGATGTCTTTAAGTTTGGTATTCTCATGACGATGTCATTTTAGATGGAAAACAAGATTTCCGTTCCTGTCAAGTGTCGCATCTTTCTTTATCAACGATTGGATGCAAAGACGACGACCAAACCGCCCTCCAATGTTTTCCGTAAAATTCGCCTCGACGACTGGCTGTCAGATTTCCCAGATGATGAGTTGCGGCTCCTCCCTGGCTTCACTAACAAGCCCTACCGATGTTAACCCCTTGTAAAGCTGGATTCTTTTATGGTAATAAGAATTACTTATTTTCAAAGTTTAGGTCTTTTTTCCTTGTGACTTTGTAGCTAGTGCCTGTCCGCTTATTTGTTCTCGACAAGCTTTTCATCAGGTTGGGATGATCCTCCTTCTTTGATAGGATCTAATGTCGATTCGTCATTTCAACATAGAGGTGGCATAGTTAAGTCAAACTTTGCACCTCGAGTAAACCTATTGTTTGTCTACGCGTTTTGAGAGGTGTGCGTGTTCCTGGAATTGGTTTCATTGGTACTGTGTTAAGTCCAGATCGGTGTCCTCCGTTGCAGACGACTCTGCGCACATTCTGGCGCTCATCCTCGAACGAGGCGAAAGCGCGTCTTAAAACCCTCTTCTCCATTCAACGGGAAAAGGGATGGTCGAAAAAATGCAAAGTAAGTAGCATGCTGTTGTAATACAAATTCTTATTTTACAACTGCTTTTACTTGTCCAATTGGAAAGTAGTACAAAATGCAATTTTATTCTCGGAGTATTCAAATAATTCTTGCGTCTACAATGCCTTTATTGAGTTCTCTCGAAGGCTAACTCTCTCTGGCAGTGAACGGAATTTCCTTTTCATCATAGTAACAACTATATTTTCGAGCATGAAACATTGCAATTTCACCGAGTGAATGCTCTTCTCATGATGAAATCTTGGCTCATTTTCGACAGTATCCAGTGCTGTCGCAATTTCATCCTCTGTTTCAGAAAGTCCCTCTAACACCGGCCAATCAAACAGCATTGAGTCATTTTGACAAGTACTACTCATACATCTTCGGTGCCGCCATCTGGAGTGGTATCCGCGCTGCTTTACTCACTCCACCTGCCAAAGTCGCAGTTCTTAACTCCGCCAATCCAGGCCTCCACGAGTGCACCGAAAACCTTCGCTCCAAGAACTATCTTGACCTCTTTAGCGAGTTGTGTAAAGTGAATACGAGAATCTCCGATGAGACGAACCCTGATCTTCTGTCATACTGCACGAATACCGTGGAATCCGTTGCGGGTCGAGCGTTCCTCGTGCACCGGGAAGCTCCACTCGGCCAAGTGTCGGAATTCCTTCCCCCCACCGAGTTAGTCAGCGAGAGAGACATCTATGCACGAGACTCAGACCAGGCCTTTTTGATACATGCAGAGTCCGATCTGCTGCAGACACCTGACCTACTGATGGTGAAAGAGGAGGGGGAGGATAAGGCAAAAGAATCCGATTTGGTGGGGACTTTCAGGAATTTAAGGTGTTTTGCACCGCCATGTGGGATGTTCTCCGCTCTCCCACAACCGAAGTATTCAGACAACTGTTTTGGTGGGTTTGTGCTACGCTCCTTCAATTCTTAACCATCTCCAAGCATTGTATTACTGTTTGCTTGGGTTTTTCATGGTTACGCTGGAGGTGTCTACATCTAAATCACTTTTAATTAAGATGGATTCTAGTATGTAACTGACATTTTCAACATTGAGCACAGATTTATGTACAGAATTCCACTTTTGGTGGTTCTCGTTGGCTGACTATACTTTGTCTACTCATTTATTACAGTACTGCCTCAACGATTTGTTAGTCCACCATTGTCGAGGTAGAAGGAGTGTTGAATTCCACCTCATTTATCGTTGAAAATAAGGTCTAACAGTACACTTGTTAACACTTATCACCGCACTATTAATGTTCACCTTGAAATGTGTTTTTAGCAGTGTTTGGTTTGTTCTTATGTGTCTTATCTAGTCAATCACTATAGCGCGTCAATGCGGCAAGATTTCGCCTCCGTCACCAGTAGGAATGTGATCCAGCAAATCAGGAACCGTCACATTGGCACTGTTAATGTTGTCTCGAGTGATCTCATCAGCATTGGGCTCATTCTACCATGCCTTGGCGACTTAAGCATCATCGTATGAAGTTTTCGGCAAAGCCAGTCCTCATTAAGATAAAGCCTGCAGCTAACTTGTAAGAGACAAGTCTTGTGTTCTCACTCTCTTCGGTAGATTTTTATCCCCTGGACTTGGGCTCAGTGCTGACAGTGTTGATGTTGGATGTGCAGCCGGGAACTCGAATGTTGGATCTCTGCTCCGCACCAGGCGGCAAGGCTGTGACCGCATTGCAAACACTTAATCTGGGTAGGTTTGTTGTGATTAGCAATGAAAGGAAAGGGGATTCTGCCCTGTTAAGGGCCTTGGAAACCTCTCAAGCTTTACCAAGACGCATTTCAGTCATAAGTAGCTCCATTTTAGCATAAAGAGAGCTTGCTTTTAAGTACGGCAGCCACTTACACTGTGTGCGAAGGGCTTTTTAAGATTGAATAGCGTGGGCTTCTTTCCTCCTCTTTTTTGGACTTCACAGTAGTGGGTTGCTGATTCCTCTATGATAAGGACGGCTTTGTCTCCCGAAGAGAATATAGCGTAGGTCTCGACTATTTTCTGCTGTACGATTCTTTTTCCACCTTTGTCAGTTGTTTTAGTTTGTCTCTAGGACAATTTGTGGTATGAGTGCCAAATCTGGCGCCTGTCCACTTTACAAATCACTCGTTGATGTGATGGCGTATTGAGGGGTATTCTTCCTTCCCTTTATGATTTGATATTTAATTCATGCAGGGTTTAGAGCTTATTGGTGAATACTCTGTCTTCGTAGTGTCGAGCTATTTCCGAGACATTTGACTTTTTCTTCAATGATGTGATTTTGGTTTTGGTGGCACGTGGCAATAAGAAAGAGCTGCCTCCGAGATTGCCTTCATATTCGTGTACCGACTCGCTCAATTCGTGTGCATCCTGCAGTGGCTATTCCGTGGCGCCCTGAGACTTCCCTGAAGACGAAGGAAAACATAGCATTAGAGCAGAATATGCATTGTCGACGCACAGTGGGGCTTGGGGCAGCTACTGGGATAGTTCAGAGGCCAAGTCACCCGGTGGAAGTATATTGGTGGAGCCCTCATGTGACACTTTACTAAAATCGGGTGTTGAACAAACACTTAATGTATTGCAGTCCTGACTTTCTTATCCACCTCACTTGTCAGATTGGCTTCCCATCAACACCTGTTATAGATTCGCATTCTTTGCCTTAGCTCATCGATGCATATCTTAGTTTTTGGTAAGTTCTACGACGAGATCATCTCCTGATCCTGTGATTGCCTCTCAGTCATTTTCAGTGGCTTAAACCTACCGCTTGTAGAAAACAGCCGTTTGGGGCTTAAATATCAAGTATTTTTCGAAGTTGCCTGCTCGTGGTTCATTTCTTACCCAAAAATATATTTACCCATCCTCACAGAATGGCTGGTGCCCACCGACGTTTTAGGCTTACCGTTTGTGCACATTAGCTATTTCAATCTCGAAGACGCAATGTTGCTTGAAACTATCAAACAATGAAAACGCTCTTTCCCGTTCATTTAACCACGCAATACGTATATTCACCTTATTCGTGGCATTTAGACGGGTAAGCACAGATTCAAAGATGCATCAGGATTGGTAATAATAAAAACAAAAGTAAAAACAGCCAACTTGATAAGCATGGAAGCTTTGAGCCTTAAAATTCGTACTTGGGAAATTTGGAATTCCAAAGCTGTTTATTAGTATAGAAGTTTATTGATGGTGGGAAGCCTTCCAAAATGGTTATAAAAAAACCCATTAGCAAGATTAAAATCAGGAAAATTGAAAGTGAATCGTCAGGAATGTTGATTCTCTATGTTACTACTTAAGAGAGAGCAGCCATCACGAAAACACCTTTCCAGCAGGAAGCGTCCTTCTCGCGCTTTCTAACCATGCACAACTACCATTTCTTCAATGTTCCATTTGGCAGTGTCTGGTGTGCACCGATGTACCAGATCTATCACTTATCGCAATCACCCACTTCCTATTTAGCCATTCGGTGTCTTCCTACTCGAGTAGTATCCCAACTCTCCATCTTTTTACCCTGTGGTAGAACGATTACTATGCACCGACATCTCAGCGTCTCGTCTGGACCGCCTGCACAATGTGCTGGCGGGCTTCGCCTGGGGAGTGGGGAGCGGGCGTAACGGTCTCCCCGATGTGGAGGTAGCCACGACAGCGGTGCTGCAGCGTTTGCGGGGTCGATCGGGCGAACGGTTCTCCCGTGTCCTCGTCGACGTGCCCTGTTCTACCGATCGCGATGCCCTAACTGCTCCAACTGGAGGTTATTTTGCTCGGGGTAAAGCCGCTGAGCGAGTCAGACTGGTGGAGAAACAGAGGGCACTTCTTCGGTAGGTCACCTCATTCACATTCACATGACAAGTTCGTAATGGAGCCTCCGGGTAACTAAAACTCGTCGGTTTGAAGTAACCTGCTTGGAACAGGTCGTTCCTCCTCCTCATAACGGAGGGGGAAGTGATGCATAAGCTGCCTAAAAGTTCAAAATCTTCAATTCGTTATTATTCACATTTTTAGAAAATTATTTTAATACTAACGAAGATCTGTCTATCTGAAGCGATAAATGCTGTCTTGTTAGGACAATTTAACTATTCCTCTCTTACAACCAGTTAACAAATCTTCATTGTAGAAAACAGTCCCTAACGTAGAGTTATGAGGGAAGTTTGAATACGTTGTTTTGCTCTTTCCTCTCAAGTTCTCTGCATATTTGCCATAACTGGTCTTCGTTGCGACAAGGGAAAGTGCTGCTTGAGCTATTTGAGAGGTCTTATTTCTTTGATTCAGGAAGTGATGATGCATGAGCTGCCGATGAAACTGAAATTAGTCCATTTGACTGACACTTGTTTATTTCTGTCGCTTTTTCCTCTAAGAATAGGCGAGAATGAGTATATAACCCCCAAGTGGGTTGCTCCTATACTTATCCAATTAGCCCTCCCTCCTTGCCCCATGGGGAAGTGGTGCGTGAGGTAGGGGGGCGATTGGAATGTGTTAGTTGATCTACCAATCGTTTAGCATGATTGTCTCTTCCTTCACAGTCAACCGGAATCAACCTACAGTGGGCGGCTTTCTTATTTCATTATCGGTTGTGGATCTCGGTAATTTATTTATTCACAGTTCGACAAAACGTGTTGAGGTGGCGTCATTTGGCAAGTAGTACCAAAAACTGTTTGACATTCATCAGTGAGCACATTCCGAATGATTAGCACTTTTTATTGGAGTAGGTTTCTAGACGACCTGGTTTCATCCCTCTTCCAGTACGTTGCCTTCTCAATTTCGCCCACAAACCCAGCCAACTCTAGCAGATCCTTCTTTAGTTATGCTTGCGCATGACATCTAGTCGATGAAATCGGAGTTATTCTTTTGAATCGGACTCGCCAAGGTTACCACTACTGTAGTGCTAGAGTCATTCTAGAAGACTTTAAAGTGCATGAGACCAAAGTATGGAGTAGCTGAGAGGCATAGAGGCGCTTGTGTGATTACATCTGCAAAGTAAATGCTAATCTGTTCTAAAATTCAACTGTTTCAGCTTCCACAATATGACTTCAAAGTGGTTTCTAGTGTATTTTCGTCTATTCTCAACTTTTTCCACGGGATTAAGCGCTGTCTGTTCCACTTACATAATCCAACACCTGAAAGCTCTTTGGTGATGCAGCCACAACGCTTTCATAGAGGCAAAAAGGGGAATTGATGCTTATCGGCAAGTCAATCGGCCTTCCATCATTCACAGTAGACAAATATGACCACATTCTTGCACACCAAGTCAAGAAAATCACTTCTGACGCGCCCAGATGCGCTCGGAGAACCTGAAGAAATGAAAAGCAGTGTTATAGTTATGATTGAAGTCATCTTCTCTGCCGTCGTTAGAATTCACTGCTGTTGAAGCAGGCGAAAACTATGGCGAAGCCCTCAAAGGACGAATTAGATACATTTTCAGCCATACTTTATTTATTTAGGAAGTTCACTCAATTTTTGTTTTGATTAGTGTGTTGCATTAACACTCAATTCAAGTAGATCGTAGGTAGATGGGACAAGAAAAAAACTTGGACAAACCACTAATTTTATCCCATATCACCATAGTTTTTAAGGGGATATTGTCCGGTAGCCATTGCGATGCTCGGGTGGCCAACGCATGTGCAGAGCGGACAGAATGCTCCCTTAGCTATTCATGTTATTCCTTTTTTTTGCAACCAGTCCAGTGGGAAAAAATTGAGTGCTGCCTTCCATTTGGGATGCATTCAACCCGAGGATAGAATAAACTACATAGGCGTAAAAGGTTTAATGACTCGTCATTCGTTGGAAGTTTAATGGACGGACGTGCTCGGTGCATAACCCTCGGTCTTCCAACTGAAGGGTTATGCGCTCTTTGCGTAGCATACTTTGTTTTGTGGTTTGTGGTGTGCCACCGCTTTTTGCCATAATAGTGGGAATCAGAACATTTGGCTATCCACACATAAACAGAAATCAAATTCGGTATTTTTGTCCGCTGATTTTTTTTCGCGTGGATTCACTTAGGTTGGCTTGAAACTCCTCCATCATTGAAGAGTTTACCATTTACTAGTCAATATTCGCTCCTCCAAATGTCAGTGACAAGCGAGACAAGGTGGTTTAATAAAGCAGACTTTCGTGAAGTAGTTGTTATCCCTAATGACTAAAATGACTATTTCTTTCACCTGTCTACCTGCCTGCCAAAGAATCTCTTCTTGTTAAACCGTAATGGCAACGAATTTGCTCACCTAATGGCTTACTCTAATCCCACCATAGTACAAAATTAGGAGGTGCCTGGGCGCTAAACATGAGATTTCGCTTTCCTAAGCTTTCAGTCTTCTTTCTGGGGAGTAAACATTCAGATCTGAATCCTAGATGACTACTTTTTTTACTTCCATGTTAAATCTGCCCGTATTTGAAAAAAAGATGAAGGGGAAGGTTTCTACCATTATACCTCTTCCAAATGTCAATGGGAGTTATCGTGATTTCTAGCATTTTTGAAACAGCTTTGCTAGAACAATTGCACCCCTTATTATCTGTTGTGATAATTTCAATGGTCTTTCCATCTCGACCGGTTAATTTGGCGTACTTCTGAGGTGGTAAAGGAAATTCTTCGTTAGCTGCTCTAGCAACCACTCAGAATTCTTTTTTTGCTACAGGTCAGGCGAAATATGTGCGTTGGTCAGTCCTAATTAACGGATTGGTTAATCAAACAGTCATTTCAATCAGAAAATTGTAAATGACAAAAGAGGACGTAATACTCGGGCGACGTACAGAAGGGCTGGGGAACCACTGACATGGTCCGAAGGCCATTTCGCCCAGCGGAAGCACAAGAGCGGAGCATTAAGTGCCCACGAAATCAGAACGAGGAGCTAAGCATACAACCAAAGCATTACATCATTACTCTTACCTTTTGAGCTTCATCTTTAACGCCACCCTTTAATCAACCTCCCGCATCGGCCATCAAAACGCAGTCGGCGCTGTAAGAAATACACCTACGAGCCAACCGCGCTGGTTGTTGAATTTGCTACAGAGTCACTAATCTCCCTTGGCAGTTCCATCGTATCTGAAGTTTTGTCCCGTTTGGGAAATGCAATGAGGGAAGGGGAAGGTGATGGCCATCTTGTATGCTCATCACTAGTCGTACGAACACTGGCCTCAAAGCCGTCATTTAATAAAGGGCGGGAATAAGACTTTGTGCCTCTTCCTTTTTATTGCCTTGATCTCACTTCAGTGCTGCCATGTCACATCTGTTCACTAAGTTGACATCCTCATGCAGGTATGGTAGACAGCTCCGTAAGGAGCTTTTCCAAATTGTTCGTGGCCATGGCTAGTGTCACTTCATTCGTTAATAGCGCCCCGCAGGCCACTGTAGTGGAATAGTTGCCGAAGGTAGACGTCATTTTCAATCCGTCTGTTAGGGGACTTCACAGATTCCCCAATCCGCAGCCCATGCTCTTCTTTTGTCACGTTACGTTTTAGCAGCCATCAATGGATTTCAGTTTATTTATCCTTTAGGATAGGTTCTGCTTTCGGCTGCCACTAATGTAGCGCCCCGAGTCCTTCCTGAAGGCGCACCAAGTCATTGTACTAAAACGGAAAATGTATTGCCGACATAGCCTAAAGGCTGAGGAGTGAGGGCCACCAGCACGGCCCGGAGCCCATGGCACCCAGTGGAAATACAAAGGCCGAGGTGTAAGCGCTCGCGTAATTAAAACGAAGAGCTAAACAACCCATCAAAGTATTACATGATCTCTCCGCTCTAATTAATAAGAGGGTTTTTTGAGACAGCCCTCATATTTTTTTGTTAACGAGGCATTTTATGCAAAATGGTCGGTTTTCTAATTACTAGCTTAAATGTCTTCAAAAAGCTATTGTTATCAATGCTTTAGCACCCTTGTTATTTAAATTGGTATGGTAGAAACTGTAAAGTCTCCATAATTGCTTTCTGGCACGGTAACCAAGTGCTATAAGAAATTTTCAACATCACGATGATTGGTCAAATGGCGGGAGCACTTCATTGAACTTAAGGTTGGCGTACCTGGACCAGGACATGGGCAGATAATATACGTCTTCCATTATCTTCAAGCGGGGCGGTTTTTTCATTTTCTGTGGTTATGGACGGAAATTAATTCTATCAACAGGTATAAATTAGTGCACATAACTCCCATTCTGTCCGCAAATTCAAGGGCAGTCGAACTTGCAGGCCATTCATCCACATGACATAATCAAACGCTAGTCTTTTCGCTCTCGTATTAAAGACGCAAAAGCGCAGAATTCTTTTTGCCTTTCGCTTGTTATAACCTCTCTGAAGTATTAACTTTGTCACATTACAATGTTAAGCGCCTGGAAGACAATTTACCAGCTTGTGGGCCATCATCCATCGGCGTGTTTTCGTAGATCCACTTCAGTTTTCCTCATTCTTCACGGTCTTAGCTGTAGCTGGAGGTTCCGAACACTGCTTTTACTATACCAGTACAGACATTTTCAGACGAAATCGCATTAAATAACTTTATACTGAGTGCACATACCTACAGATGGGAATTTGGGCTCTTTGTTCTTCTTGGGAGAGCCATTTATGCATAATTTTTGCAGCTGCCTTCAAATCACAGCGATAGTCCTTATGCTAATCTGTGGGAGCGGCCGATTTGTCAGAGGGAAGTAATCCCCTGACACGTTCGATCACTACCCTCCTTTTCCCTCGTAATCGTTCTCAAGGCAAACCTTAAATTGTGCCAATTCTTAATCTACTTTGAAATTTTTAAAGATAAGGGAAGCATAAACTTTCTGCAAATGCAATGCTTGGAGGGCTTGGATCGCCATAGGAAGTGCGATTGTCGCGAGGGGCGGTGCCTCACACACGCATCCTTTCAATAATTCACAATCTTTGTCTTCTTTTTAACGCTCCGCCCTTTGATGTAGGTGTTTGGTTTTTAATGTACTCATAAAAATTTGTAGATCTCAAGATTAAATGAATTCGTTTATGAAAATATTAATGCATTCAATTGGCGTGACTGTCCAATCTCTCGGCTTAGTAAAACGCATAACTTGAGGTTAAATGGACCTGTTCACGCAAAAACCAAGTCTGTCACACTGAAGTTGTAAAATTTTATAACCCTTATCGGCCTTATCCAAGTGCGTATAAGTTGAGTGTAGACCCGTTTGCTGACTGCCTCAGCCATCCCGACTGCCCTTCGCTGACCTAACGTGTAGAGGTCACTGTCGTCCCACTAATTCGTTTTTGGCTCAGAAATAAGGCGAAGGGACTTCTCCCTCCCATAAGTGGGTATGAAAAGGCCCCACTGCATAAACATTTAATCACATGCTCTCCGTGGTTGATTAAACAAATTTGAAGCTGTGTGTTTTTCCCCTAATTTTTTTAAAAAAATGGGAAGGATTAATTACACCAGCTGTGCTATAATACCTTTGTGAAGTTCGATCAGTTATGCTGAAGCCTCACAATCACTTTCATCACTCACTGCTCCGTGCTAGCACTCTCGAACGGCTGAAGGCACAGGCGAAGCGAGAGCTTGACAACGTCAATTGCGTGTCACCTAAATTGCGGGGACAGGGACGCTTCCGTGTCTGAAGCTCACTTCTGGTAAATATCGTAATACCACAGCTTTCGATGGATGAACTATCGCAATCTCTCTTTGACGCACTTCATTTTCACTATTTCAGTTTAAGTGATTCCTTTGCACCTCTGTTCACCACAAATTTCTGAACTCCAATGCCCTTTATCCACTTCCTTTCCACGGAGCCTGACGCTTAAGGGAGCTGTCACATTCGTGTTTTAAAGTGTGGCCTGCTAATTGCTCACATGACCCACACACCCGCCGGTTGCTGAGGCATTGGAGATAAACCTGCGTGACCCGTGATAAAATCTTTTCACCTTCCATCTTCTTTCACTCCTCCGTACTCTCCTGACTGGATTTCAATGACTGTTATGTTGTCATTATTCTCAGACGCCTCTTGTTGTGGTTAGCCCAGTTCAAACTGTTGGGGTGGGGGAAAGTCTACTTCCAAAGTGGGTCTAAGTGTCCTTTTTTTACTATCTTCTAAATATCCTTTAGGCTTTTTTTTTTCATAAATTAATTGGAGTTCATTAACTTCTGTAGTGTTTGTTGACTCAAAGCGGTGGCTGTGAGGCGGAGGTTTCAGTCCAGTGCTGCAGAAAACGGTTGTGCAATTGGTTTTGGTGATTTAGAATTGTAGGGCTTAGCCACAGTCGAGGCGTTGGCCAGACACATGGAGTGAGGGGGGTTTTGAAAATACTCGCAGGAAAAAGCCGTGTTTAACAGTGAGGAAGTTTACCTCCCCAACGGTCTGGTAGCTCAGGCGGGGGGGGGGGGATAACGCTTTACCAAACTGCCGATTCTACAGTCTAGCCTGAATAATTAACCCTACACTGAAAAAGTTGTGCTCTCTTTGTTTTTTTGGGTGAGGCTGGCTGCTGCGAGGGGTAAGGCTGGAAATACATTATGGTGTTTCAAAACTGTCACTGTAATGTTTCAAAGGTGTTGAAAATTGCATTACTCCAGGAAAGCACAAAATCACGCCTAACAGACGACGCCCGTGGCAGTTTCCCTTACCTGGATGGCTATTTTTGCCTCATCAAGATGAATAGCATTAGTTGGTGAAGAATGTGTCAAGGGAAAAGCAAACTGGAATGGTGAAGAACTTTGCCACTTAGTCGTAAGCACCAAACAGTGTTTGTCTGGCGTCAAAATAGGTTTTAGACGCATGCGCTGTTGAAGAAAGTTTTAATTCTGTTTAGACATAAGAAAGCCTCTATTCGTTTTATATAAGCTGGGAAGATTCCCGGTGGTTGTGTTTGATCCCGGCGAAGTATGTCGTCCATTCAAGTCTTAAGCGCAATTGCAGTGAAGTCAATGAAGTTGGCTCGCATTTCTCAAGTGCCTCCAAAGTCTGGCGAATGTGATTAAGAATAGTAAAGTGGCTACAAATACATTCAGTCTAGTGGAGTTATCACCTTTGGCTTGGGAAATAGGCAAAAAGTTGGATCCACCTGTAAATCTGATTGTTGTGGACTAGAATAAGATGCAGAGAATGAGGTTGAAAGCGTCGGTAGGCCTGTGGTGTTTTACAATTAAAGATTTAAGTTGTCTTTTCCCGCCTTCGGTGTTAATGGTGTGGAAAACTGAGAAAATGTCTTGAGTTCGGTCCAAAGTACTGTTGCTAGATGCTTTCCATTAGTACAGCAGTACATTCAAGCGACCCATTCTGATCCGCTTTTATTCGTAATCTAATCCTCGAAGGTTTTCCCTCTACATATATACGCATGAGTGTAAGGAATGGCAGAGACAAATGTGTGCAATCCTGAGGAGTAGAAATGTTATCCTTTTCAAGGGAATTTTTGACTTAAGTAATGTTTTATGGAAGCTCTACTCTCCGTTGAAGTATACAATCACCTTACGAGTTCAGTGTATCTACAAATTAATAAACAACCAAAATCACTGGCTGAGACTTTGCTTGATAAAGAGAGTAAGGCCGCGGTCATCCCTCCAGGTTATCAGGTGCTTTCATCACTTTTCATTCCTATTATGAGGTACCCCATTCGATGCCCTCCACTTGGATTGCCTGAGAAAAAATGGGGGCTTAAAATGGGCAACAGTGGTATTTGACCAATGTAAACGCATAAATCGCCAAAGCGTTTCCTATTAACGGGTTTAGAGTTTAACTGGACTCTGGGTATGGA